GGGGGGGGGGGGTTAGCTAATATGATCTTTGGGGCAGAGTAAGGTCATGTAAAAGGAAGTGTAATTTCTTACATAGAGAGTACCCCCCTCTTATCCCCAGGGCGGAAGAAAAGGGGCGGGGAAGTTGAGTAGATTTATGGAAATGGGTGGAGCAGTTGGGTAGATTTATGAAGGGGCGGGGTCAACGCTACACACGGTTTCTTTGAAACTAGAGTCCATGCTAACCTGTAGCTAGAGAAGCCAAACTTGTCGGTCAGAACGGTCGCTTTCATCGATCCCTGGGGGATATATGGGGGAGGGGGGCGGAGGGGTAGTTAAAGAGTCCCTTGTGGGGAATTACTAATACATCCCAAGAGAAGTGACGACCCAGGCGGATTTTTTGAAATATTTTCTTAATCGAAATTAAACTTAACTTAAAATAATTGATAATGGATTTATTTCTAGGCAATAAAATTTAAATTGTTTCTAAACATTATTTTATTAAGGGGTTTAGTTTAAATTGTTTTAAAAAGGGGGGGGGTCATGAGATATTAATCGTTAGATTTAATCTTGAAATAAAACCAAAAAGGTGTTTTCCATAATAAGGAAGTTATTGTTTTAACCCTATTCCCGCTGGACAAATTGACCCCCCCCAGCGTATCCTGGTTTTCAAGTACCCCAGCGGGGATAGGGTTAACACCAGTGAGAAGGTAATTTAGCTATTTTCAAAAATAAATCGTAAACGACACAATTTTGTATCCGAGGAAAATAAAAAATTATCTGTCAGCACTCAGCAAGGTTTAATAATAATGTTAATAGGGATTTTAAAGGGATAATTTGATTGTGAATTATGATCTCACGTCAAATTATATTATTTTGTTAACATTAAAATTTTGACAATTATCTTAAATGTTTTAAGGAAAAGAAAGAAAATAAGAAGAACTGACCCGGACGAAAAGCCCAAAAAGAGAAAGAAGAAAAGAAGTGAACAAAAGGTTGTACACAACATTCCTCATAACGAAACTTATAATGCATGATGGAATACAAGACCTATGAACTAAGAAAGAAATTCGCAATCTATTTTTCTTTCTTTTTGATTAAATTTAATATTACTAGCCCTAGAGCGCCCATCTTCTAAATTAATTGTGAAAATGTTCTCTTTGTGTACATCGTAAAACAAAACAAAAATAATTCGCGGATTTTCACAAAAAATTTCGTGGATTTTCAAAATTTTAAAAAATTTAATGACGATCGAATTTTGATGGAGACAAATATTTGAAATTTTGATCATTCATAAACCTTCCCTGGGGTCCCTAGATGTCCCACAAAAAATTTGGGCCCGATCGGTTCAGCCGTTTTGACGTTTATTGGATACAAACAGAAAAACAGACAAGCCAAATTTATATATAGATTATTCATATTATAAATTTCTTTTAAAACACAACGAGGAAAGCAAAAATGTCTTTAAAGTGTAAAAGGTTTCACACTAGTTTATATATTCATTTGGTTTTTAAATACAAGATGAATTCTGTAATCATGATATATTTATTGTTTTGTACTTATTTAGAACAACGACCCTTGTATGGAGAGTACAGACTCATTGTACTGTTATTCTTGCGAAATGAAAACACTAGACTGGAGTTCTCATAAATACAGTTTTCAACATGTTAAAAACGAAAAGAAGGTCAAGTATTAAACATAGAATTCTGGCCAAACAATGAACCAAAGATTAATGCAAACATAATTAAAGAAATGATTAACCTAAACATTTTAAAAGGAATTGATAACAAACTGTAAACTGAACACTATATACATTGTAAAATGTACACTGTACATGCACTATACATTCTAAACTGTGCACTGTGCACAACATTCTAAACTGTAGACTATGCACTATACATTATAAACTGTGCACTTTGCAACTCTACATTCTAAACTGTACACTCTACATAATTAACTGTACACTGTACACTACATTATAAACTGTACACTGAACTCTACATTTTAAACTGTACACACTACGTTCTAAATTGTAAACACTACATTCTAAATTGTACACTCTACATTCTAAACTGCACACTTTTGATCTGGTAAACACGAAATTGTACAGTGTGTATCTCAGGCAAGATGTCTGTTCTGCCCTCAAAGAGTTTGGTTTCCAAATCTGAAGACGCATATTCGAGAATCTCACAGGAATTCCATTCAAAATAAAAAGTTTTTTGAAATCTTTTTAAGCATAAAATATATATATATACATGTTTACATTACAAGTCAGGAGGCTCTAGAAATTATTTTTTTTAAAGGTTTGAATATTTAATAAAAATCTTTTTTCAAGAAAAGCTATATTTTCTAGATTTGTAGAAGCTTATAATTTTTATACAGTAGTTGACATATTTGAGCCTTGACTAAATTAGAAAGTATACCTCCTCATATACCTCCTCATATATACCTCCTCATATATACCTCCTCATATATACCTCCTCATGTTTCAGAAATAGTTCCTTCAACTTATTTATCAAGTGTACACCAAATAGATAATCAAGTACAATAGGTAGCAACAGAGAAATGGATCAATTTTAAACGATGTCACAATTTTCAAATATAACAAGAAAAACCAAGGTTTCTCGAGATATTTGACATGTTTTACAAGATCAAATAAAGAAACACATAAAATTGCACTTATTTTACTGTAAGATAAGTACTTTCTAAAATTATCACTATTATTAATAATTTCAATGGACACAAAAACTAAGTTGACACTTGTGACGTAAACATACAGCTGTACTTGAGAGTGTACAAAATCTACGTTGCCTTTTATTGTGCTAGAATCTTTTTTGAGTGTATACAATTCACGTTAGGGTCACAGTACAGGTGTACGTTAAGCTGCTAAGCTCAAACAAATCACAATTTTGAAATTTTATTAATCCATGAAATCTTGTGTTTTTGAAGCTTAAATATATAGAACTGATCTGTATTATTCCATCGCATTAAGCCAGACAATTAAAGTACCCCTCGGGTTAGTATCTTCAGGCAAGCTCTTATTTCCTTTTATCCAAGTGTGTGTTGTACAAAGACAGTTAGAAATCTGGGGATTATGGAATGATTTGCGGATTTTTAATGGAACTTAATTTCTCCTCGCCTTTTACTAGACGGTCATTAATCCTTGACAGGTATTTTCAGGGATCGGATTATGTCTTCATAAGATTATATTTAAGAGCAGGTTGGTTTCAGGAAAAGGAGGAAGGTTGGGTGTCAGTATTTTTTAAGTTTTAAACGATAAATGTTAAAGCACAAGGTAAAATGAATAATTAGTAAATTAAACATCCATAACGTTCCAAATTATGCTTATGCTATCACCACAGTTAGGCTTTATTCCTTTTACTAGTATTGACAATTTCAGCAAAGAATTATTATGATTATTACCCCTCAATGTGTACAGTATATGCTCAATGTACACCGTACAAACACTATATACCACTGCACTGGTTATAGAATTATTTCAATTACCATGGAGTTTACATAGTTTTGAAATTAATTCAGAAGGGGGGGGGGGTAGTTATTACAAATAATTATTTTTTGTTGTAAACTTTAACCTATCAAAGCCTATTAAACCCCCACTCAAAAAAGTTCATGTCATTGTAAATTATTTATTAAACTAAATTATTTATTTACTATTAAATTCTACTGGACAAGAGAGCGAAACCCATCTACTTATAAGAAACATTAATTTGTTGAAATATTTTCTTGTTTTTACCGGCATTTCTCTTTGGCATTGTTGGAAACAGTGAATCATTTTCCTTTCATTTATTCTTGCAATGGGATTTAGAGGAGCTAGCTTCGTTTGTAACGCTTCTGATACTTGCTTCATACGTCTGATGGACTTATCTAAGATAGTAGATCACATTAATACTAAACACAGGTACACTAATCTCAGCATTTTTAAATCAAACTTTTATTAAGGGGGGGGGGGGCACGAAATGTATTACTCTCCGGGAAATTTTAACAGTGTTTAAACATAACTTAGCATAGTCCTAGGACGCTGATTTTTTGCATGCGCAGGGCCCCCCTGGGAGTTCCAGAGGAGGACTAATGCCCCCCCCCCCCCTAGGTACGCCACTGATCTTAGCACAGATTTTACATGTTGTATATGTCGAAATTCATGGGTAATTAGGCACAAGGAATTCATTTCTGGGGTCAAAATAAATATTAGAGTATTCTGACCGGCGCGCTAGTAGTCGACAGTTTCATTATGGGTCAGAATGCTCCAATGTCTATTTTGACCTCGGAAATGTAATCCTTGTCCCAATTTTGCTATAGATTGATGTATCTCATGCTAGTATTATTCTAACCAGTGTTTCGGATCCATATCATTTTGATTCGGATCCGGATCCGCGGATCCGCATCAGTGATGATGGATCCGGATCCTGATACGGATCCGGATCCGGATCCGGATCCGGATCCGAGGTAACTTTTGATTCTGTGAATCGGATTTTCCCTATTAAATGTTATGCAAGGTTATAATTTATAAACTATAGTAATCCTAAAGTTAAAAATGTCGTCATTACTATTATATAAATGTAAACATTAAATTATTAAAGATAATTTTGAAAAATTTTCGTCATGTAAATAATACAATTACGAACCATTTTGATTTATTTATTCCATGGTTTTGGTTAATTTTTGGCGCTACCCGGATCCATATCAACGTTTCCTGATACGGATCCGGATCCGGATCCGAAACACTGATTCTAACGTAGCTGAACTTAGCAAATAAGTAATCAAGGTATTTTCTTTTATTGCGCGCGTGCGCGGACATTGAAGGCTTTGGAGGTGAACTTTTTGAGCGTATATTTGTTTCAAGAGTGCCAGGATAAATATTAAAGTACAATTAATGAGGTTACGATTGATTTACTGTAAAAAAAAGTCGTATTTTTTCACAAAAAGCGTGCGCCCGCGCTTTTTTGCTCAGATCCGTTCAAAACCAAAAAATGCATGTAATATTCATAATTTTAAGCTCGCATGCAAAAAATCAGCCTCCTACAACATGTAAAATCTGTGCTAATATGACCCATAATAAATCTGCCGACTACATAGCGCGCCGGTCAGAATACTCTTACATTTATTTTGACCACAGAAATGAATTCCTTGTCCCAATTTTGCCATAGTTCTCCATGCCATAGTATCTCATGCTAATTTTGTTCTGACATAGGCCAAACTTAGCAAACAAGTATTCAAAGATAGTTTCTTTTATTGCGCGCGCGCGCGAAATTCAAGGCTTTGGATTTGACTTTTTTAAGGGCATATTTTTTCAAGAGTATCATGATAAATGTTCAAGTGCAATTAATGAAGTTACGTTTGATTTACTGTCAAAAAAGTCGTATTTTTTCACAAAAAGCGCGGGCGTGTACTTTTGCTCAGATCCGTTCAAAACAGAAAAATGCATGTAATATACATAGCTCGCATGCAAAAAATCAGCCTCCTAGGACAATGCTAAGTTATGTCTTATACACTGTTTAAATTTCCCAGGGAGTAAAACGTCTCGCCCCCCCCCCCTTAAAAAGTCATTCATAATGTATAAGACTAGCTCAGTGTCCGGGGTTTCCTGTGGAATTAAAAAAAAAGAATTCTGAAAGAAAAAATTTATTTTTGAAAAAATTTCGATTTAGCCTATAAATTACCCCCAGGATACCCATGGGTTTCTTAAAAAATGTTAAGCCAATTCAGTCCAGCCGTTTGACCAGCTATAGCTAACATATATATGTTGACAGATAACAGCAACACGCTAGACAAATCCGGATAATAGGCCGGTTAGGATTCTGATGGGGGTGTTTATTATCCCCAGACAATTCTTTCCCGATGGCCGAACGATACACACACAACAGAGTAACCCCGTCACAGAAATTCGATAACAAAATCTTTATTTCCTAAAAAAATAACATAGATTATAGATCATGGTTACTTGTACAATGTTATAATAAATGTTAATAGTAGAAAAATCTTACGAATTATTTGATTATGTCGGGGGTGACTTATTTGTTGATCAGTATTGAAATACGTTTTTTTAACTTCTGAAAAAAATTACAGTTGAATATTTAACGAAATTCACTTATGCTTCTTATGAAAATATTTTGCTTAACTTTAATGATTTCACAACAACGAAAATATTTTAAGCTCCGTCGGAGGAGGACAATGGAATTTGCGGGCTGAAAATTTGGTTTGGCTGTCTCCGACAGGAGATTCCAGTAGAAGACGACATTTTATAGAGGTTTTAAAATTAATGGTTAACAATATAATGTATGAGGGAAGAGCTTTATTTTTTAGATCAATGTATAGGACAAATAAGTGATAAAAATTATATAAACTTATGGTAGTTTTCATGCTTTTTTACATGGGTTAAATGATAACCATTACGGTATTACCAAAAACAGATCATATGGCAGGGGTGTATTTTTTCTTGAAAAATCATCCCCCATGAAGTTATGTATGTTTGCGCTGAGCTACAATATTTTTAAAAAGTTTTGTTAGCTAAATTTTGGGTAATAAACAATGTTTAGTAGTGAATAAATGAACTATTTGCTTAAATATATCATGAAGCAGGGAGGTGGGGGGGGGGCGTTAATGTTTTAAAATATATACTCCTGACGTTGGACAAATTATGAAAGGGGTATGATACTTTTATTTGCAGGAAGGAACTTGAACCCTTGCATAAGATGATTGGACAGACTGGATTTATTTCTCCTCATCTCCTGACCAAACACGGGCTCATGATCCTACCTGCGGATCTCAGGAAGCTTAGCTGCAGGTCAAACAATTAATATTTGTAATTTTAGGCTTTACGAACTTAGGAAGCTTCCCCCTTTTTTTGCAATAATTTCGCTGTTAAAGTTGTTATTTTTCACCGTACTCCAATAAACAAAAAATTTTTGCGGATTTTTTCTGTTTAAATTAGAGAATTTTTCATGTCGTAAAATTTGATTTTTTTACAGGCTAAATGTTTTAATTTTTACCTCCATAAACCTTCCCTGGGGGTCATGTCAGCAACCACGAATGGCAAAACTCAAATCACAAGCTTTGAATAATGAGAATCCTCTAATCTTTAAATGACTGACTAGTGCAAGAAAGATATTTAAAATTCAGTAATTTTTCTTGTTTTTATCTATTTATTTTAAGGGAACAAGAAATTTTAACAATTATGACGACAAAAACGTCATTTAAAGTCTAAAGATTAAAACTATTATTTCCCTTTACTTTTACTTTTTGGTGTCAATGAATTGAAAATTTAACTACACCAAAAAAGTCCAGTATTCCGGAGGTTAAAATCTGGAGATTTTGCTTTTTGTGACAGCCTTTTTGGACTTTTTTTGCCAGATTTTATGAACTTAGAATTTGCGTGTTAAAATGTTGATAAGAGGCATTTTTGGATGCAGTTATATAGTGTGAAACAGTAATGGGTGTACACACTATAAAATGTTATCCCAGATGAACCCCTTCAATATTCGAAAGGATTTTTTTCAAAACAAATCTCTCGTAAAATTTCTAAATTTCTAATGATTGCCGACCGAAGTGTAAACACACTTTTTATTCATAAATCTCATTTTCCTAGAATTTGCAGTCAACACTATCTGGGACAAGGAATGAATTCAGTAGCAAGACATTTTGAGCAGGTAACTTGTCTCTATAGATCATATTCTTTTATTTCCCTAAAAGTTTATAATTAGTTAAATAAATACATGCCAACACACGGTACCCCTAAAAGGTTTCTCTTAACAAGCATGATTTAGATCTCAATGTTCATTATTTTAAAACCTGATAAATGATTATCTTCAATTGTGATTTCTCTTACAAAAGTGACAATAGAAATGATCAGATATAAACACTTTTCAAGGAAGAAAACCGACATTCAACTTTTTTGATCAGATAGGTTTTAAGGGCACGTCATTGTGAATCGGGAATACTTTTAAATTGGGGGTCATTTAAAACTACGACAGTCCCTTTATTACAGGAGCACGCAGATGTAAAGAGTTGTGATTATGCGCACTCAATACTGTTTGAGTGCCGAGGTTGTGATGGTTTGCTCTTCGGTTCAGAATCATTTCTTAAGGAACATGTTAAGGTATTGTTTTTTTTGTGTGAAAGCTATCATTTTAAAAATATTATTCTTATCTTGCGTTTTTTAACTCGGAAATGATTAGCAGATCATCTTTTATTTTTCAAGGTTTGGATTACTTAAAAATGACCAAATTTAAAGAGACGTGGTTGGTTTAGCTGGAAATTTTAAGAAGTGTTCCGAGACTTAAGCTGGTGCTCAAACGGAACCTGTTAAGAGCGGTTCAGCAACGCGGTTAAAATTCTTTAAGTTCGGCCTTAGGTTTTACATTTTTATGGATTAACCGTCCGAGAGAAGCTGAAGGGGCGAATTTTAAAAAATATACTTAACCTACTAATTGTTTTCAATTTTTATACTTTTTTCTCAAAAAATCATTGAGTTTTTTTTCAAAATAAATAAAGATTCATTAAATGTTTGGTTCACTGACAAAGTGTCAAACGACACAGGGTCAAACGACACTGGGTCAAACGACAAAGGGTGAAACGATATAGGGTCAAAAAATGCGACAAAGGGGCGAATTTTTTTTAAATTTTGACATCTGTTACAGTTAGTATTTATTTATTATAATTTAGGGTTAGGTTAGGTTAAGACACTTTCTGGGCCGAGCGCTGCGGCTAGGACAGGCTAGGGGGCCGAGCGCTGTGGCCACGGGTTAGGTTAGTTAAGACACTTTCTGGGCCAAGCGCTGCAGCTAGGACAGGCTAGGGGCCGAGCGCTGCGGCCACATGGTTAATTATATCCATGTCTAACATATAAGATCCATGTACAAAATTGATAGGAGGGTTGAGCAAGTTTCCCATGATTCAAATCAAAAAATATTTTTATCATTTTGACCTTTTGTCGTTTGACCCTTTGTCGTTTGACCCTGTGTCGTTTGACCTTTTGTCGGTGAATCAAATGTTTTCTATGGTATGATGATATATATTTAATTGCTATTAAATGTTTTTCCTTTCCGTACACCTTTTCTTCCCCTCTGGACTCGTGCAAGATGAACCGCCCCACTATGGTTCAAAGTGTCAAAAAAACGGAAACAATTAATTGCTTCTTAGATGCTGATAAAATAAATACCAGAAATTACCAGAAATCCATTTCTAGTGAAGTACTAACTACTAATCAGCATGCAGTACGTTCATCATTCAGTATGCAATTGTGGTATGCATCGCATGCTGGATGCATCTTTATGATAAACGTTAAAATAGATATATGGCAACTTTTTGTTTTGTCATCAACTAACTCATTTATAAGGTAAAAGTTTAGCTGTGTTAGGCATGTTAAAGAGATGGTGTCAAATTTGTTGAAAAATGTAACTAAACTGAACTAAAGATTTGTTTATATTTTCTGATTCAGTGAAACGATTTTAAGGCCAAAGTTAAGGTTTTGCAACTGGGCATGCTTGCTGCATGGTGTGCAATCAAATTGGTTAAAATATTCTAATGGATGCAAAATGCACATTTGGATCAAAATATAATTAAATTTAGTTTCTTCAATTCTAGCTGGCAGCCTGGCATACTAGATGCTTAATACTTAATGGATTTTTATTGAACTATGCATTTGATTCAAATATGTAAATATACGGTGCAAAATCAAAACCACGGTTTTTTAAACTAATAAACCAACCTGTGTTTTAATATTCAGCAGAATGCATTCTGAACAGCATGCAGAAAAAAACTTTTGAGAATTCGTTTTTTCGTTTTTTTAACACTTTGAGCTATAGTGCACCCCCCTCTCTTCAGAAGGAATTGACACCTTTCCATGATTTTACCTAAAACAATTTTTTTTAATATTTAGTGTTCAGGAAAACTAGGTTATAATCCGTCCAAGCATGACGAATAAAGTTCTCATGAACCTTGTCTCGCTTTTTACATTTTATGTCGAGATACAAATTGTTTGTTTGGATTAAATTAGATATAGGGGACAGTCTCCTAAACCGGCGCAGACAAATGCATGAGTAGGGTTGGAGTTTGATTACAAACAATCAATCTAGTATATATATATATATTATATAAGCAACAATTATTTTTATTTTTTTATTTTTCTAGTGTAATGCAAAAATGATTAAAATTTAAAATGGTATGATAATTATGCTGTGAATTATCTGATGTAAAATGCGTCTAAACCAAAAGGGTATACAGCATTTTGTCCAGGTGTAGCCTTTTCTTACATTCTAAGAGGGGGAGAGGGTGGGGGGGAGGGTTAGTAACACCATAGACCACACAACCTGGGGCCTGGATACGCCTCTGAAAAACATTAGTATGTTTAATATCTCATACTCGCAGGCTTTAATTAACATAACTGCTCTTACAGGAAATTCATTCTCTTGGAGGATTTAAACCTGGACCAGTCGATTTATCTGATGAAGAAGAACAGGTAATTAACAATTGATTAACAATCTTAATTTACCTTGAAGAATAAACATTAATTGTTGAATTTTGAATCTTAGAATTAAGTCTAATCGGACATTAAATGTCGTCTTACTAAAGAAATAGTTTAGTCACAGCTCTTACAATGCTGCGCAAGCTTCCCACGCGGCCACATGACAGCTTTACAGACAGCAGCTTTATCAGTGCTGGCTCACTAATAATCTAGGGGTTTTAAGATTTTCAATATAGATGGCGGTACTGTCTTCAATTCCAAAGTTAAATATCTGAGCATAGGAACAAAGAATGTTTTCTCCAAATTTTGTTCACACAAAAAGTATTATTCAATAGCTGAATAAATATTTTGATATTTGTTTTTTTTCCAGGTTTCAAAATAATGAATTGATTTTCTCTTAGACGAATGACTTAACCTACTGAATTTAGCACAGAAGTTAACTTTGCGCAGTGGCGATACAGTAACCAATGATCGAATAGAGAGGTGCTGTTATTGCTAGTTGAAAACTATAACCAATACCCCGCCTAGTTGATGTGAAATATCGTCGGCTAAGGCAATTTCTGAAGGCTCTTACGGGAGCAATCAATATTACCGTTTTCCTTCCCCATTACTAGATAAATTTAAAATTGTCTTTCAGGCAAGTTTAAAGGTATCATGAAGTTCTAGTCTGGCAAATATTGGAAATTTCCATTGAATATGGTCAAATCACAAAGGAATGCCAGCTGATGATAAGATGATATTGGCCAATAGGGTGTACCTCCCAATCTTTGCAATCCTCTTTCTACTCAATTTGGAAGATGGCAGCACTACCTAACCAAAATATCAGCATTTATTGAATTTATTTACCTTATTGCTGATATAAGGATAATGGTTTATGCAAGCTTAAAGGTATCATTAAGTTCTAGTCTGGCAAATATTGGAAAGTTCCATTGAATATGGTCAAATCACATAGGAATGCCAGCTGATATGATAAGGTGGTGATATTGGCCAATAGGGTGTACCTCCCAAGCTTTACAATCCTCTTTCTACTCAATTTGGAAGATGGCAGCACTGCAGTTGGAAACTAAACCTTAATTGTACGGACTTGAGAGAAGTAAGAGTTGTGACGACAAAAAGATTCCATTTTCTTTGTACAAAAGTTCTGATTTTATAAATTTTAGGTATGCCTACAAATTGCTTACAATGGAAACATTGTTTTTTAATCCAACCCTTGAAATATATGCTGAGTAATAGAATTAAATTTCATACTCAAGCCTTCCACACATACCGAATAAATCTTTCGCCTTTTACTAAAGATTTCCGTGTATGGGGGGCAACAATTGAGACTAATACTATTTATCTTCAAGCTACCTTCAGGTAGTTTCCTTATCCTCTGTTGTGCCCCTGATAAAAGTTCTTGTTTTGACCCAGTTAACCCATTCCAACTATTTTAGAGGCCCCTTTGTTTCATGATTTTAAAAAATCTTTCTAGTAGGGTGACAGAAATGTAGATTACTATTTTTTATTTTGTTGAACATAATGTCTTGAGGCAGCAAATGAAAAAAAATTGAATTTAAACCCATAAATAGACAAAAACTGTTGAATTCTGGCGTATTTGTGAGTGTTTTCACATTTATTTGTGAGCGCTTAAGAATTGAGAATGCTACTTTCTTATTGGTCAGTGGTGGGATAACACAGCCTCATCATTGGTTTATTAGAATCCCAACAAAAGTTTGTCTTCTAAGCAATCCATTAGGTGGCACTACTAGTTGCATTTTTCAATGTAAAAGTGCCTTTTTATAGATCAAACAACCCACCCTTTTAAATCCTTCTAACTAAGATTCATATTACATTGAACAGGAATTTTCTGTTAACTTTGCGCAGTGGCGATACAGTAACCAATAATCGAATAGAGAGGTGCTGTTATGACTTTCATGTTATGTTCAGAGGAAGACAAGTTTTGAATAAAATATAGAAGCTTAACAAAATATTATGAGAAATTAAATATTTTATTTAGTGTAATTATGGAGGTTAAGCCTTATAATGTCTAGTGACTGTACAGTGTACATGTTTCTTTGTCTAAAGGATTAAGCTAATATCTTTAATAGTATCATTAGAAAATCATGATGGGCTAAATTTTAACTATGTACCCAGCAAGACAACCGACATTAAATTAACATCAAATTGACATCTTTTCAGAGTTTAGTGATGTCATTTTGACATCACTAAAAGACATCAAATTGACGTAAAAACGTACCCACTTTAACGTCAATATGACGTCATGTTAAGACGTTAGATTGATGTCAAATATCCTAAAATTATGTCAATTTGATGTTTGTTTGATGTCATGTTGTATGTTTTGTGTCATCATAATGACATTATTTAACGTTACAATACCCAAAATGAAATCCATATTTACGATACCTAACATCTCAAAGACATTAAAATAATGTCACTTAACATTTAAATGACGTCAAAATTATATCTATAAACATTTTATTGACGTTTCATTAATCTAGTTTTACTCTTAAATGACGTTAAAATAATGTCAATCAAAATAACGTCCCTTGTACTAAATACAAATGACAAAAAGTTGTAAATGTATTATTTAAAAAAGAAAAACAGTTATTATTTAACAAATCTAAATATCTATCACAAACAGAGATTATATTGACTTCTTTTTTTTGACTTGGTGTTATTAGAGCATCTTCAATGTTTCCATAGAATCTTCATAACATTGCTGAACTGTTTGTCTTGTGAAAATTCCATCAACATGCATTCCCATCCATGGGCCCATAGTCTGGGCTTCAAATGTGAAATATATCCTCTCTCCAACTCTGAAATAGAAACAATCATAATATCTAGTAGAAGAATAGAAGATTAGATATATATATAGTAGACTANTCATTAATTTATTAATTCATTAATTTATTAATTCATTAATTTATTAATTCATTAATTTATTAATTCATTAATTTATTAATTCATTAATTTATTAATTCATTAATTTATTAATTCATTAATTCATTTATTCATTGAAAATCTGCCACAAAAGATTATTATATAAAGCTATTATATAATTATTATTTTACTTATTTTATTTAAACTGTTTCTTTTTTTTACTAAAAAAAAATAAGTAATCAGAGAGGGACACAAAAATAGAAGATTATTTAAATGTTCAGTGTAAATTAATAAAAAATATTTTTTTTAATTTGATGTTAAATTAACGTCATTTAATATTGCAAAAATACAATTTTTAACAGAGAAAAAATTACATCAAAATAACGTCATATGACGCCATCGAAAATTTAGTGTTTTAAAATTTAAATTTTGCTATTTTTTCCATTTCAAATAGTTCACCATAGTATATATAGACATGGCTACCAAGAAAAAAAGGTTTTAGTGATGATATTTGATCTTGAACAAAAAACAAAAAAAAACTGTAAAAAACTATTAAAAAACGTCTTGAAATAAAGTTATGTAAAATGATGTCAAATTGATGTAATTTAATGTAAGCGAGTCAGCCAGTGACGTCTCTGGCTTGCAGGGTAGTGAAACTTCCAGTTATTTTATTTTCAGTATGACTTTTTTTAGGAAAGATCTAAGAACAAATTCAGTGGCAGACTTGGTGCTAGAATTGGTTGGGAAAGAGTCCAGGATTTCCATGGTTCAAAATCATCATTTTCCCGTGTAAAATGTTGGTATGTAAATAATAACTTAAGACTAAACATTACATATTTTTGATAATACAGATTTAATATTTTTTCTGAAAGGAGAAGGATGGACAGTTGGAGAAAAGTTGAACCTCAAACAAATGCTGAAAGTGTTTGGTGTCTTTTGCCAAAGCCTTGTATAGAAGAAAGTAAGTTTGGTGTAAAAATAATTTCTTTAAGAATACTGTTCAATGTCCTGCCCCCCCCCCCCCCACTTTTAAATCAAATCATTTATGTTTGAAATATCAGTTGCATTCCTACAGCCTAGAATAACAGAGTTCTGCTAGAAAGCTCTCTGCACCATTTGCAGTGGATGCTGACGCACATATAGAGGAAGGGAAGGCCAAGCAGCCCTGAACCCGGTGCTCAATTAGCTAGCCTCCTTCTTAACTAAGTACTAAGTCAAGAATTAGAACTACTATGTCCAGGGTGGCCAAAATGTACGGATTGTACGGATTTTTTATTTTGTAACCCTAAAATTGTACGAAATGTACATTTTGTGCGGATTGTACGGATTTTTTTTTCAAATTGTACGGATTGTACAGACTGGTATTCTGGAAAGTGGAAATACACCGTTTATTTAATTTTCACTCATTTCAGCAAATTTTTCATGAAATTTTTAAAAAATTTTTTTGTCAAAATGAAGTTAGTTTAACTATTTTCTGCATTCTAAATAATATTAGATTGATTAATGTTTCAATTGACAATCAAAATTCATTCATAACTTTCGAGATCCCAGAAGTGTTCATTTGAGAATATGTTCCAGAAGTGTTCATTTGAGAATATGTTTATCTATCTGTCTATCTGTCTAGCTATCTGTCTAGCTAACTGTCTAGCTATATGTCTAGCTATATGTCTAGCTATCTGTCTAGCTAACTGTCTAGCTATCTGTCTATCTATCTTTCTAACTATCTGTCTAGCTATATGTCTAGCTATATGTCTAGCTATGTGTCTAGCTATCAGTCTATCCATCTGTATATCAATCTGCATTTCAGTTTATCTATCTTTTCATCTATATGTTTATATATCCTATCTGTCTCTCTGTTTATCTGTATGTGTATGTGTCTATCTGTTTCTCTGTCTATTTATCTGTCTATCTGTCTGTCCGTCTATCTATCTATCTGTCTCTTTATCAGATCTGAGAAGATCCTCTCAGGTTTCTTCCGTTTATCTGTAAATCTTTTCATTTTTAGTTCAATATTAACTTTCTTTTAATCTAGTTTTCTTGTTCTTTAGTTCTCTAGTTCTCTAGTTCTGTAGTTCTCTAGTTATCTAGCTCTCTTGTTCTCTAGCTCTCTAGTTCTCTAGCTCTCTATTTCTCTAGTTCTAATTTCTAAGTTCTCTTGTTCTCCAGTTCTCTAGTTCTCAAGTTCTCTAGTTCTCCAGCTCTCTAGTGTTTAATAGTAATGTTTAAGTTTTATAACTTACCTTACCTTATGTGGTAGACTTTTGTTATTATAAGCTGTGAATTCTGCCAGATTAAATAGGCTTCGTTTTAAAAACCAAAGGTTTACAGGTGGCAAAGATAAATGGATTTTAAAATTGAGTTCAAGTTGAGTTTCTTCAGTTGATCTTATTTTTTCATTATTTCCGGGTTCTCATCCAAGCCTTCAAATACCTACTGTAGTTTTTACTACCAGGAATATAGGTTGTTAGAGGGAACATCATTGGTTGCTGAGGGAAGGGTGGGGGGAGAAAGAGGTGGTGGGGAATGGGGGGGGGGGTGAGACAGTGTTGAATAATATTTTCAAAAATGGTTTTATTTCTCTTAAATGTACGGATTGCAGGGATTCTTTCGAAAATTGTACTGACTGTACAGATCTTAAAAATTATGTATAAATTTTTTTTTAAATTTACGGATTGTACGGATTTTTTTTTCGAAAATTGTATGGATTGTACGGATTTTTTTTCGAAAATTTTACGGATTGTACGGATTTCTTCTGAAATTGTACAGATTTTTGTACGGATTTTTTCAAAAAAGTTTTGGCCACCCTGTATGTCTAATACTATGTCCAGTTTTATATCCACTCTAATTAGCAATCAGAGCTCTTTCTGGAAGGGCCCTTTCCCTGCTTCCAGGGCAGAGCTGTTAAAATGGGACATCTCCTCATTCTGCATGTAGCAGTGCACACTAAATTCCTAAGGAATTCTGCTGGACTGGGAAACAGTATAACAAGTGGACAAATGGAGTGATTTTAACAAAACATTGTATAATGTATATGCCACTCCTGTAAACCCTTATCCTCATCTCCAACTCTCCACTGCCTACCATGTAGCCTTTTCACAAGCAGCGAAATGATACTTGTTCCTGGACATTTCTCTGTTGGATTCTACATTAAAATTACCTCCGAGGGGGTCACATCATTATCCTTTGTTGAATAGCAACCCTCCTTGTACAGGAACATAAAAATGTGCGGTTCATAGCAGGAAAGCTATTGCTCCCTTGCTGGAAATAGAATAGTAGTGATAACCTAGCTTATTCAAGTAGACAGAATTTTCAGCACTGAGGTTGCATTTTCAATTAAGCAAAACAAAAAAGGAGAGGGATACGTCTATAACATGAAAGGATGATCCTGCATTGTCTTTTAATGGCGCAAAATAAACATTCATTCTTTCAAAAGCAGTGCCATATTTGGACGGGCCAAGGGAGGCAAGAGAAACTACAGACGGGCTAATGGAAAAAAAGGAGAAAAAAGATGATTGATAAATATCAAATGTTTAAAGCCAAAGATATAGAGATTAAAAAATTAGAGTTTGTAGTAATGACTTAATTTCTTTGCCTTACTTGAAACAAACAATTATATGCAAGAAAAATATCTAATGGTTCAAATTCAAGGGATTATTCAAAGTGGGCTAGACATTTCTTACCTCTAAATAGTCTGGAGTGCAGCAAAGGACCATTTTAAGGTCAAAAATGTTAAGGTCATGTTAAAATATCCAGAGAAAATTAACCATCAGTTACCTGTCTCAAAGAGAAAAAATAATATTCAGCACTTTCTAAATCAGCAGTACATTTGTAATTTTGTGTCACATTCCTATCACATACCCTTTATTTGGGATGTGTTGAGAATGCAAAATTTACGAAGCTTGTGAAGAAAATCTGCAAATTTGATTTAAAACTCATTCAATATGGAATCCCATAGCTGAGAAAATATTCATAGAAGGGTAAAGATGGAAGACAGTAAGAAGATCTACGCTGAGGATGAAGTCTCCGCCCAGATTAAGGACAAGACCAGGAGGCCCTACTTAAGTCCTGGCAGGATTTTAAAAACTTCAACATTGATTTTAAATTTGAGGACAGACAGCCTGAAGAGGAGGCCATTATGGCTTATTTAAAGCATCTGAGACTGGAGAAACAATGGAAACGTCATTGGATTCTACATCAACAGTATCATGAAAGAAATTATGGCTGGAAGCTACTGATCCTTCCCAGGATCACAATGACAATCGAGGGGTTTGAGGAAGAGACCAAGTCCAATGAGCACTAAACACAGATTGTGCAGTGTAAACAGACCCATTTTACTTTGTTAGTGATTTAATCAGTCTCCAGTAAAAAATATTTGATTAACATCCATCAAATACAGCCAAGTTTTGCTATTAAGTCGTCTTCCCCAAGCAAAGGTCAGATAAGACCTCCATCAAGTTTCTGGTTCCACAGGAGGGAGGATTCTCCAATATGCTGGCTGTTTACTTGGACAAGGTAAAAAACCAATTGGATTAGTACAATGGGAGGGTCTGGTTCACCTGAAGGAAGACTGAGATGCTAACAACCCAGCACATGGGCTTGAACTGTGTCCACTTGATTGCTGCTCTGTAAAGGCTTCCTGACCACTCAGATTACACTTTCCATTTATTCAGGAGGAGCAATGCCACTAGGACAGCCGATGTAGGGGCCTCAACAGAGCAGCTGGTAGATTTCTTTGGTTGTAAAAATGCATCCATGTACAACTCTTCCAGTTGGCCTGCCATCTTAGGCATTGCCAACAGGCTCTGTGGCATGGTGTAAACAACACAATGAAGCCAAGGACAAAGAACACTGACAAGGAGGTGAAAAAATTGCAGGGAATGGAGAGACGTGCCCAGAGGTTCTCAGTCAGACTCAGTTGGTGCAGGAGGACAGCAATGTCTGATGAGATGGAGGAGGATGAGGAGATATTTCCACAGGCGGGGGTTCCCACCCAGACAATTTTTAAGGATAAGGGGAATGGCCAGCATGGGGTACCAGAAGCTTCAATCAAGCAGACTATATTTGCTTTACCTACTGCTAATGGAAGAAACATCAATCTTCAAGTTATTGAAATTTTTAACACGTTTGTTAATCTTTAATAATAATAAGTTTAAATACACTTTTTGCCAATAAGTAACAATATAGTTTAGTCTGTGTTTCCTTGTTATAGGCCTAAATAACAATATTTTCTGAAATGCATGGAATTAGACAGGATCTTATTTTGGCTCAGTAACATTATGCCTAGTTCCTGAATGCCAAGTTTGTGAATGCCTAGTTTACTATGCCTAGATTCATGAATGCCTTTATAACATTATGCCTATATTTCTGAATGCCTTTATAACATTATGCCTATATTTCTGAATGCCTAGAAAACATTATGCCTAGATTTCATAATCCCCAGTCACCCAATGTCTAGATAACATTAGACTGAATTGAATGCCTGTAGACATTGTCAAGCAATAAATAAATGATACTAATATGTTTACATGATTTATTACATATTTTATTGGTCAAATTTTTGCCTATCATGGGCCAAAGTAGAAATATAATCTGCTCTTGGCATGCTGTCAAAAGCATCAACAACACACTTTAATCTTTCTCTTGCATCTAGGGACCTCTGTTTCTTCTAGTGTTGGTTGTCATGGCCTGACCAACAGCATTAGATAAGTAGGCTCTTCTGGCCTCAGCATCCTGCTTGATGAACAGCTCCTGAATATGCCAGACATTTGGAGAATGACCTACCAAACTGCATCGCCAGTTTATAGTCTTCAATCCAGAGCCATTCCCAACATGGTTAAAGTTGTATTTGTCCCTTAATCCATCACCTCCCTTTCTCGTCCGAGTTGCACTTATGAGAGCAGCCATTGTTGCTGCAAGTCAAACTTTAACTGGAGTTGCACATTTTCAGAAATTTGTTTGTGGATTTTTGTAAAAATGTTACTGGATCGTATGCTTTTTTTCTCTCTCGTTAATATTTTTATTTCTCTTTGAAATACATTGTCTAGGCATTCAATGGACTCTTATGTTATCTAGGCTTAATGTTATCCAGGCATTCATGAATCTAGGTATTGTGTTCTCTAGGCATTATGAACTAGGCATTCAAAATCTAGGCATAATGTTATCTAGGCATTCAGAAATCTAGGCATAATGTTGTCTAGGCATTCACGAACTAGGCATAGTGTTACTGAATAATCACTAGGGATGATTTAGAAGAAAAGGGGGAAATTTAGAAATAGACCATGAAAAAAATTAGTGAAGTGGAGTAAGGCAAAGTGACATAAAAAGAATATACTTGTGTTTACTATGGCTAAAATTATGTTTGTTCAGATTACCAAGAATTAAAGTTGACAGAAGAACTTGAAGAAGATTGTGAAAATAAAATTAAGGAGAAGCATGTAGATGTAGAAGAAAATTGTGAAGAGGTTATTAGTAGATCTTCTAATCCTGAGGAACTTAATTGGAGCAATGCTTCTGATCTTGATTATCAGGTTACCATCATTTAGATCCTAATTAGTAGCAATTTACTGTCTACTAGCTAAATTATATCATCCTGTCTAGTGCTGGATTTCTAATTTGATTCATTTAAAAAACTGAAGACTTTAGGTGACTTCATTAAAATCTGCAGTATTATCATAATTTTAATTCATAATCTACAAGTTTGTCTCTATTACTGAATTCAAAAAGTTTACTGACAAGATATGAACCAATTGTGACTTGTCAGGATGAGCTTTTTTTAAATTTAAGGCTAGGTATCTTAAGAAAAAACAACAACTTTTATTTTAATTTTAACTGCTCCTCTTTAGTAATAAATGGGATTTTTGTGACACCAGCCTCGTCACTTTAAAAAGTGCTTGCTTTATATTGTTCTTGAAAAAAGTGGTCACCTTTGGCCATAGCAAAGACAATAACATCCTTTTCAGAAAATGGATTCAGCACATAAGGATTTACATGGCTCTTATACAGGGGTATAAATTTTCAAGAATCACACCTCTCCAAGGGGAAATGTTTTTTGAAAATACTGGGGGAAAATGAACTATTTGAGAACAAAGGCCAAGTTTTTTTTTTACCTTGTTTGATACTATTTACCCTTTAAAATGGTTTGTTTTCCCAATTCAGTAATAGAACAACAACAAAAAACATATACAAATATATATGTAGGAGAATAAAGTGAGACCTGTTGGAGCTCGAGAGTCAGAAAATCAAGAAAATCATGTTTTTCCGTGTAAACCACTCCAACATCAGGAACCCTGTCTCTTTTGTAATAAAACATTGCCCGAAAACAGGTTGATAGTTTAAAGTACTTTTATAAAATCATTAAAAAAATCTTTTTTAACCCTATCCCTGCAGGGGCACTTGAAAACCAGGATATGCTCTAAAAGATAAATGTGACTAATTATATGTTTTTGGAAATCACTTAAAAATGCCAATTCAGCTTTCCAAAAAATGTGTTTGCAAAAAAATTTGCACAAAGAAGCAAAAACATATATGTATCTAATAATTATATATTTAGCAGTTCTGTCCCCCTTTTTTTCGCTTTTTAGCATAACAAATTTAAATTTATCACAAGATTATGGTTCAACCTCAAGAGTTTTTGATTTGTTGATTTCCAAAATGCATTTTGCCATTTTGCAAAAATAAGCAGTAACTGTAAATTCATACTAAAGTTTCATATCACATCTTGCTGTACAGTTCTCTGACTATTTCTCAAAAAGAAAAAAGAAGAAAAAATAACAATTTTTTGAAATTCACATTTTGCATTTTTTGTGCGCAAATTCTAAATATTTCATACACATACTGCACATATTGGGAAAGCATCTGACCAGACCTTTTCTAAAATGATGAAATATTTTCAACTAAAGAAATATTTGTTAGCAACGTGTTGCAAAAATTGTGCAAAAAATTTGCACAAGCTATTTGCTGTTGAGTTGTTATTGTAAAATGTGTGCCAGTGGAAAAATAAATGTGGTTTCAAAACCTGTGCAAAACACATCATTGCAAAACTGCGCAAAACTGATTGAAACTGATATGGTTAATATACTAATCTATGCAGCTTTCCAATAACATATAATTTTATATTGTTGAATGAATTAAAAAACTGTTCGTTGTAATGCATATTTTGTTGAAAAATTTGTGATTTGGGAAATATATATTTAGGAAAAGTCAAGAAATTTCAGCATACTTATAGTTTTTAAGCATTATAAAAAACCATAGGAGACTGACCCTCCCCCTTCCCTCCCCCAGTAGGAATAGGGTTAAATAAATCAATAGATCTGACCCTCCCCCTTCCCTCCCCCAGCAGGAATAGGGTTAAATAAACCAATAGATCTGACCCTCCCCAGCAGGAATAGGGTTAAATAAACCAATAGATCTGACCCTCCCCCAGCAGGAATAGGGTTAAATAAACCAATAGATCTGACCCTCCCCCAGCAGGAATAGGGTTAAATAAACCAATAGATCTGACCCTCCCCCTTCCCTCCCCCAGCAGGAATAGGGTTAAATAAACCAAAAGATCTGACCCTCCCTCTTCCCTCCCCCAGCAGGAATAGGGTTAAATAAACCAATAGATCTGACCCTCCCCCAGCAGGAATAGGGTTAAATAAACCAATAGATCTGACCCTCCCCCTTCCCTCCCCCAGCAGGAATAGGGTTAAATAAACCAAAAGATCTGACCCTCCCCTCCCCCAGCAGGAATAGGGTTAAATAAACCAATAGATCTGACCCTCCCCCTTCCCTCCCCCAGCAGGAATAGGGTTAAATAAACCAATAGATCTGTTTGTAACTTCCAAAATTAGCCCTGAACTGGAAACTTCTGTGTTGGATACTCATAATCCTGATTTACTGTGGGCACTATTTATTTGAGATCAATGCTTCATTTCCTCATTTTAGTTATCCCTTTAGGGTACAACTACACTGTGGGATATTGTATAAAGATTAAATTAATGTGCAGATTAACAGAAGATCTAGATCAAGCATTGATCTTGAAATCAACAATACAAAAGTTCCCAGCTCTGAACAGTGACCAATTGATCACATCAGTCATTATAATTACATACTAAAAAAAGCACAAACAAAAACTGTTTTAATTCTGTGCTATTCTGGTCCAACCCAGCTTCTACCCTGGCTCGTCTCCAGGGGCGTACAAAAGCATTTGTGTAGGGAGGGGCACATTTTGCGTGCACCAGCGAGCAAAAAAAATGTGTGGCCCCCCCCCCCCCTTAAAACCCCCTTTTTTGAAAAAAATATTGATACCTTTTTTAACTAAGTAAACTATTTGATCATATACACACTTCCATATTACAAGCGTTATAATAAATTATGTATTTAATTTTTTCAAAGGGGGGGGGGGGGCACAAAATTCTGTAGTGTAAGCTTTAAGGGATAAAAAATACAGATGGAAATGTTTCTAAACGTGAGATTTTTAAGTATGTTTTTTCTATACGATGTAATTATACTTAAGTGGAATGCATGCATAATTTCAAGTGACCTTCCATTTATAGAGTGGCATGTCCAATGTACCTTTGAAACCTTCATTTCTCCAATGTTTCTGAAGCAAGAAATGCGTAAGTCACTTTTGTAGTGAAACCACCAATAAAGATATTCAGTTTTCAAACATGGATGTTTAATGCAATACTTGATCAGACAAAGCTTTGAAGGGTACTGTTGTGAATCAGAACATATCTTATTTCTTTTCTTAATCTTTTAGTTTGGGTGAATGCAATGCAATGCAATGCAATGTAGAATGTAGATTGCCTGAGGAAAGGAAATGCAAGCTGATGTATTGTTAAAAGAGCCCCCCCCCATGAGTGCCCCCCCTTTGTACGCCCCTGCTCATCTCATTATTAAAAGAGTAAGATCAGGTTGACTGATAAGCCATGGGATCCCAAAAAAATCATGATAATAGATTAATGATTAACTTCTTTCAGACTAGAGAATCACTTTCAGCGTAAACATGGGAATCTTCTGTTCAGTTGTGATAACTTCTGCTGTGAACAATTTCAATCACCTTGGATATCAGAGGTGATCACTCACCTGAAAGTGCAACATGACAGGTATCCAACTTTTTTTGTATTTCACCAAATAATATCTTGTAGTACATAGACCCATTTTACTTAATATTATGTCATTATTACTATTATTTAGACTGGAGTCTGATGATATTCTTAGCCGACACTACATCAGGATTCCAACCAACTTACAGTTAATAGTCTGCAAGGTCCAGGTAAGCAATATTTTTGACTCCAGGTGTTTTTAATAGAGATAAACAGACAAATTCCTGTATACGCCTCTGGTTTACACCTAGGCCTGTTAAAATAGATTAGGTGGATCGTTCAGTGCAACTGTGTTGAAATTGTTTCGGATCGTTTTTAGAAAAAATACAAGAAAATTTCCAAGATTAAAACTGCTTTGTTAAAGTTTGATTTTATAAAACTTTTATCTTTATCCCATAAAATAAATTAAAATTGATATACAGTTGTTACGACACGTTCATTTTTGGTAGCGCTTTTTGCATGTATCTTCTGCCAGCTCCCAGCTAGCTAAATTGTGCAAAAAAGAGCGCAATTTAAACGTCCCTTTTCACCTTTTTACGAATATTTTGCGTAGAGATTTTGGCACTTTTACGCAAATTTGATGCATGCAGATAGGCCATCCATCCCTGAGCACTGAGCAGGCATAGGTACTCTCTATTAACTGGTTCCGTTGCATTCATCAGGGAATACAGTTCAACATAGAGATTACTGCGTCTATGCTTTAAAATTTTTGGGAGTTATAAAAGTTATATAAAACTTTCTGATAGAAAATTCATTTTCCTAGGAAAAAAGTTTTATTTAAAATAATTTGAAACCCAAATCTTGACTTCTAGATGATATACTTTTAGAAAAAAAATTTAATCTGAACCTTTTTACTTTTTTCAAATTTTACGTGAAACAAACAGAGACACCTTGCGGTGAAATTTAGTACTAAAAATCAGTGTGCTATGTAGCGCTATAAATTCTCTGCCCAATTACCCCCCCCCCTTTCCCACTCTTATCTACAAATCACACGGCTTTCTATATAATAAAACATTATTATATATTGCTGCACTCTGCACCGTGTGCACACACCTGGGCCACTCAATTCTTCAATATTTAAAACACTCAAAACAAATGCGTAAAAAGAGCTCAATTTTTACGCAATTTGAATGCCAGCAAAGACAACTTAAATTTTTAAAAAATTTATTTTTTCAATTTATTTTTTGGAAAATGCAATATGATTATGCCATATTGGAAATTTTAGATATTTCACTGCATAATTTAGATTAGTTTTAGGCAATTACGCAATTTGTATACCTGAAATAAAATGATACACATCTCTACAAATTCATGATGTTTTTACTTAAAGCTGGGTTATAATATTTTCTTAGGAAAAATTATATATTTACACAAATTTGAAATCTAAACTTACGCAAATTTGCATTTTAATTGTGTAATTGGAGCCAAAATAATATGTGTTTACGTTGCTTACGCAATTTGGATAAATTTCAAAATTTGACACACTAAAAAATTGCAAATGTTTTCAAACATTTGCTACAATTATAAATTTTGACCCCGAAAGAAAATATAGGCAAAAAAACAACTGATAAACGAACCAACTATAAGCACATTACATAAATTGCGCACTAGAAATCAAGCATTTAATTCAGGATTGTGATGAGGCTGTATTTTTGGCACGGTCAACCGAAGAGGTCATGTCAGCTCTGAAGACACATCAACTATCTGTTCATCCAAATAGAGACATCAGTGCCTGCTTCAGTCTAACTTGCAGGTCTCTTTCATATTATTTAGGGGTTATTTTACATTATGAAGTTTTTTTTAAGGTCATCTTTATTCTCTGCTATCAGATTATGATTCAAATTTAGTTGCTTAGTGGAAAGTTTGTATTGCCTGGCTTGACATTTTTTAGTATATTCCATCCATTTTTATTAATTTAAACCACAATTTTTTCTTGTAAAAAAAAATAAAAAAATATCTTGCGAACCAAAATATTTACTACAAACTGAAGTGCCAGGCATTGCCCATGGAAGTTTTGAAACACTTAACAAAATTGAATTTAAAAAAGTTGGAATTTATATTCGACTTTTTTAGTCTATTTTTTTGGCCAGCTATAGCTAACATATATTTATAGAATCATGCTGCTGATGAATGTCAAACATGAAACACAGTATAAATATATATATATATACAAATATATATATGTTTGAGCAAAGAGAGCCTTATTATATAGACTACTTAAATTTAAAAACTTATCACAATCAGGTTCTGTGGCTCTACTTTCAATTATGATGAAGAGAAAGAATGGTCTAAACACATAGCATTTGACCACAGGAACTTGCAGTTTTTAATTAATTCTAAACATACATTGTTCTTGCTTACTAGTGTATCATAGAATCCCTCAGAGGTTTAAATTTTCATATTGTTCTAATTTTTCTGAGAGTTTATGTTAAAAACTTGAGTTGGCTCAGCCTGCATGGAGTATAGATGATTCTGAGTTGTGCTGTGAGTGTGTGTTATTGGGATTGGGGTGGGAGGCATAATCCCCATGCATTCCTAAGTAGCCTAAAAGCGGGATGATTGACATTTCTTTCTCTGAACTATTACATGGAAGGCAAGCTTCTGAATTGTTAGGAAATCGCAATGGTTTACCAACCCAATAGGAAGACAGACATGTAAAAAACTTTGGAGTATACATGAGAGTGTGTTATTGGGGCTGGGGTGGGTTGGGTCCATATATTCCTTAGTAGCCATAAAGAGGGAGCAAGATAGAGATAATAATTGTTAGGAAATCACATTGGTTTACCAAAGCAGTAGCAACTTTTTTAATTTTATTTTGAAAAATTTTTGAAAACTGTAATATTTAGAGATTTAAATTTTTCAAAGCTTTGCTTTGAATTAAGCTTATCAGTACTTTCCAGAGAACCTAACAGGTCAGAAGCTTTTGGTGATTTAATAACAAGTGAAAAAAATGTACACTTTAAGAAACCTAGTTAGTCAAAAAAACATTTTAACTAATGGGGAAGAGATGTTAAATGTACATTATACGTTTCTCCAATGCCAAGAAACTTTTTGCAGGGGTAATTTTAAAATTTGATTGTTGAGAACTGAATCTTAGTCTCAACACTTTTTAATAATCTTACCTTTGAGAAATTATCTAAACTTTTACCCATTTAAGACTCAGAACCAAGAAATGTAGACAATACTAACCCTGTATGCTTAAGGTGTGAAAGTCAGAATAAAGAGGAAACTGATAAGAGCTTGAATGTGGATGAACCCTCTGACATCAGTTCTGATGAGAATACATCAAAATCAGAGCCTCAGAGCAGCTGTAGTGATATCAAACAGGAAAGAATGAATTAATGGAGTAATGCCATTTTTTTAAATCAAGTTATTTATTAATCTTTTTCAATTTGGTTTCACTAACTATTTCAAATGTATCAAATTGTACGGATTGTACAGATTTTTATCCTGGAAATACACCGTTTTTTTTATTTTCACTCATTTCAGCAAATTTTTCATGAAATTTCAAAAAAAAAATCTCGTCAAAATGAAGTTAGTTTAACTTATTTTCTGCATTTTAAATATCATTAGATTGATTAATGTTTCAATTGACAATCAAAATTCATTCATAATCTTCGAGATATGTCCCAGAAGTGTTCATTTGAGAATATGTTCCAGAAGTGTTCATTTGAGAATATGTTTATCTATCTGGCTATTTTTCTAGCTATCTGTCTAGCTATCTGTCTAGCTATCTGTTCTGTCTAGCTATTTGTCTAGATATATGTCTAGCTAGCTGTCTAGCTATCTATCTAGCTATCTGTTTATCCATCTGTCTATCAATCTGTATATCTATCTGCACGTCAAATTATCTATCTTTTTATCTATCTGTTTATATATCCTATCTGTCTCTCTGTTTATCTATATGTGTATGTGTCTATCTGTTTCTTTGTCTATTTATCTGTCTATCTATCTGTCTGCCTGTTTATCTATCTATCTATCTGTCTCTTTATTGTGAACATCCTCTCAGGTTTCTTCCGTTTATCTGTAAATCTTATCATTTTTAGTTTAATATTAACTTTCTTTTAATTGAGTGTGCAACCCCTGTACCACGCTAATTCTAGTTATATTAGATCCTAAATCTACACTCCACTCTTTCTAATTATAACTTAATCGTTTGTTTGTTAAATGGCCTAATTCACACCGATCTAAACAGTTTTAAAAATTAGAATCAACACTCTTTAGTTCTAGAGTTCTCTGGTTCTCTGGTTCTCTGGTTCTCTTGTTCTCTGGTTCTCTGGTTCTCTTGTTCTCTTGTTCTCTTGTTCTCTTGTTCTCTTGTTCTCTTGTTCTCTTGTTCTTCAGTTCTATAGTGTTTAATAGTAATGTTTAAGTTTTATATCTTTGCAACCTTATGTGGTAAACTTTTGTTATTTTAAGCTGTGAATTCTGCCAGATTAATTAGGCTTCGTTTCAAAAACTCGAAAGTTTTCAGGTTGCAAAGATAAATGAATTTTAAAATTGAGTTGTAAGTTGAGTTTCTTATTTTTTCATTATTTCCGGGTTCTCATCCAAGCATTCAAATACCTACAGTAGTTTTTACTACCAGGAATATAGGTTGTTAGAGGGAACTTCATTGGTTGCTGAGGGAAGGGTGGGGGGAGCTAAGAGATGGGGTGAGAAAGAGGTGAAGGGGAATGGGGGGGGGGGTGAGACAGTGTTGAATGATATTTTCAAAAATGGTTTTATTTTTCTTAAATTTACGGATTGCAGGGATTTTTTTCGAAAATTGTACTGATTGTATGGATTTTTTCGAAAATTGTACGGATTTTTAAAAAAAATGTACGGATTTTTTCAAAAAAAATTTACGGATTGTACGGATTTTTTTTGAAAATTTTACGGATTGAACGGATTTTTTTTTTCAAAAATTGTACAGATTCTACGGATTTTTTCCGAAAATGTATGGATTTTTGTACGGATTTTTTCAAAAAAGTTTTGCCACCCTGTATATTGTTGCTAGAAATAAGCTGACGTAACTATTAAATGGATCTTCTTGGACCTTGGTATGACAGTATAATAGCTGATTGTTCTTGATGATTTTTCTTATATTTTTTTTGTTTAATTTGGTTTAAAAAAAATGAAACTTGCATGCTATGCAACATAATTAATTTCATGTTTCCTATCACATGCTAAAATGTGTTAAATTTGTTTTTATTTTATTCTATCTTTATATTTTATTTATTAACTACTTTTTTTAATATTTTGCATGAACTAAAAAATTTGATGAAAATCTTATAAACATATTTTCTTGAACTTATTCAGTATTTATCCTAGACTAACCATTAATTATTGTAATCTTGGATTAGAAGGAGGAAAGAATGTATGTTTCAAGAATAAACCTAGATAAATCTCTGGGTGAAGATGAGTACACTGAAGATAAAGAAGGCCACACAGAGAATGAAGATGATCCTCACACTGAAATGGATGTTCTCCCATCAAAACAGGAAACAGCAGTATACACTCCCCTCCCCCCTTCAAAAAAAAAACTTTTTTATGTCTTAAATTTAATTTTATCGATGGTAACTCATGAGAACTGAGACACAAACTATCAAATAGTCGACCATCAATATGTAAAAAGATAAGTGTTTGTGTAGGGAAAATTAAGTAATTTGAGAATTTAAAAAACGAGGTTATAAATAATCTTAACTTTTTAGCTCTTTTATTTTTAAAAGTACAATAAATCTTTTAAATACGGGGAAAGAGGTAACTTTTGTAAGTATATACTTCTGGAAGGAGATTTGTCCTTTTTGTTTGGATATACTCTCAGGGGACAAGTTGATCCAACATATACTTCAGGTATCTACAATAAGTACACAAGTCAAAACTTCTGTAATGGAAATCTCTGGATTAAACACTGAACTCGATAATTTTGCAGATCTATGGATTATGTTAGCTTCTTTTAAGCATTGATTGATTGATTGATTGATTGATTGGTGTGTGGGTGTAGGACGTCCCTAAAAGAATGATTTGATTTGATTTTGATCCTGAAATTCAAAAGTGCCCACATTTGATATCAATATCAAGTTTAGGCTAATCAAAACAAAACTGACCAACTTCAGGATTTATAAAAAAGGAGATAAAATAACAACTTTTAAATCATCTTCTGTACATAATCAATCAATATATATTCAATCAAACCTCATAATTTTGGTCTGCCTTTTTGTAATTTAAAACTTATTTCTGATACCCTTTACGTCGTTTTCCTTTAGGTTAGTTTCCATACCATCATAAAAATTGTCTCGAGATTTTCAGTTTAAAATGGACTGTAGATGTAAATTTAAGTGACACTTTACTAACAGAGTAGAATATGAATTAATTCTTCATTGAACAGTTCAATGAAGAATTAATTCATATTCTACTTTGTTAGTAAAGTATTTGAACAATTATAAAAAAGCTTTATATTTTGTTTCGTCAATCTTGATAAGTATTCTAACTATTTGAAAATTGATTGGAAAAACAAGAATACCCCATTCATTTTTGATAAAACAAAGGCTTTTGTTGTGAATCAGCATAAAAGGGTCACTTGAAATTACATCTACAGTTTCCTTTAAATCAAAGCTTAAATTCTATATCCAATAAATCTTTAGTGTTATTAATTTTTGTTCTTATGTTAAGGAACATGAAAATAACCTGTTCTGTTGTCCTATGTGTTCCGATAATGATAGGTTCAGGACTTGGACTATTCTAGCTATGAAAAATCATTACTTGCAGGTGAATTGTGGGGGTTTAACCTCCTTTCCAGGCGCGTACACAGGATTTTAGCCAGGGGGGGGCAAGATTTTTTTTGCCCCCCCCTGGCTGTTTTTTTGCCCCCCCCCCGGAATTGTTTTGTTCAAAAAGTCAATTAACACCATAAAAATACATCAAAGATTACATTTTTGGGTGTTACTAACTTTATAGAGTCTAAAAATTATTCCTTAGCTATAAGTGCAAGATCGTTAAGTCTGCTCTCCGTCATAGTACATCAATTGTGTAATGAAGTATTCTCTTTAGAAGGCTAAAACTTCTCTTTCCTTGAAATTACGCTTAATATCTCTTTATGGAAATAAAGGAATTGAGTCCTTGCCACAAAATCTGATTTTCTAATCACTATATCTTTGGAACCAAATGCTGTAGACCTTAGATATTTCAAGCTATGAATTCTGTTATATCAAATATTCTGAATTTGAAATATCAAAGGTTTACAACATCAGGTTCCAAAGGTTTGAATATTTGAGTTTGTGCCAAAGACTTGATTCCTTTATTAATTGACTGTAAGAAAAAATAGAAAAATAGAAAACAGAATACCTTTATTACATCTTCCATCATGTTATAAGCATATAATATGTCGAGGTCTCGTTTTGCAAAAGTTTTAGTTTTAAGTATCCTAAAATTTTGTGTTAACAGTGAATTTAGACAATTCCTTAGTCTTTGTCATTGTCAGGTGTTACTTTTTAAATTTATTTCCTTTTAATTTTGTATTTTCCAGGGAGGGGCAAGAGGACTACTGCCCCCCCCCCTGTGTACGCCACTGCTCCTTTCAATAATAATATTTTCATAACTGTTGTTATGTTTTACATGAAATTTTACATAAGATCTTGCAAATTTTCTTGTATAAAAAGTAACAAAATATAAGCAGTACAATAAAAATGTAACCTTGATAAATCAGAGAGTGAGATATGTTTCAGAAGGGGGGGGGGGTGAAGTTGTACAAAGCTTAAGCTGGTATGTGATGTTTTATTACACATTATGTAGCACAGAAATAGCTGTAGGCAGAAGAAAATGAAGGAAAGCAACCCAATATTCCAGAGCCTACACTATACACACAGTTCACACGTGCATTGTCAGTAGTTGACAGACAGCGCACATCTTAGTTCAATTTCTCAACGCTAGATGGTATTTCGATAAATCACTAGACATCACAGTTTGAATACATATACACACACAAAATGACTTGAGATAACAAAAAAGTTCAATACTTGGAAATATTTGTCAATTAACTGTGGGTAAACCCTAAATAAGTACTATGTTCAACACTTTTCTTTAGAACTAGGAATTTGGGAGGGGTGTTAAATCTATTTATACCCAGTTCAACTCATTATACGGTTAAGATTATACTTCACAGGATCATTTCTGTAGTATGATTGACAAGTTTCCTGTCTGAAACTTGAAACCTTACTCAGCCATGATGATGAGACACATGGCGTGTTCAGAGCGTGAAAAGGTTTCAATCTTGCAAAGGATCGAAACATTGATGATCGCTCGGAGACCTTCCAGTCTCCGAATAGAACATGTCATCGTCTGAGTGGTACTTTATAATGGTGATCTCACCTATCAACGTGAAATATATATTCAGGACATTTCTATCTATTTCAAAATCAAGATAGTTTTCTTTATTGTTTTCCTTTCTTGCATATAATAAGTATACCTAATGCTAACAAAAACCTAAATCTTGTTAATTCTTAAAAACTTAATATCTACCTATGTTTAAGTTGAGTTTTTCATTTTCAAAAATGTCTTTTACTATAATACTCTAGTTTAAATACTAAATATTACTAACATAACAGATATATAATAAAATGTCGATTTTTAGAAACAATACTTTTTTCTGCTAGTTTTGTTTGAAGGAGAGATTAAGTACATGCAAGGTAATTGGACTGTATGTGTACCTTTATAGTATCTTATACTTATGCTTGATATCAAAGAAGCCAAATGTTTTGAATTCACTGTTAAAATTTTGCCCCCCCCCCCATGAGCTCTTAGGGGGGGGCAAAAATTTGTTTGCGCTTAAAGCATATTCCCCCCCCCCATATTTATTTCTGTTTACGCCCTTGTCTCTGAATCAGCTGATTCCCCCCTCCCTCCAGGCCTCCCTATAGTTGGCAATGGCATATCAACAATTTGTGTCTGTGTGTAGCTACAACTAGTAAGTATTATTTAGCTAAAAGGTATGAAATTGTTTCTGTTATGCAACAAATATTATTTTTTGGTAAGACATTCCAGAATACTTATATTTCTATCCTTGACGAATATAATCTAACTTTTTTTAATATATGTCAAATTTCTAAATTTCAGTATTTTACTGAGCAATAATTAAATTTTTAAAAGCCATTGGAATTACATAAAATGGAAAATCATCTCTGTTCAACTTAAGTAATAGTTTATTTTTCTACTCAGGACTTTAAATTCCACATGTCTTGGATGTGACGTCATGTGTAGAAGTCTTTAGTTCTTACAGTTTCTAGCAGATGGCTATAGTGGTTCATACTTTGAGACCACTTATTTTATAATATGGCTGTTTTTGATTCATAAAGTACATGATGTCCTAGCAGATGAAACATAATCTTATAATTCATAATATTTATATAATGTTATGGTTTTGAAACTTCCAAAAACAGTTTAGAACCAGGAAATTGGGAGGGGTGTTAAATCTATTTATACCCAGTTCAACTCAATTTAAGGTTAAGATTATACTTCACAGGATCATTTCTGTAGTATGATTGACAAGTTTCCTGTCTGAAACTTGAAACCTTACTCAGCCATGATGATGAGACACATGGCGTGTTCAGAGCGTGAAAAGGTTTTAATCTTGTGAAGGATTGAAACATTGATGATCGCTCGGAGACCTTATAGTCTTTGAATTGAACATGTCATCGTCTGAGTGGTACTTTATAATGGTGATATCACCTTTACAAATTGATTTATTACTGCAAATATGGTTATGTACTATTTATTGAAAGTACACTTTTTAATTATTCATAATTGCATCTGTTCAGTATAATATTTATTACTCAAAGAGGACAAAAAATAAACTATTACTTTAATTTTGTCTTAAATAATGTTAATATTTATTTTTAAATGGGGGGGGGGTTGCATTTTTATTTCATTCATACTATTCATTTCTAATCTGAATCTGTTTTGTCTATTTCAATCTTACTAATACCTCCACATGGAGTGAGAATACAGAATAGCAGCTGGAGTTTGACGATAATTACAGCTGCTAGAATTGATATAGATAGATAGATCCAGAATATAGCAGCTGGTGAGAGAGAAAGTTGGAGAATGCGAGTTAGCCAAACTTACAGCTGTGTGTTTCCCGCGTGCTGAGCTGGCCAATAGAAAGAAAGTTAGGTTTCATTCGCCAATCACAAGTCTGAAATGGCATAGCATTGCACTTGATCTTATTGAACATAGTTTTCCAGCTCTCCAATAGATGACAGTATAAAAGAGTGCACTAAAATAAGTATTTTTCCTAGATGCATGCCCACAAATATTATTCTATTAAAAATCTAGATATATAAGCAAACTAGTGAAGTATTTTTAGAACAAATTATTAGAATATTTTAACTCAACAAGTAAAATGCTTTTCTTGTTTGCTACCCGATTTACATATACCAAGTCATGAAACTTGATTGGTATACTCAAGCCTTCCACACATACCGAATAAATCTTTCGCCTTTTACTAAAGATTTCCGTGTATGGGGGGCAACAATTGAGACTAATAATATTTATCTTCGAGCTACCTTTGGTAGCTTCCTAATCTATATATACTATTGACAGAACTTTACAATAAATCTTAGATTGCTCATCTGTAGATCAAATATATTGAGGGAGAGTTGATTTGGCACAAGAAAAGTCTTAGTTTTAATAAATGTCTTGTGTCTAACCACTTTCCTGAGTTGACTTAATTGCATACAATATTTTTTATACAAATATGTGCATTGATAAAAGCTATTGAACCCTAACAAGATGATTATTTAGGTCCACCCGGGGGTTCTTCTTAATCCTAGAGCTCTGAATTTAGAGGTACAATATTTGTTTATTTGATATATTTTTAACAGTTGATCATTCCTGTGATAAACTGCAAGATAGACCTAAACTTTATAGCTGCAAACTGATCACCTAATGATTTATAAATTATTAAATGCATGCTTTTACACATTCAGTTTTTAAGATTTTCCCTTGTTTTGTTGTGCTCAATTTTTCATTTAAAATTTACTATTTCAATATTATAGCACCACCATATCTGGAGAGTTTTGAACTTGTGTGATAGTTCTTTCTTCCATGTTATCTAATTTTTAATATGTTAATATTTTAGAATGTTGAGATGAAGATGAGCATTTGTAAAATATGCAAGATGAAAATATTAACTGGTAAAATATTACCAATGCATGCAATAATGATTTGAATTGAATTGAAGAATTTGTGAGCTACTTTAAGCAAGGAAATTTGTGAGCGTAACCCCGGGTCCTACCGATAGACTACTCATTAGACATGCTGTGTAAATGCTACTCAGTCATTGGTTCAATTTAAACTTTCTAACCTGGTATTGGTCATAAATTCTGTAATGCTAGAAAAGGATTTGGTGAATTAGTAATAATGTACACCAATAGATGAACATACTAGTCATAATTTGTATCACTGATAAACATGCTAAGATAATTTAATACAGCTTTATTTTCCAAGTCAAAATTGTTTCTCATAATATTTAACAAATATGATGCGTCATTTCTGCCAATAATATCCTATTACTTCTAGCTCAAAAAAGGATGTCTTTTATTTCATCTACACAGAAAACAAATAACCAGAGGACATGAAGTTTAGGCATACTTACCTGGCGTGGAGGTTAACCGTGATCAAGAAGGAGGTTCCTCTAGGGTGAGGCCTTTCCATTGCACTACGGTTGGGCTGACCCCTACGATTACCCCAAATGTGGGTAACTCGAACGCGTAATTTTTGATAGTGGGGGACTGCGTTCGCGCTATCCCCTTAATATCGCTTCTCGGCCTTTTGGCTAAGATCAAAGTGTAGTATCTGTTCTTATCAGCTTAATATCTGATACGGGGACCATGTGTCCCCTTCGATATTAAACTTATTTTTGTTAGGGGATGAAGTTAAGGAGCTTGCTCCGGCTTTATCATGGGTTGGCCTAGTATTGCAGTACCACTAGGATCGGCCCACTTCCCCACTTACCATCTGGATCAAAAAAATAAAAAAGAATATATGGTTATAGTTTGTTTGCTGATTTTAATTAGGGAAATATTTTTATGCTAGACTTGTGTGAATAATATGCACATTTTAAATTGATTTAACTACTTAGGAGATGCTGTTATTCTTGCCACTCATCTATTAGATCATGACCTAGGCCCAGACACATCACAATTTAAAAATTGTTGCAGGTAAAGCTCAATTTTTTTTTTAAATCATTCTTTGAAGAAAAATTTGTTCCAGGATTTGTTGCTTGTATTCTGAATCTGATGCGGAAGAAAAAGAGTGCTTTGGGAATCATTACTGTAAAGAAGGAAATGAATTGGAAACTAGTATTACTGAAAGCGTATTTAAAGATACTATTGAAGTTATCAAAGAAAATAGAAATTTACACCTGGGTCCTTCACCAAGTGGGAATGTTAAAATGTCTGCACAGAATAGAAGGAAAGTAAGAAATTTAGAATTTTTGAAATAGTTTTATCATCTATTTATGTACAGAGCATTCCATATCATTATCTTTAAGTTTTAAAGCTTGCAAATTACGCACAGAAAAGTATGTAGACCTTATACAATTTTTTAAATCTATCTTTTAAAAATTTTAGTTTAGTTCTGAAAATGGCGTAATTTAGAGCAATTTACACGCACCTCTGCCCCTTTAGTAAAAGTAAATTCAACCTATATGAAGCATAAAGTCGGATCTCGTCAACCTTGTTGCACTGGCTAGTCCTGTCCATAGAGGCAGGTACAGTACAAACTGGGACCGGAAAGGTTGACCCGTCTCGGTAATTCAAATGTACTACGGCTGCCCGTGAATATGCACAATCAAATGTGGGAAACCCTTTTTATATATTTTAGGTTTGTCCAGAAAGCAAGGAGGTTCTCAAGAAAGGTAAATAATTAAGTTTTAAAAACTATATATTATATTTTGTGTAATTTTTTAGTTACTAGGCTTTCAGAGCACAATTAACACCCATCTTATATTTCAACTGTGGACATTTTCTCTTAATGTATACTGCATAAAACAAAAACAAAAAGTTCACAAATTTTATAAAAATAAGTCTTGGAATTTCAAAATTTAATGAAAATCAAAATTTGTTTGAGGTGAATTTTAACAATTTAATCATCCATAATTTCATTCCTTGGGGTCATATATGTGAGGTCCCACACAAAATTTGGGCCCCAAAGTTTCCGCCGTTTTTACGTTATTTGATGCAAACAAACAAACAGGCAGAACAGACAGACAAGAAAAGTATGTACATATATGAAAGCTGCAGTTTTTAGTTTTTATGTATTAAAACCTAGTTTTCTCCTCGAAATAGCATGGATGTTTGATCATTTGTGTAAATTAAAATTAAGTGCATTTTTAAGTATTAACTTCATAAATCTTTACTTTCATTAATATTTGAAGAGCAACATTTATATTACTAGGAAATTGGGCGTGAAGCGCCCCATCAATTTTGTAATGAATTGTGTGTGTTTTATAAGCTAGATCTGTATATAGTAATGACAGTTATATCACCACGTGTTGTGAGAGTTGGGGCCCTATCAGGGTTACGGCTAGCTATCATAGAGCTTGCAGCTGCTCTCAGCTTTCCACAATCAATCTATCCATATGCTTTACTCTATCTATCTATCACTGAAGTATCTCCTGGGTAACCGGTACTCTAGAATATCCAATAGGATATGCTTTGGATGAATTGACCAATTGCATTGCTTTTGGATAGTTTTAGTCCAATCAGAGCAGTAGACATATAATATGGAAGTCAATTAATATTTACACATAGATGGCAACCCTAGTAATTACTTCAGAAGGATAGATTTAGTTCATACACTAAAATAAACACTTAGATAATAAATATTTTAACATTATTTTATGCGATAGTTTTTCCTGGAATGATATGATTTCAAATTCATCATCTCTTAAATGTTTGTTCCATTTTCTAGTGTCTACCCAAATAACAAATACTCATGCGAATCATTACATGGTATCGCTTCTCGGCCTTTTGGCTAAGATCAAAGTGTAGTATCTGTTCTTATCAGCTTAATATCTGATACGGGGACCATGTGTCCCCTTCGATATTAAACTTATTTTTGTTAGGGGATGAAGTTAAGGAGCTTGCTCCGGCTTTATCATGGGTTGGCCTAGTATTGCAGTACCACTAGGATCGGCCCACTTCCCCACTTAATCACAAGGATCAATACTGAAACACACATTTAGTTTTTATTGCATTGTTTTCACTTCTCCATCATGTGAAATGTTAAGGATTCGCACTAAGCCCTTGCGTTAAATCAATTACAAATACTAAATAAAATGCAGAATTAATTGTATATTCATAATAGTCACAAATCTTTTTATATTATTAAACTAAGTTTGCATTTTGCGAATTTTTTCGTCGAGTTTTCTATTTTGAGCTTTGAGGGAATAACTCTGATTTTGGAATTTTTTCCCTTTTCTTGTGTTTCGTCATACATTTTCTTTAGCTTTTTAATAGCTGGACGGTATAATTATGTTCGTTCCAGGGAGCAGTTCTGAACAGCTCCAATAATGTTAAAAATTGAGGGAACAGCAGACTTTGACAACTTTTTCCCATTCACTTTTATATAACTAGGAAAATGTTTGTTGCAGATAACATTCGGATTGGGTCTTTTCCAATCTACTAGGTTTAACCATTCCTCCCGAATAGAGTGTAAAATAACTTCGGGAATGGAACTATTTGAACAACAATATTTCACTGAGCAATATATCATATTGACGAGAACTGAAGAAGGATATGAGGACTAAACTAACTTAAATTTCTCTCTACAGAACTCATGTACACCACAAGTACTCAATACGTCTTATGCGCAATCTATCATTATCTATATGGTTGTAGACCTTAGATATTTCAAACTATGAATTCTGTTAGATCAAATATTCTGAATTTGAAATATCAAAGGTTTAAATATTTGAGTTTGTGGCAAAGACTCAATTTCTTTATTAATTGACTGAAAGAAAAAAATAGAAAAATAGAAAATAGAATATAGAATACCTTTATTACATCTTCCATCATGTTATAAAAAGTAAATATGTGGAGGTCTCGTTTTTACATTAAATGTTTACAATAGCCTTTAGCCTTGAGAATTGAGAAAGATTAAAATATTAATTTTTAAACTAACTATAAGTATAATAAAATTTCTGCAATAACTCTATTGGTTTTCTTAATATTTGTTTGATGCTGATTTTCGCCATTCTGTCTTTCTTGTCATTCTGCAGGGGGGGGGGGGGGGGCCCCCCCCCTCTCAGGTGCTAGGGGAAGGCGCGCGCCCGGCTGCCCCCCAAAGTTGCGCCTCTGTGAGAGTCATTATTTAGTATCCTATTGCTTAACGACTAACATGTATAAAAAATCAATATTGTATTGAACAATTGTGAGCATTTTCCAGAATATTTGTGAGCGCTTTATGACAAGGAATTTCATGTAGAAGAACGATGCTGGTCTCCTATTGGACAGAAATTTCGGAATTTTACAAGCATTTTTGTCTTCAAAACATACCACTTGGTGACACTACTGATAGTTTACTAAAATAATGCTGTTTATTAGCCTGGGCCTTATAATTGATATTAAATATAATTTTATCATCTTTTGCAAATAATGTAATGTCGAAAGCCTGCAAGATGTGAGAACCAAGCTCTAATGCTCTCATTTGATAAAAGCTACTGTTCGTTTCTCCTATCCTTTAGACTAATATGCAAGAACACAAATCCATAGACATACTTACCTGGCGTGGAGGTTAACCGTGATCAAGAAGGCGGTTCCTCTAGGGTGAGGCCTTTCCATTGCACTAAGGTTGGGCTGACCCCTACGATTACCCCAAATGTGGGTAACTCGAACGCGTAATTTTTGATAGTGGGGGACTGCGTTCGCGCTATCCCCTTATATACAGTGAATGCCAATGATTTCCTTAAATTTACTAAGCAATAAATTATTCCTGAAAATAGCACCTGTTATAAATCTGAATAAAGATTCTGGAGAAGTAGGTTAGAGTTGTAAATTGATTTATGAAAGATAAGCTTGGTCCAAATCAAACAGTTTGTGTAGAACTTAAGAGTTAGACATGGAAACTTGGTGGAGGAGTGAAACCCAAGTCGAGAGAGAAATATTGGTTTCAATTGATTTTTTGATAATTTCTCTGAAGTTGTTACAATATCTGAATCACAATAGTTAATTTAATAGGATAGTACACAGTGACACAAGTGTAACATTAAAAATGATTTATTGATTCTAGAAGGATTTATTCCTTTTTCAGCTGGGCTCATTTGAATATAGATGGCTTTACTTTGCTTCAGCTCCAAAGATTATTCCTGATGCACAATGTATCTTTTGCTCTATAGAATGATCAGGTCAATCTTCAAAAGACTACAAAGAAAGCAATTTATTTCAGATAAGAAAAACCTTACTTTTATTGCCATCATAACCAAGATGTATATTACAAAACAATGAACTGAGCTGGGAACTTTCGAACAGTTGATATTGGAATTATAATGCTTAATTAATTTTTTAATCTTGAGATTAAAAATTGCTTGTCCTCCTCTTGTTATTAATCTTCAGATTAATTAACTGATCTCGGGATGAAGGATATCCCATTCTAAAGTTTTCAGCTGGTAGTTTTTGTTAACTTTGCCAAGTGGCGATACAGTAACCAATGATTGAATAGAGAGATACTGTTATAGCTAGTAGAAAACTATAACCAGAGTTGATGTGAAATATCGTCATCTAATGCAATTTCTGAATGCTCTTATGGGAGCAGTAAAAAATTATGATTACTCTTTTCTTTATTTTTAAACAAAATTAAATTTACTGAATTCTATAGTTTCTTGCTATAAAGAATAAGCATAAACTTTGACTTACCATCCTGATATATCACAAGGATTTATGTAAGATTAAAAAATCATAATATTAATTGGAAATTTCCATAGAATATGGTCAAATTGAGAAATTGATAGATACAGTCTCATTACGTTGGAATGCCAGCTGATAAGGTGATATTGGCCAATAGGGTGTACCTCCCAAGCTTTACAATCCTCTTTCTAATCAATTCGGAAGATGGCAGCACTGCAGTTGAAACTAAATCTCAATTGTATGGGTTTGACAGACAAAAAGATTCAATTTTCTTTGTTCAAAATAGGCTAGTACACAGGAATTAAGCCTGAGACTACTTCTAGTCCACTGTAGTCCCAATTCAAGGACTACATATTATAATGTATCTATCTGTAAATGTATTACCCTCTGTAGTCCTGAGTAGTTTCCTGAGACTTTTCCCCTTTCTAGTCCACTGTGGTCCCAATTCAGGGACTACATGTTACAATGTATCCATTTGTATAGTTCTGTATTGCCCTCTGAAGTCCTGAGTAGTCTCATGACTCATGAGACTACTCCCTTATTAGTCCACTGTAGTCCCGATTCAAGGACTATATATTATAATGTATCCCTCTGTATAGTTCTCTCAATTCCTGAGACTACTTACCTTTGTAGTCCACGGACTATATATTAAATTGTATCCTTCAGTATTTTCGGGAAAACATGCCAAACGCTTGCATAATGCATATAGCTATAGTTGTTTATCAAGTATTCAGGGGGGTGGGGGGAGATTTTAGATAAAAGGGAAATACCACGATAAAATTTGAAAATATTAATGGTGCAAAGCGCCAAGAAAATTTTCAGCTATACTTTTTAAGGGGGAAAACACCCCTTTGATGATGAGCTCTTTTTTATTACCCAGAATACCTGATTTTTACCTTTGCTCATAAATCACAGGGTTGGGGCAGGGCCCCCCTTGAGCGATCCAGGAGGGGGCAAGAGGACTACTGCCCCCCCTGTGTACATGTCTGGTATAAAAGTTCTGATTTTATAAATTTAGGTAGGCCTACAAATTGCTTACATAGAAACATTGTTTTTTAATATGACCCTTGTTATAAATGATGAAAAATAGAACTATATTTCATACTCAAGCTTCAGTGGCGGATACAAGGGGGGGCGGGGGGGCATTCGCCCCCCCCCCCCACCTGAAAGATTCTGGGAGGGGCGTAGCCCTCCCCTGAGATTTTGAGGCAAAAAATGTTCCCAATTTGATAAATGTTATTGTTAATGATAAATTTAGAATTAAAAATTTGTAAAAAACTAAACTTAAGTTATAATATTGTTCATATTTAGTAATGTTCCTTAATCAATACTTATTTATCAAAATTGTAATATTGTTCCTAATTTTCATCCATTTCTTTTTGTTCTTAAATTGCTAATGTTCCTATTATTGTTCCTGTTCCTGTGTCCGACCCACCTTAAATCCCTGTCCTAATCCAATATTTTTGTTCCTAATTCCTGAACAATCTTTTAATTGTTCCTAAATTCCTGTTCTAATCCTTTAATTTTGTTCATAAAATTTAAAAATCTAGTTTTTTAGTCTGTAGTCATTAATTTTGACTCTTTTTGAGTCTTTTAAGTCAAAAAAAATTTTCGTCTGCGGCACAAATTTTTGTTCCTAATTATTCATTTTTTTGTTCCTAAAAAGTCTTGCCCCCCCCCCTCACTTAAATCCTGTATCCGCCCCTGTCAAGCTTCCACACATACCGAATAAATCTTTCGCCTTTTACTAAAGATTCCTGTGTACATGGTGGGAAACAATTGAGACTAAATCTTCCAGCTACCTTTAGGTAGCTTCCTTATCCTCTTTTGTTCATATGATAAAAGTTATTATATTTTCTTATTTTACATTCCATAGGAGTTGGTGGAGATTTGCTTTACCACTGAGGGACTCTTCCTATTTAAGAGCTAGTGGAGACTTGTCTTACCGCTGAGGGACTCTTCCTATATAGGAGTTAGTGGAGACTTGCTTTACCACTGAGGGACTCTTCCTATATAAGAGCTAGTGAAGACTTATCTTACCGCTGAGGGACTCTTCCTATATAGGAGTTAGTGGAGACTTGCTTTACCGCTGAGGGACTCTTCCTACTTAAGAGCTAGTGGAGACTTGTTTTACCGCTGAGGGACTCTACAGATATATGGAATATGGTTTAATATAAATAGATATTAACAGATATATTTGTACCAATAAAAAGAAGATTGATAAACCCACTTATTCAAGATCTTGAGAGATAGATATTATACACAAGATGAGAGGTTTGGGTAAATTATGAATTGGTACTGGGAATGAAAGTGAAGTCTTGTATTAACCCTCAAAAATGAGGGGCAAGGATTGATCTTGATTTCCCTAGGATTTATGTCTGGGATTGTAACGATATCAAAGGATTAAATGTTACAACACAATCACAATCAAATGTAAACTTTAACATATCAGTCAGGCATGTTTGGCATTTAAATGGGCGTACTCATGAATTTAAGCATGTCACCAAGTTACAATCGAAAAGTGAAAGAAATGTTAAAGCCTGAACTGACATGAATAAGTCTACAAAGTATAGGGAAAAAATGTATCAGCATTAAAAAAAAGATAATTTTCGATACTACACTTATTGGAATAAAAGGTGAAGCTTTTAAAAGACTCTCTTCCTCCTTTGATACTTGGATACTTACTTGGATACTTGGATTGTGCACGCTAGGAGAGCCACATGCGTGGCCATGTAAAGCGGCTCATGGGCTTTTGTTAGCCACAAACATTTAGGTATGTTTTGGGCCATACATCTCGTCATATTTTCTCTTAAAACTGTTCAGAGTCTTAGAAGATCTAACATTGTCAGCGATTTCATTCCAAAGTTTGGGAGTTCTGACACTAAAAGAGTGTTTTCTCCATTCACTATTAAAACTTTTATGCTTTAGATTAAGGATATTCGAGGCTAGTCTGGTATCTTGTGTTGAATTTTCTGAGCATCTTTTAAACCAATGTTTTTCATCTACATGATCATACTGTGATAATATTTTCCATACTTGAATTGCATCACCTCTTTTCCTTCTTTCCTCCAGACTATAGAGTCCAACCTCTTTTAGCTTTTCTTCATAGCATTTTCCTTTGAGACCAGAGGTCATTCTCACTGCTCATTTTTGAATGTCTTCAAGAACTTTAATATCTTTTGCCATCCAAGGGTTCCATGCCTGCACAGCATATTCAAGTAGAGGCCTGACATATATAGTATAGAGTTTAAGCCAAACCTTTTTATCTCGGTATGAGAATGCTCTTGCCATAATGCCCAAGGTTTGATTTGCTTTCTTTGCAGCAGTTATGCACTGTTTGGAAGGCTTCATATCAGTACTAATAATAACTCCAATGTCTCTTTCACAGCCTGGGTCTGTGAGGATACAACCTGCTGGAGGATAGCCTCCAAGAGAATACACTGTATCCTGTCTGTCCCTTCCAAAGTGCAGTATTTGACACTTTCCAAGATTGAAATTCATCTGCCAGGTGTCAGCCCATTCCATTAGCCTGACAAGAACCCGCTGCATCTTCTCAGCATCTTCCAAATTATTCACTATTCTTCCAACCTTTGCATCATCTGCAAACTTGGACAGAATGTTCACTTCTTCACTAATATCTAGATCAAAAATGTTAATAAATATAATGAAAAGAATAGGGCCGAGGACTGAGCCTTGCGGGACCCCAGATGTAACTGGTAACCACTTCGAGTTTTCACCATTTAGCACTACTCTCTGTTGTCTATCACTAAGCCATGAAACAATCCACTCCTTAAGTTTTCCTGTAATACCGTGAGCTTCCAAAATGACATTCAGCCTCTTGTGAGGAACTTTATCAAAGGCTTTACTGAAGTCTAGGTATGCAACAACAACAGAATTTCCTTTATCAACTAAATCCTGTAATGTTTCAAGGTATTCCAAAAGGTTTGTTAAACAGGAACGATTTTTCACAAATCCATGTTGAGAAGAGAAAATAAGATTATTTTCATTTAAATGTTCTACAATTACATCTTTTAACAAGGATTCCATAACTTTGCCAGCTACACATGTTAGAGAAACAGGTCTGTAATTAGAAGTTTCAAATTTTTTGCCTTTTTAAATATAGGTGTAACATTGGCTTGCCTCCATTGTTTAGGAACTACTTCTTCGAGACTGCTGATAAATTCAGCTTTAGCCGGGCAAATTCTATTCATGTTGCCTTGTGGAGCTAATCTATTGGCCCGAGTTTTAAGTAGAACCTGAGGTCAACTTGGATTTTCCACGCTTTATAAGCATGATTGCTAGGATGGCATCTTTTAACTGACAAAATATCTGAATACACTATTCACCAGGCAGTTAATAATCTGCCCCACTGGTACACATAGACTACAGGCATATAAACACAAAAGCTTTTAAAAACTTTTTTTTTTAGATGTTGTCGACTGTGAGCATTGTGATGAGAAAATAGAGACATCCAATGTTGATTTCCACACACTAACACAGCACAAGAAAAGCTGTTTTAGATGCACCCAGTGTCAAAGGAATTTTAAGTAATTGTATGGTGTAAAGTTATTTTGTTTCATTTTTAATTGTCAAATTAATATTTCTGATTTTTATAGCACTCTCCAACAGTCCCGTCCTCCTATTCCCATGTCAGAAGGTCACATGAAAAGAATGATTATACATACCTCATTTATTAAATACCCCTGAATGTGACTTAAAAGCAAATTAATCCAGAAACTGAGATTGCTTAAATCTCAGAAGCAAGATTGAAAAGATTGATGTTCCTGCTTGCTTTCAAACCATACAGGATGCAGGAAAGTTTTAATACTTAAATTTTCTATTAACCCTATTTTTATTTGTAAATGTAAGCATCTTCAGTTCAGCTTTATTAAGGTATGCATCATGAAGAAGTGCATGGAGTGGACATAACAACAAAGTAAGTTAAGTCCAACCTTGCATTATGTACCTGTCAAGGATATTGGAACATTTAAAACAACTCCCCTCTCCTTCTTTAGTGCAGGAATGAGTTTGAGGCATGTAGGAATAAAAATTAAAATAAATAGGACCTTAACTTTAAAGCCAGGTTTCCCTATTTGTAATACTGTTAACCCTTTAAAATAAAAAATGATTTTCCTTCTTAAAGCTTTCTTAAGTAAATAAAAAAACATGAAAAATGCCCATATAATATTGTGCCTCACACTGCTGAAAATGGACCATCAGGTTTCAAGTCAAAATACCTAAACTCTTTCTTCAGATATGTCAATATGCAGTCTTCTGAGTTATAGTTAAGTCTGTAACTTTTGATGATCAGTTATAAGACATATTTGCAAAATCTGAATTTTTAGGCGATTTTCTAAGCCTTTAGAGATAATTAAACAGCAAATTATAACCACTGTACACACTTATTTGAATGTATATTTACAGGTTTCAATCTAAATATATTAGGATACATAACTGATTAACAGTAATTGATTGAATACATAAGATAACATCTGTAGATTTCATGCCAGAGGATATCTAAGTTATCTTCAAAATGGGGGTCAAATCATAGGTTTTACAATATTGTAGTAACAAATCAACGCCCTAAGTAAACTGGCTGACTGACTTGATACAACCTGAAAAAGTCTTTTCAATGGGATTTTTAAGGATTTCACTTCAAAACTATTTTTTAGGCAGTACATAAACAGTTCACTTTGCTAAAACATGTCTTAAGACTTGAGTGCTTAGGATAATTCACAAAATTTGGGGACCTAAGTCTTGAAACCAAAAATTTGTTTTTAGACCTGAAAATGCACTTGATTTCTACAATATCTTAAAATTAGATTTACTCAAAATTCCCTAGATGGCATTTCCTGAAATTTGAGATTATAATTCAGTAGTCTGCACATTAATATATGCCAAAAAAAAGTTTATGTGTTTTGACTGATGGTCCAATTTCAGCAACGTGGCGTAACATCTTAAGGTTGTTTGGGTCTACTTCTCAAGATACTTCTACCTGTCAAGTCTATCCTATTCTTAAGTCAGGTATCTATAGTTGAACTTTTTAAAAGTATTATTACGGAAATATTTCTCTGTGATAGGTTAAAAGTAAATAAAGAAAAGAGCAGAAGTAAAAGCAACATATTCATAGAATATTTTCCTTCATATTTTGTTAAGCTTAAGCACAACTTGTAAGACCATAGCTCATTCTTGATTTAGTAATTTAATCCTGAGTTTTTATATATGTATATGTATATGAGCAGTAGTACATCCCTAAAACTTTGATTGATTGATTGATTGATTGATTGATTGATTGATTGATTGATTGATTGATTGATTGATTGATTGATTGATGTAGTTAGTAAGTTTTTAAAACAAATAAAACCAATTATACATCAACATTACATAATGCTTCAGATACTTACTAAAGGTAATTTGATATGATCTTTTGACACCCCCTGAAAAAGTTCTAGCAATATCCAAAAAAGACAAGGGTTTTTTTTTAGAAGTTCCAACATTATCCCTTCCATCTTGTTACTACATGTACAACTGCCTAACCTGTGGTAGAGATCTTCTGACAGCGGAATGACAGTGTTCTTTATTAATCATTTAAAATTTTCTTTTTCAATCTTCAGATTAGTTTAAGTATTTATTTATTTTTTTAGACGAGGGGGCTGTTACTTTTAAATGTAATTGACATAAAAAAAATATTATGACTTCAGACTTATTTATCGTAACTTTTGTCCGGTCCTTTATTTTTTTCACAGTTCTATTGAATTATTTTCTCTGCATCATACTTAGACTTTTTGGTAATATGTGTTTTACTGTTGTGAATTATTAGAAACTGGCCAAATCTCACTTTAGTCGGATAAATCAGTCAGGTAAACATATTTTTTAGTCCTTTTTTTAGTTATATCTGATTTATTTTGTTCAGAAAGAAAAGAGTGTGAAATCACAGGAATACTAACTAAATGTAGATTTTGTCTCAGGTGCCTTTAATCAAATTAGCGTAGGGGTTCATATTTTTTCTGGGGGAACAATAAACCAAAAACATTTTATTCACGAAAGAATCAGAGGAACTAAGTCTTTTTTAATGTCTTAGAAACAAATAGCATTTTTTTCTGCAACTCGACCATTATTTCTAGATTAAGCAATAACTTTAATTTTTGCATTTCATTGGGGCCTGAAAATCATAGATTTTACTGATCACGGGGGGGGGAGGATTCTGAGTTTCCAAATGGCCTCCTTGTGTACGCCTCTGTAGAGCTAATGTACGCTAAAGTCCATATAGGCCAAAAAACAATTGATTAATAAAATTACTTAGTTTGTAAAGGTAAAGTATCTAAACTATGGTGACTAACTTGATAAATAAGAAAAATGGTTAAACACAGATCTGTGAACTGTTAATTTATATTAAAAAAATTTAACCGACAAATATAAAATCATAAATGTATTTAAACTGTTAAAATTTCAGGGTTTTAAAGGAAACTGTGAATGATCGGCACATCATTAAATATAACAAATAAAACGTTGATCTTCATGGCTTCAGTATACAGAACGTTGTATCTGCTGCTGTACTGTAGTTCACATATATACATACTTTTCTTCAGAAAACTACATGGTGGAGGAAAAAATGAATTACTTAAAACGTTCCTTTTTATTGTAATAATTAATTGTATATGTTATGTTTGTTATTGAGTACTTTTTATTTATAATCAAAAATCCATGCTAAAATGAACTGAGAAAGAAATACACAACTTGTTATCTAATAATTAATATTTCTTTGTATTTATTGATTGACGCTTCTTTGGTTTAACACCCTACGCGGCATTCTAAAACTATTTTCGCGGGATTTAATATTTTCGTGTTTTGCTATTGGCTTCATTTACAAAGCTGTCCAAAGAATTTGAAATTCTCGTTTACTTTTTAGTTTATGATAAATTTGTAATGATTTTAAATTCTATTTTTTTCAGAAAACATGTAGGTGGAAAATTTCAAATCTGAAAGCCAAGAAAAGATGTCACGGAATAGTGATGAACCTGGTGCACAGCTTCAGAAGTTATGTGAGCTAGTTCTAACCAGGGCAGGAGGAAACACTGAATTAATCAACAAACATTATAGGTAGCTCAGATTTAGTGCCTGTCCTAGAGAACGATTTTTGGACCCCCCGCCCCCCCTTCCCTTTATCAATTTTGTACATGACCACTTATTTTTCAGCAAATTTATTATTTACTTTTTTATTATTTAGGGTGAGGTTAGGTTAAGACACTTTCTGGGCCGAGCGCTGCGGCTAGGACAGGCTAGGTAGCCGAGCGCCGTGGCTAGGACAGGCTAGGGGGCCAGGCATTGNCAATTTCCCACTACCCTCACTAGGGGGGGGGGGTCCAAAATTAGCTCTTTAGGAAATTACCCAGATTTATTTCCAAGTCTTCTTAAAGGACTAGTAGTCGCAATTTTCCTCTATTGTCCGATTCTCAATGCGCTGTATATTTGATAATAAATAAGGTAGGAGTTAACTGAAGAAATAAATATTTTCAAATTGTGGGATCTAAAGTAGTAATTCTTAGATTTCTTCAGAAACAGTTGAGCATTGCCAGAATTAAACATTGATGATTGATGAGATCAAGGTTTAAAGGGTACCAGTGTGAATTGGGAATGCCCTCTTTAAAGGAAGGGTCACTTTAAATTACAAATCTATTTTACGTGGAATTCTCGGATATTTTTGATGTTTATGTTTCATGAATTCAATTCAAATGTTACAATTTCAGATCTGGTTTAGCACTACTGGCGAGCATGCAGGTCAGTCAAATTTAATCCAACTAGGATTTCAAGGCGCTTCGCGTCTTGTAATAATTTTAATGTTTCTTAAAAAAGGTAATAAAAAGATAATGCATAATTTTTTGTTAAAAAAAAATAAACTTAAGCTTCGCTGATTTTTATTTTTCTTCTGTGGATTTTTCAAATTTATATAAATCAAATGAATTAGCAAAATCTATATAACAAAGCTCCTCGCTCATATATATAAACACTAGCGTTGCCCGTGGAATTATTTTTGAATTTTGAAGAAAAAAATCTCGTTGCCCCTGGAATTGTTTTTGAAAGAAAAACATGTCGAATTTTTTCGCCCTATGTTACTATGTTAGCTACATTTTTATTTCACAGGCAACGCCGGGCTTTTCAGTTAGTTTTTCTTATCTGTTACTTCAAACCATTTCATATTATTGATAAATATTAGTAAATAATGGGGCTTTTATGTTCAGCAAAGTAAATCTATATCAAGAGAGGAAAATACAGGAGACAGGATTGTCAAGCAGCTGTTCAGGTTGGTTGGTAGCATAATATAATAATGTGCATGCAGAAAATACTTGTTTTTCAATGCGTATCTTGACGTGAAAGCTGGGAGATAATATGATATGGAACGCTTTATAGTTTATAGTATACATTCGTTTTAAATTTTGTTAATGATTGCACCGCCGCCTGAAAAGTTATTCATATTTAAAGAAGCATATTATGACTCCTAATAATTTTCTTCATATTATCCAGGAATAAAATACTGAAGGTAGAGATATAGGGTGTATATTTTCTTCTAGGGGGGGGGGCAATCCTTAGATGTCGAATTTTTTATTTTATCCCCAAAAACGTCAAAATTCAAGTACCCCGGGGAATATATTTTCAAGAATTGTATTAAACAAAATTTTAATCTTTTGGGGAAAAAAATTAAATTTAAACATCAAACTTTTTTTCCAAAACTTCACATTGTTTCCTAGACTATTAGTTAATTTTCCCAATTCAATGAATAAAACATTTAAAAAAACATATCTGACATTTTATGTGAGAAATGAATTACAATTTTACAATCATACTCGAGGTATTAAACGTGTATGCGTAAATTTTATAGTTTTCGTTGTTATGAATTGAAATGTTACCATTTTTCTATGCCTATTCCATTTAACTCCTTTGTTTTTCTAGAGATGGGCGGCAGAATGATGCAGTGCGTATGTCCGAACTTCTTGATAATCTACGCAAATGCAAGATTTTACGTAACCTACCCAGCATTCTGTCATTTCTTAGCAGTGCAGGGGAACGTAAGGATACGCAAATTTACGCATTTTCTACCCCATTAACGCAGTCCTATAATCCCAGGTACAGAGTATTGCTAAGCTTTAGTTTTTATTTTTAAGGTGAAAGTATGTATAAGAGATTGAATTCCAAGGTTTTTTAAATAATTGACCTTTGGCTTTTTACGATCTGCGAAACTTGAATTTTGTTCAACCAGTTTTCTTCTTATGTAAAACTCTTTAATTTAACTGAAATTGTTTCCTGTCTAGTAGATCCAGTGGTTTCTCCTCTCTGTCCTCTATACAGCCTCCAACATCCAGCTCAGCACCTCTACACAGCTCCAGTAACACCCTTCACCAATCTTCCAACCTTCTTCATCTATCCTCAAATCTTTCCCTAGTGCAGTCTACAAACCGAAGCAGTAAATATGCTGATTCTTATCATCCGCCTGTACCACCTAAACCTAGGTAAACCCCCATCTCCCCTTCCTTTAGACATAAAATAACTTTTTATAAAAGGAACAACTCTTAAATTAATTTTACTACAAGTTACCGTCATACGTACGAGAGAATTTTTATATTCTCCATTTGTTGCTTCCTTTGCCCAAGGTTACCGTTATAACTGGAAAATGTGCTATGTGCAAAGCTTAAATGTTCTTTAAATTTGAACTAATTAGCTCTTTTTACATTTTTCAAGTAAGACGTAACTAATATTTGGTTTAGGTCCCGACCAAACTCAGTGTTGATGAATGGAACCGAGGTGGACGGATTAGCCAAAATTGCATCATCCCAGTCCCAGCCTAATCTGTACGCTATAGGGGTAGGATTTCTAGTTTTCTTTGGAACTGGATTTGGTTGGATGGGTGGGTTGCTTGGTTTGGTGGGGGTATTTTGGTTAACTGGTTGGCTCGTTGGTTGATTGATCCGGTATATAATTAGATGAACATTAAATTGATTGAACTAGTTTTCGATTAGTTTATCATATGATTTAGGCTGGACGTGTCCCGGGTGTATCTCAGACTATACCTGGAGTAGTCCCTGGTCCAACCCAAACCTCGGAGCTGGAACTAGTTCGGGAACTGGTTTACGTTTTTCAGGTAGATATACACTGTCTCTCCATTCTGAAGATTTAATATCTTCCATCACCCCTTAAATTACAAATCTATTTTACGTGGAATTCTCGGATATTTTTGATGTTTATGTTTCATGAATTCAATTCAATTGATTGATTGATTGATTGATTGATTGATTGATTGATTGATTGATGTAGTTAGTAAGTTTTTAAAACAAATAAAACCAATTATACATCAACATTACATAATGCTTCAGATACTTACTAAAGGTAATTTGATATGATCTTTTGACACCCCCTGAAAAAGAGATTTGATTTGATTTGATTTGATTTGATTTGATTTGATTTGATTTGATTTGATTTGATTTGATTTGATTTGATTTGATTTGATTTGATTTGAAGAAGTTCAACTACGTATTCCAAAAAACATCAAGTATTCTAAATAGTTCAACTACTTCTTCTTTCAATGAATCTAGTCTAAGACTGAATTTTTAAATTAACTTTATATTTAGAAACAACACGATCATTCCTGCTCAAGCTTCTCTTACATTAAAACTGTGTGAGTTGGGCTGGCTGTTCATTCAGGTTAGAGAAATACAAAATCCTATATCAATAGTTCTCCTGATCAATCAACGATGTTGTTATTAATGCTTCTGTTTATCCAACAATGATTTCCTGTTAATCAATGATGTTTTTTTATTCCTTGCAGCTAATTTTTGTCTGTATCCCAGCTGAATGTTTTTTAAAGTTCATGAGTTCTGGATTAAAACAATTTCTATTTAGAATACTGCACCGATTGTTATAAATTCTAATCTTTACATTTTATATTAATAAAATGAAGACGGCTTTTTTTATTTCCGTTTCGATTTCTAACAAGCTTTTTTTGAAAGTTTGCATGTAAACTAAGAGAAGCTGTTTGACAGCTTATCTTTGTTTCCATGTTTATGCGTGTCCAATATCCATGCTGATTGAAAGCTTGGTAGAAATGCAATTGAAATCAAAAGTCGTCTTCTTTGTACTAATATATATACGAGGTCGTCTGTATTATTCAGGTTGATGAGTTTTCAGAGAGGCAAGGTGGTGTGAAGGAATATGGTTTAGTGGGACAAAGTTTTGTTACAGCACTGAGGGAAGAGTTGGCTGAATACTACCAGCTTCTTTCTGTATTAGAAGCAGAGGTAAATAGGACAGGACAGGACAGGACAGGACAGGACAGGACAGGACAGGACAGGACAGGACAGGACAGGACAGGACAGGACTGGACTGGACTGGACTGGACTGGACTGGACTGGACTGGACTGGACTGGCCTGGACTGGACTGGACTGGACTGGACTGGACTGGACTGGACTGGACTGGACTGGACTGGACTGGACTGGACTGGACTGGACTAGCCTTATTAAGATCAAATAAGATATTCAATATTCATAATTGCTCGGTGAGTAACAAACAAAGAAACATACGAACAGTCAAGAAGCATTGAGGGTTGATCCTCCCTAAAAAAAGAATCGTAAATAGACTTATAAATGCTATTATTAATTTGTTAAAATTCTTTAACAAATGCAAGGTTTCTATCTAGGCCCGTGATGGTAGGTTGACCCTGCTACAGCTGTGTGTCTGGGCAGCTGAACCAATGAAAAGATTGAAGCTGTTGGTTGAGCTGGTCACAGCTGCTGGAACATGCCGTGGTGGAAGCTTAGCCAGTTGTATATATGCTTTTATAAACCATGGTGAGACGAAGAAAAATATTAAGTTTTATAATAACTTTATTGTCTATATTTCCTTAATGCTGGGATGAGTGAATGGTTAGATAATAAGTTGATTGATTGATTATTAATTATTCAAATATTTATAAGGGCGAGATGAAGAGTAAATTTAGTTTTATTCCAACTTCATATTCGTATATGCCCAAGTACTTGGATGCATGGATGATATGATGGTTGATTGGTTGGTTGGTTGGTTGGTTGGTTGGTTGGTTGGTTGGTTGGTTGGTTGGTTGGTTGGTTGGTTGGTTGGTTGGTTGGTTGGTTGGTTGGTTGGTTGGTTGNTCCACGTCATGATTCCCCCCCCCCCCCATGCTCAACTTAATCCCTCCACCATTCCATCCTCGATTGAACAATTTTGTTTTAACATTTGCTTTTCTCAGAATAAAGCATTTTTTCAAACTTATGGGTGGTTGGTTCGAGGTAGATTGGAAGGTAGTTAATTTATTGATTGATTGACAAGCATTATTCAAATACTAGGAGACCCTAAATTGAATGTATGCGTGAGTACTCTCCTAACAGCAGCATGTAGACCACTGTATACAATGCTTATCCGTTGGATCTTAGATGGGAGCCTGGAGGATCCACATCAGGAGTTTTTTATTGCTAGCGAACCAGGGATACAGGTATAACTTTACACTTTGCTCTGTCATCACTATAGTTTCAGTAGAAGTAAATATTTCCGTTTACTGATAGCGCCGATTGACGGATTTATAACTCGAATTGTAAAAGGAAATAGAAAGCAAGATGGCTATTACCGCTATACTATTTCTATTGGTTCAGAATAGACAGGAAACACATGACTGAACCCTGATTGGATCAGGAGCTAATGGACTTGGTATACAGGAGGGTCATATATGTAATTTTACAATATCCGGAAATATTATTTAGTTTTATGGCGGAGAGAACACATTCTTTTAGCTTAGCAAAATATAAGAGAATATAAAATTAACCATATGAACTTAGTTATAAATAGTTATGTCATAAAACTCTGTTTCCGAGACAAGGTTTTATAACGATATCCTGTCCTAGTTTTCTTGTCCAGAGTTTAGGAAACGATGTAACTTAACTAGTCAGTATTTTAAACTGTTAGATTTACGTTGTAAAACTCATGAGTGAAACCAAGCCGTAGAGGAGATAAACCCAATTAGGTCGGTTTTTCCTAAACATCAAGTCTAGCTAAACTCGAGTCTTCATTTGGGCGTTAACAGACGCTGAAGTTGGGTTTTACTCGGGGTTAAGCACTGGAGTTAAATATGGATTCTCATAAGTTTAATACTACCAGGGAGAGGCATTGTGGCACCACAAGTATACAGTACGGAAGAGTATGATACCAAGATTCATATCTCTAGAATGGAGCAGGAAAATTTTATCAACAGGTAAAATCACAATCAATAGATTATAATACATACTAAGAATGAGTTTTTATGTAAAATAAACTGTCGCGGAATTTCATTTTCATGAGCAGAGGTGTATATTTTCTCGAAAAGTAATTTTCTTCCTTCCCCCCCCCCATTTTTGAAAACATTTTTTGTCCCCAGAAGTTATAAAACCTTGCGAGGATCGCAAAAAAAACATTTAGGGTTTTATACGCTGAAACGGGGAAATAATTTATTTTTATGAAAGAAATATCAAAACTAATGAAAAAAGTAGCCTTTTGATGTCCAATTTTTCATTTTTTCTGTTTTTGAGCTAAAAGGCTCAATTTTTGGGTAATTGTACTTGAAAAGGTCTGAATGGTAAAGTCCCAAGGCCGGTGTGTGTGTGGGGGTGGATTCTGTAATATGTATGTTCGGCCGAAAAGTGAAAGAAATTGTCATATTAAGAATTAATGGTCGGAAAGTTTATGAGGGACAATATTTAATCAAAAGCGAGAAATAGTTAAACCACATACTTTAGCGCGCCGGGTCCAGCTGAAGAGGTGTGGTTAATGATAATAATGATAATAATGATAATAATAATAATAATAATAGTAATAATAGTTTGCTTATCACAGGAAAATCGATAAATTTTCTGCGAAGCGTTTGCTTGGATAATTCTCCTCTACTAGGTAGACAGAAAATAATTGCAAGGTAATATCTCTTTCAAGTTCTGGTATTTAAAAATATTTAATCTATATATAAATTTGGCCTGTCTGTCTGTCTGTCTGTTTGTCTGTTTATATCCAATAAACGTCAAAACGGCTAAACCGCTCGGGCCCAAATTTTTTGTTGGACATCACTTGACCACAGGAAAGGTTTATGAATGATCAAAATTTCAAATATTGGTCTCCATCAAAATTCGATCTTCATTAAATTTTTGAAAATTTTGAAAATCCACGAAATTTTTTTGTGAAAATCCGCGAATTCTTTTTGTTTTGTTTTACGATTTACACAAAGAGAACATGTTCAAATTAATTTAGAAGATGGGCGCGTAGCGTCCTCTAAGGCTAGTAAGTTATAATTTCTCTATAATTTTCTATAATTTTATTAAAAAATCCATGACATTGACTCCAATCAATCCCAAAATCTGGCGAGTTCAGAGAGAGTTACCCTTCTATGCGGTTTTTCAGTTTTTTTTTGGGGGGGGGATCAATAATTATGGTGGGTACAAAGCCCCCCCCCCCCACCATGACTTTCCCCAGTCAATAATAAGTTTGTTTGTATAGATTAGAGGAAACTGATCCTGCCAGTTTATTCTCCTGTGACGTAGATAATCCTTTACTTGAGGTACAAAATACATTTTTTTACAATTTATTATTTTATCAATTATTATAAATTGGGTACAGTTAATACAGAAAAGTTCTAATTTGATTATTCTTGTCATCATTTCTCTCCTTTTTTCCTTTATTTCATCTTCTGTTGACTGTCCCTGATAAATTCGGAATCCAATTTTTAAATACTAGGTTTTTTTTAATAATAATAATTTTAACCTTTTGTAGTTGATCTTTGAGTTACTAGAACAAATTTGGACTTTGTCGGTTTATTGAAACCAGTGCTTAAGATCTGGATCCGTTGGATCCGCAAGATTTTGGCTTCATGGATCCGGATCCGCAAAAAATTGCGGATCCACGGATCTGGATCCAAGGGGTAAAATATCAACCAAAAACTCCAAAAAAAAAAATTTTTACTCCTAAAACCAAAATCTGAACTTTTGTAAAAAATAAAGATTATAAAAATGTCCTCATTTCTGAATGGTTCATCGAGTTTTAGGATAAAAATATTCGAAAAATTAAAACAAAAATTTGAAAATTAGTTTTTGTTAAAAAAAATTCAGTAAATTTTAAAGAAATGACCTGGATCCGGTTTCCAGTGCGGATCCAAGATCCGGATCCGCATCAAAATTAAATGGATCCCAAGCACTGATTGAAACAGACAATCCAAATAAATATTGAGAATACTTTAAAGCAGAAAGGCATTAAATTTCAATGGGTGAAGTATAAAAGTTGCTTGTATCACTGGATACCCAATTAACATTACGAAATGCTAAGTATTTATATCATAGTACAATCGAAAAATTAAATTTTTCCCCAAAATTTATAAATTCAGTACTTTATATTTGGGTTTTATTCGTTTAGTTTCTAAACATTACTTCAGCAAGACCAAAATTGAGAAACTACGATTTATTTCCCCCTCCGGAAATGGCGTCTTCCGTTTCTCTTTTTAGTAAGAATAAACAAACACGGAACTCTGGACCGGATTCGGAAGAAAAGGATCCGTGTTCACTCAGGTTCAGCATAACTGGAATTTAATCACTGATGAATTTAATTGCCTAGGTTGCTGGTGACGCCTTCAGACAGACGGGTCAGCATGTTCTTGACATTATGTTTAATAAATTTAAGTTTATGTCTCATCTTGCAGCACTCAGGAAATATTTACTTCTAGGCCAGGTTAGTAAACAAAAGTGTGCAAAAAGCCTAAAATAGATGAGCGCAGTTTTAACAATTTAAAAAGGACTGTAAGCGTAATTTCAAGTGACCCTCTATTCAAATATGGGAATGCCTATTTACAACGTTACGTTTTAAAGCTTTGTCTGATCAAGTATGAATTAAAAATCAATATTTTTGTTTCTTTTGACTATTTTTTATTTGCGGGTTCTCTGCAAAAGTGACCTGCGCATTTCTTGTATATTAGAAGTAATGGAGATTGAAGAAACTCACAAAAATAAACACTTCAAGTAAGAAAAACAACGATATCTTCAATATTTTTGATCAAATTAAGGGTTCAAGTGTACCGTTGTAAATGGAGATTGAAGAAACTCACAAAAATAAACACTTCAAGTAAGAAAAACAACGATATCTTCAACATTTTTGATCAAATTAAGGGTTAAATGGAGATTGAAGAAACTCACAAAAATAAATACTTCAAGTAAGAAAAACAACGATATCTTCAACATTTTTGATCAAATTAAGGGTTCAAGTGAACCGTTGTAAATGGGGCATTGCCATCTTTTCACGGAAATTGTAGGGTCACTTAAAATTATGCTTACAGTCCCTTTAATCTTCTTTAAATAAGATATTTATGATTCTAGATATTTATGATCACTGATCAGCCTTTGGAAACCACACAACAAGTCCTCAAGAATTGAATACTATGAAACATATTTGCCGAATAACATAGGCTTTGATGAAAAGAAAGAAAAAGATTTATCTAATGATTTATTGTAGAAAATTCGAAGATTAAATTGATTGATTGATTGATTGATTGATTGATTTGCGACATTTTTATATTGATCATGTTAGGATCAGAAATGATTTTATCTTGTGCTTTTTTAGGGGGATATAATGAGATACTTACTCGACCTTCTGGATACAGAACTATCCCAGCCAGCTACCGAACTATATCCACATAATCTAGCTGGGATATTGGAGACTGCTATCAGGTAAATACTGGATACAGAACTATCCCAGCCAGCTACTGAACTATATCCATACTGAACTATATTCACATAACCTAGCTGGGATATTGGAAACTGCTATCAAGTAAATACTGGATACAGGGATATCCCAGCATACTACTGAACTATATTCACATAACCTAGCTGGGATATTGGAGACTGCTATCAGGTAAATACTGGATACAGGGATATCCCAGCCTACTACTGAACTTTATTCACATAATCTAGCTGGGATATTAGAGACAGCTATCAGGTAAATACTGGATACAGGGATAACCAGCCTACTACTGAACTATATTCACATAATCTAGCTGGGATATTAGAGACTGCTATCAAGTAAATACTGGATACAGGGATATCCCAGCATACTACTGAACTATATTCACATAATCTAGCTGGGATATTAAAGACTGCTATCAAGTAAATACTGGATACAGGGATATCCCAGCCAGCTACTGAACTATATCCACATAATCTAGCTGGGATATTGGAGACTGCTATCAGGTAAATACTGGATACAGGGATATCCCAGCATACTACTGAACTATATCCACATAATCTAGCTGGGATATTAAAGACTGCTATCAGGTATATACTGGATACAGGGATAACCAGCCAACTATCTAACGATGTACTATCCCAAAGGCCTTTTCTCAAGCGGCAACTTCCCAAGTGTATTTTTACAAGTGGCAACTTCCCAAATGTGCAATTTCCTAAGCGCTAACTTCCCAAATGTACATTTTCCCAAATGACTATTTCCCAAATACTCATTTTCCCAAAAGACAATTTCCCAAATACAAATTTTCCCAAATGACAATATCCCAAGTGGCAACCTTTCCATGAAGGAAAAGTGGCAACTTCCCAAATGTACATTTTCACAAGTAAAAGTTTCCTTAAATAGTTTACTGTATTTCTTTAAAACAAGAAATAATCGCAGCGCTCGGCCCCAGCCAATCCTAGCCGCAGCGCTGGGCCCCCATTGTAGCCTGCGGTTTCCTAAAAAAAAAATTCAGCTTATTTGGTCGAACCGTTTGGCCAGCTAACATATGTTTAAATATATATATATAAGAACGAAGAGCGTTATTATATTGATTTGATGAATAGCATGGTTGGATAAATGAATGATTGGTTCATTCATTGACTTCATTGATTAAAGGGAGTGACCGGCTATGTACGGTAGTTGAACTGAGTATGCAGTGTTGTGGAAAACTTCTTTTGGATTCGTTTGAGACATTGTAAACTTTTTAAAGATCTGTAAATCCTGAGTTTGAGCGCAAATTCGACGTTCAAAACTCCTACTTTGGGGGGTAGATACGTTTTCAGAATAAGTTTTTTTCAATTATTAAATACCGACGACATAAAATGTAAAAAAAGTTCTACAATAAACTACAGAACTATAGGAACATGTTGAGAAAATAAAAATTAATCTTATCATCGAAAATAAGTAATCTTGTTCAATTATTAGTTTCTATTTTATTGATTTATTGACAAATTTCTTTTGTGAAATATGTTCCTAACCATCTAATTAGATTACTGTATAATTTTTACTTCATTTTCGTTGTCGTTATTTAATAAATTTAAAAAAACTAATTCTGAAAACGTATCCACCCCCAAAGTAGGAGTTTTGAACGTCGAAATTGCGCTAAAACTCACGATTTACAGATCTTTAAAAAGTTTAATATGCCTGAAATGAATCCGAAAGAAGTTTTCCACAACACTGCATACTCAGTTCAAATACCTACCATAGCCGGTCATTTCCTTTAATTGATTTTATTTTAGATCAACGAACACACAGTACGAGGATACAGATATTCTGGAGAGACTTGATGTTCGACTTTTAGAGATTCAACCTGGAGATTCAGGGTGGGATGTGTTCTCATTAGATTATAAGGTATGATACTAGTTCCCCTTAGGAAGGGGTGGTTTATGTATTGTGTCTGTATGATCATAAATTTATCACTTTATCAATTGCCTCAATTTTTTTTGTGTTACTTGCTAGAACCATTGGAATGTTCTTAGCTTGATTGATAAGTTATTTCATATGTTAAAGTAAATCCTGTTTGTTTGTAAGTCTTATCAAAACCCAGAAATCCATTGACCGATTTGTCTCAAATTTGGTCATTTGATTGAGGAATTTGGTAGAGCCATGGGAATCATGTAATGTTGAGTGGGATGAATTTTTTTCAACCCTCTTGTTTCTACGCAAAGATGAGTTCGTAAACTAGTAAGATTTTAAAGTGTGGATATACCAAGGGGGGAATAGGGTTAGCGATTTAAGATTTATAATTATTAATTTATGTTGTTCTGTTTAGGTGAGCGGGCCTATTGGAGTAGTGTTTACCCCGGATATAATGACAAGATATCTAATGCTGTTCAACACACTGTGGAGAGCTAAACGTATGGAATGGGTTCTATCTGGAGTCTGGAGAAAACTAGCGTATATACAGAAGGTAGATTAAGTTCTTATTTAGATTCTTTAGGAACTTAACTTAATAATGTGGGAACTCTTGTATTGTGGATATCGAGACTAATAATTAATCTCTATCTTTTGTTAATCTGCAGATTAATTTAATCTTTATTCTATATGCCGCATGCTAATTATTCCCTGCAGATTACAGAGGAATAACAAATTGAGCATTGGCCCTCACGGTGCTTAGGGTCCGCACTGGATAAAAATGGATCCGGATCCAGGTCATTTCTTTAAGATTTTTGGTTTTATTTTTTTCGCCTATTTTTATTCTAAAACTTGATGAACCATTGAGAAATTTTTATAATCTCACTTTTTTCAAAAGTTCAGATTTGGGGTTTTGGAGTAAAAAAGATTTTTTTGCAGTTTTTAGTTAATATTTTACCCCTTGTATCCGGATCCGTGGATCTGCATATTTTTGCAGATCCGGATCCAGGAAGCCAAAATCTTGCGGATCAAACGGATCCGGATCCTAAGCACTGGATCCTCAATTTAATAGTGCCTGCTGTTGATATCAAGATCAACTGAGTGTCCAACACAAAAGTTCCCAGGCCAGATATTAATAAAAATGTGCAATGTATCACTAGGTTTAAAATCCAGTTTTGATTCTTCTGTTAATATCTTCTCTGCACTAGGAGGGTGTACTTCCATGTTTTATTCCACACAGGGTTCGGTTCAGCCTCAAAAAACTAGGAGAGAGGTTATAATCAGAGTTTTACTTTGAGTTTCATGTCCAAATCTTGGTTACGCCTAATGGTCTGAAAGGTGGAGCACACTAAGAAATCAATTCCAAATGCTGTTTGTGACAAATAGAGGGGTTTGAAATATGAAGTAGGTAGGAAAGGAGGGAACCCTACTTTTCTCCCGTATCTATACTCTTTCCGAGTTCTGTGGCATTTTAAAGGTTACCCATTGAAGTTCCACCGCATTACATTAATGGGGAGTTGCTGCTATCGTACTTCAGAATACGGCCTCGTCTATAGCAATCTTTTCCTCGCAGCCGTCAGAGTATAAACCAGTATCATAGTGCATGGTGCACAACCTAACAGAATTCTTATTTTTATGTTTCCATTTTCCTTGTTTCTGGCACTTGGAAGGGGAAGAGAAGCATATCACACAGAAACCCGTCCCTCCCTGCATTATTATTTTTTTTCAAGTAGGGTGTTAAGCAATGTATATTCCACAGAGGGTTCCGCTCAGCTGCGTGAAATTAGGAGTGCTGTATAAGAACCTGACTGTGCTCAAGTTCCGAGGCAACTGGGAATACACAAATACATTTACGGTTTTATCTAGTTTTATTTTCGCTTTTACAAACTCCATCAAATTAATATTTCTTCTGAATATTCACGTTTAGTACACAATCTGTAGTTCAAGGTTCCACCGTTAACAATAATGTCTTGTACTTACTTTTTATTAGACATTTTCCCAAGCAGTACTTTCCAAAGTATCTAACGCTCGGCTCTTTAGCGTTAAGTTACAAGCCAACGAGTACGGTTCAGCACAATCTAAATCATAAATAAACTTCATTTATAATTTTGTCAGAGCAAGTGTTTTCATTTTTATACCAGTAATCACGTTTATCATCTATATATAAAAGGTGTAATCTCTGTTTGTCTGTTTGAATGGTTGATCATAACTCATGAACCCCTTGACCGATTTGCCTCAACCTTCAGAACCACGGGAATGTTTTTAGCTAAGTTTTGGGATTCTATGTTAAGTGGCTCGACAATATAGGGAAACATAGCTAGACTGCAATTTACGGTAAGATCGGGTTAACGGAGGGAGTAACTATGAGTACCTTGGCCAACGCTGGGTTTCCAAGCTATTAAATGAATATTGTATATTTAGATAAGCCGTGAACTGACTGAGCTCCGTCCAGTTTTACATCACGCAAACTTAATTGCGAGTGAGATGATACATTTCGTTCATCAGATGGCGTACTACATTACATTCGAGGTTAATATATTACTAAGTAACTTGCGGATTTATGGCAGAGAAATAAATTAGAAAATTAGCAAAATTGCACACTTACATTGCTTTAACAGTCCCAAAAAATTGAAATTTACTTAACTTACAAAATTATACATGGATTAAGGTGTAAAGTTAGACAGTATTTCAGCTGTGAATATTTTCTTGAAAATTTAACGGTTGCACAGGACGAGAACATTTTCAGAGAATTGTATTCGCTCAACTTGAATGACAAATTTTTAGGGTTAAATAAATTTATATTTAGATAAAAAGTATCTAAAAGGGCGAAAAAAACTTGCCTTTTGATTTCCAATATTTAAAATTTTTCCAGAGAATTCAAATCATTTTTGTACATATACACCCATGTAATATTTAAATAATATCTCATTTTCCTTGGAATTATGTGTACACTGTACAGTACTGAACAGTTCATTTAAACTGAATCTTAAAATGATAATGTTTCTTGTATCCAGGTTATGGAATGTGGATGGGATACTCTAGTAAAACAGATTGATACAGCTGAAACTTTAGAGGATGTTATTCAGGTTAAATTTCTAATATTTCCCCAGCCCCNGGGTAGGGAGAGGGCTGTCATGGCGAAATTAAAATAACAGGAAATTCTGTGTTTTTTTTTTCATTTTCATTGGCCTAGTCCTCAACAAGTTAGATTTACATTTCACACAAGACGTGTGTCATTAATCAACTTTGTTACATTAATTTCCGTCCTTGGGCGGTTATTTTTGAGGGGGACTTGATTTTCAAGGAATGATGTTAAAATTTTCATTTATTTATTTATTCAGTTATTTATTTATTTATTTATTTCAGGCTCATGAAGAATTCCTTTCCACCATCATATCCCGGGCTCTATTGGATCATAGAACTATAGAGATAAGGTAATAACATATTCGATATCGGTAATATGGTGGAGTTTTTAAGTTAGGATGGATATTGGATATATCGGTTACTTTTCCCCCCCTTTTACCTCGTTTTTATCAAGTTGAATTGGCAGAATTAGTTCTTTAATAAATTTGATGCCGAAATTTATAAACCAATTCATTGGACCAAAATTTGTGATTCCGATTTTAAGGGTTTTTTGCCAGTTAGTTTCACCGCCAAAGTACAGGCCTTGACGAGATAACATATATAAGTACGGCCCCGGCCAGTGGCTTTCTGGGGATGATTCGTAATGGTTTGTCGTAAATAAAAAAATAATTGAATTGGATCAAGGGTGACTGTGTTTGGTTACAAGTTTTAATAGCAGATTAGGGTAAGCATCGACTGTTCGTAGCCGAATAGAGTATACTAAAAAATTATTAATATACAAATATAAAGAAAGAAGTTAATAAATATATTTTTTTTAAATCAAAATACGTTTTATTAAGAAACCAGTTGCGAACCATCTACGACCGTATTCTTGAGTTCCAAAATATTCAGGAGAAACTTTATCAGGAAGCAGTTTCAGAGGTAAGATATAAATAGTTTTTATTTAGACATTTATTGTTTTATTGTGTTTAATGACCCTCTATTTAAATCCATTATCTAATCAAAAATGGGAAATATCACGTCGTTTTTTTTCGCTTGAAAACTGTTTAATTACGATAATTCCTCCTTAACTTAGCTTTAAAAGGTACTGTTATGTATCGGTCATGCCACTCTATAAATGAAGGGCCACATGATACTACGTTTAAAGGTACTGTTGTGGATCGGTCATACCACTCTAAATGAAGTGCCACATGATACTACGTTTAAAGGTACTGTTATGTATCGGTCATGCCACTCTATAAATGAAGTGCCACATGATATTACGTTTAAATGTACTGTTATGTATCGGTCATGCCACTCTAAATGAAGTGACACATGATATTACGTTTAAAGGTACTGTTATGTATCGGTCATACCACTCTATAAATGAAGTGCCACATGATATTACGTTTAAATGTACTGTTATGGATCGCGTCATGCCACTCTAAATGAAGTGCCACATGATATTACGTCTAAAGGTACTATTATGTATCGGACATGCCACTCCATAAATGAAGTGCCACATGATATTACGTTTAAATGTACTGTTATGTATCGGTCATGCCACTCTAAATGAAGTGCCACATGATACTACGTCTAAAGGTACTGTTATGGATCGCGTCATGCCACTCTATAAATGAAGTGTCACATGATACTACGTTTAAAGGTACTGTTGTGGATCGGTCATGCCACTCTATAAATGAAGTGCCACATGATATTACGTTTAAATGTACTGTTATGTATCGGTCATTCCACTCTATAAATGAAGTGCCACATGATATTACGTTTAAATGTACTGTTATGGATCGCGTCATGCCACTCTCTAAATGAAGTGCCACATGATACTACGTTTAAAGGTACTGTTGTGGATCGGTCATGACACTATAAATGAAGGGCCACATGTCAAGATCACGTCAAATCAAAGCAAAGTTGAGGCAAGATTGAAATCTTACATATTCTCAAACATAAATTCTCTTTCTAAAGAGTTTTATAGGAGAAGATGCAATAAAATCAGATGATGCTTAATTAATTAAACATAAAACTATATTGGTAAGGTTGGTTGAAATCAATAAAAGAACATCTTCAAGGAACAGTTGAAAAATTTATAAATATCCGGGCTAAAAGATCCAGGTATAGGGAGTAATTGAAACTCCTTCCTGTGCAATCAATCCCTAATACCATTTGATTTGATTTGATTTGATTTGATTTGATTTGATTTGATTTGATTTGATTTGATTTGATTTGATTTGATTTGATTTGATTTGATTTGATTTGATTTGATTTGATTTGATTTGATTTGATTTGATTTGATTTGATTTGATTTGATTTGATTTGATTTGATAGATTGAATCCCGACACACCTATGAAGCTCTGGTAGCAGCTAGAACTGGGACAGGAGAATATGGAACTGATCAAGAACAGGAGAACAAGGAGACAGACAGGAGAAAGGAGTTTATCAAGGTCAGGGGCCTGGGGCATTTTGATTTTTAATTTTGGTCTTGGTCTTAATATTAGTTTTGCTTTTATAATATGGCTCTTGGACTTAATATCAGTTTGCTCTTAATCTTGTCCTCAATCTCGGTCTCGTTCTTGCTCTTTGTCTTAATTTCAATTTGCTCTTAATCTTGTCCTCAATCTCGGTCTCGGTCTTGCTCTTTGTCTTAATCTCAGTTTGCTCTTAATCTTTTCCTAAATCTCAGTCTTGGTCTCGTTCTCGGTCTCGGTCTCGGTCTCGGTCTTGGTCTCGGTCTCGGTCTCGGTCCAGGTCCAGGTCTAGGTCTAAATCTAGGTCTAGGTCTTGGCCTATGGTGGCCTTGGTCTTGCTCTTGCTCTTGGTCGAGGTCGAGGTCTTAATCGATCTTAATAAGAATCTTGTCCTCGTTTTTTATTGTTCTTTGTCTCGGATTGTCTCATTCATGATGTTTTTTTCAAACTAATCCATGTGTAGGGAAAGCTGGGAGCTGCAAAAGCAAATCTAAGAATTGTCTCACTCAGTTATCAGGTTAATATTCATTAGCCATTAATGAAGTAGAAAAAATGAGAAATTTCAAGAGTGATTTTTGCTGCTCTTGGGAGGGAATTTTATTTTTTTAAATTGCTAATAGAAGATATTTCACCCTTTTGTATTTTTTTTCGCATAAATTCCTTTATTTCCCCCTGTAAATCATTCATTTTTTTCAAATTTATAACACAATACCCCAAAAATATTCTTAACACTGAAGATAAGATAAGATAAGATAGATAAGATAAAGTTTATTGCTAAAATAAATGTATCTGTATACAGATAGAGTTTACAATCACAAAATTGATGATTATATTAACAGTACAAGTATAAAGCAATTAGATGGAAAATAGCTCTTGGCTGTTATGATTATTTTTTCCACCTAATGTTAGTAATAATAACAAAATATTTCAAGATAATAAAATTAAGTTTTATAAAGAAGTGAAGGAATGATTTTTCAAGAAAATATACACCCCTATTAGCGTGTTAGATATGTTCGGAGTTAAGGTCATAAGTGTATTTTTGTTTAGCTTTATAAAATACTTTTGTCAGGATATGGTTCGAACCTTCCTTTTCCAGCTGACCTGCAGCAATGATGACAGTTTACAAGGATTATCTTTCAGATTAGATTTCAACCAGGTGAACTAGTTTCAGATCAGATTTCAACCAGGTGAACTAGTTTCAGATTAGATTTCAACCAGGTGAACTAGTTTCAGATTAGATTTCAACCAGGTGAACTAGTTTCAGATTAGATTTCAACCAAGTGAACTAGTTTCAGATTAGATTTCAACCAGGTAAACTAGTTTCAGATTAGATTTCAACCAGGTAAACTAGTTTCAGATTAGATTTCAACCAGGTGAATCGTGAGCTGAATTCTCTAGCTTTGTGATATCATAATTTTCATTTTTTCCTTAAAGATAAAGAATCGGTTTTTTTGTCAATTATCTTGTTTTTTTCAATTAATGGTTGGTGCGGAAATCGGAATCTTGTGTAAATATGTACAAAAATTATCATTAGCCATGATTATAATACTGAACTACAAATAACTTCACACAAATCTGTTTTCTGTGAAAAAATCTCCCCCCTACCCCCTCCCCTAACAAAGTAATTTTGTAAGTATATTTAATTATTTTGCTAAACCTCGTTCAAATCCTCTATATTGTTTACACATAATGGACTATATTTTTTAACATGTGTAATGACTATTATTAATACCAACTTTTTTCAGCACTATAAGAAGAAAGATAGTCGATTATCTAGACCTCTCACCTTCTCTCATAGACGAATGACAGGAAACCAAACATTTAATAACACATTTTCTTTTCACATTTTTTTCTCAATTTTTTGTTCTTTGATGATTTTGACGTTTTTTCATGTATCTTTTCTGATTCAACTATTTTTATATTTGTTTATGCATGGTATCGGTTATTAACTTGTTCGTTTATTTGTTCAGTTGTTAGCTTTTTTCTCGAAATATTTGCTCATTTTCTTGTTTACACAATTGGAACCAATTTTCTGCAAATCTGCCTTTCTTATAATTGTATGAATTGTGCCCGCGCAGAGCTGACCCATTGCTAGGAAAACTGAGACTCATTGTTTGAATATTGTTCCGTATTTAGCTGTGATTAGTTTAGATGGTAACTACTAGGTGTCTCTCCGACTAAGCTCTAATGTCTGTAATAAACCAATATTTGGTCCTTATTTAAATGAATTTAATTTTAGAAAATATTTCAATTTGCATTCGTTGCATAGACATTTTTTTCAATCCAAAATGTTAAAAACGTCTGTAATATGCGGCTTATACCATATGAAGTATTTTCCTTTTTATAATTTTAGTTTACCAACGTCATTCTTAACAGTATTCAAGAGCTTTTTCTTGATTTCTTGATCACTCATATATTTTCCTATTTTTTTTTTACTCGCACATTTGCTTGATTTGTTGTTAACTTATTTGTTTGATTTTTTGCTAACTCGTTTATTTTATTTGTTGCTTACTCGTTTGTTTTATTTGTTGCTAACTCGTTTATTTTATTTGTTGCTTACTCGTTTGTTTTATTTGTTGCTAACTCGTTTGTTTTATTTGTTGCCTACTCGTTTGTTTTATTTGTTGCTAACTCGTTTCTTTTATTTGTTGTTAACTCGTTTGTTTGATTTGTTGCTAACTCGTTTGTTTTATTTGTTGCTATTTAGTTTGTTTGATTTTTTGTTAATTCGTTTTTTTTGTTGCCAACTTTCTATTTTCTTCATCGCTGTTTACTTGTGAACACTCACTCGTTCCATTTAATAATTTATTCATTATTTTTGTAAAAATAAATGTTTGGTTTTGACCCAGGTCTAAACGGGTCTCTTACCGGAAGTCAGATGTCCTATATTGAATGACAGGCAGACTCAGACGAGAATTCTATTTCCGGTGTACAAGACGGATACTCCACTTCCGGTGGACAAACTTACACTGCTTCCAATCCTGAGACAGAAGATGGATCCAACTCTGAATCTTGGTGAACAATTAATCTGGTTTGATACCAGACAAATAGTTCTCTCATATAACAAATACAATTTCGATAGATTACCACAGCTTTTTCAATCAAACTTCAAATCTTAAAGGGACTGTAAGCGTAATTTCATGTGACCCTCAATGCAAAAATGCCAATGCCTGATTTAGTATTTTACTTTAATCTGATCAAGTATAAATAGATATCAATGTTTAACATTGAAAACTGATTTTCTTCAGTTGTGGTTTCTCAACAAAAGTGACATCATAATTTAACACTTTCACATCTAGAAAAACCACAACATTTTTCATATAATTGATTAGATAAAGGTTTCAAGGGTACCGTTGTAAATCGGGCATTTCCATCTTTGCACTTGAAATTACGCTTACAGTCCCTTTAATATTAACAGAAACTGATCGAAGTTGAGTTTAATAATTAAAAGATTACTTAAATTAGGATAAATACAGTTGTATGTATTGTGTAATACTACAAAGCATAATCCAGTGCAAAAAAAACTATTTTCGAATAAGTGACTGTAAAGGCTTGCTTGCCATATGTAACCAATATTTTAACTTTTTTTAAAACTACTAAAACCATTTAGAAAATATTATCCAAATTAAAGAACAGCACTAGTCTTTTGTTATAATATTAATTTATTCCACAATATTATTAATCCATTTCTATTTTATTGTAATAAATCTTAAGTTCCAATTAACCAAGTTATACGAATTTTTATTTTATGTTTATAAATGTCTCGTCTGTCTGGGCCCTCGCTCGACCCGGCCAGGTAGGGTTGGAACCTTCTGCCGCCATGAGCCTCCGCTATGCAGCATGAGAGCCTCTTAGATTTGTCAGGCAGTACGAGCCTTCGCTGTAAAGAAATTATTATGCGTAATGCATCAAAATGTGACTGCGTGTTACAGGAGGTTTTTTAAAACTTGTGTTTTTAGTTTTACTAAAATATTTACTATTTTTCGACATGAGAGGTTTCGGATAGATTTATCAATAATCATAAATAATGCCCAATTTTGACTAATAAATTGGTTTAATATTTTTTACGTGAAAAGGAAAATATTTAGAGAAATAATTTGAATTGAATTTTATTTAATATTTTTTATTATTTGCTTTAAGCAATACCTTTTTTTGTAATTCTTGTTAAACCTAGAAAGTTTTGATCATTTTTTAAGCGAATTTCGCAAAAATGTTCGAGACATTTTGTGATAGGTCGTATTTTATTGCAAAAATTTTTCAACAATGTAAAGATTAATATCATATGTAAATCCTAGAGACTTTCGAGATCAATCAATTGCACCCATGGTTTTCACTCTAGATCCCCGTACTCTTCTTTTAGTATCGATCCATTTAACAACCTATCTATATATAAATTTGGCCTGTCTGTATGTTTGTTTGTATCCAATAAACGGCTGAACCGATCGGGCCCAATTTTTTTATTGGGACATCACGTGACCTCAGGCAAGGTTTATGAATGATAAAAATAGAAAGAAAAAAATGTGTTTTAAAGGTTTTTAATTTTGTAAAAAAAATTTAAATTCTTGAAAATCCGCGAATTTTTTTTTAATCCGCAAAATTTTTTTCTTCTTTTTTCACTTAATCAGTTTAATACTTTATTTATTAAATACATCTGTAAAGTTGGTTCATGTTGTAATAAGGTCCTTTTAATATTGAGAGTTAACTGGTCCTCTGTCTATCCAGGATGGTCCTGAGCATCCTCTGTCTAGTCCTTAGATAATACTGATAAACAGTCCTTAAACCTTCCCTTTTAGCAAGACCGTCATCTAGCTGTTCCTGGTCAACCCTATCCTTGCTGGGCTATATTTGTCTAATATAGGCTGGGGGGGGGGGGGGTTTTCTCCCCCCCCATGATTTTTCCCTTACGAGTTGAGATCGGGGAGGCTCGAGTCTGCATAGCAGAGGCTTATGACGTCCGGGGGTTCCCTCGTTTGAATGTCCTATACACTCTACCTAATACATAAAAAAAAATTATCCAAATTTTTTCACAACTATGTATGATGTTAAAAAAGTGAAGAAGTTTCTGCGTTCTAAGCCGTTTTTAAGTTATTTAGAAAAATCCACAGTGGAGGTGGAAAACACCATTTTAGCCTTAGTTTTAAAAAAGAGAAGTATATACTATCAAGTTCTTAGGTAGTGAGATTTATGACAAAATTAATATGCTTTGAACGCAATTCTATACAAACACAGAACTCCCCCCACCCCGTGATAGGGTTAAAGATGTTAAGGTTGTCATTAAAGTCTGATCCTTAGTGTTCTTCATCTATAAAATAAAATGGAGGGCCTAACCACTTACCAGACACTCCGTCACAATCCAACAATCTTCTTGACGCGAAAAGGAAAAAAATAGTTTTTATATCGGACAAACATTTAACGAAAATGGACATACTTTTCGCGAAAATGTTTTATATTGTACAAAGAGAAGAATGCTAACTCTGCTTACAGATAGAGCCATAATTAAAAGTGTCTACCCCCCCGGCCCTTGCTCACTGTGATTAAAAGTGAAAATATATCTATAGCGGGGAAAGTAAGGGCGGTGTCAAGTTAATAAAACAGATATTTTATTCTGTTGAATAAAGTTAGTGTACCGTTCAACCGTTTAGTCTGGAGGATAATTAAATACCACTTACGGGAAGTTATAAAGGTGTTAACTAGGCTAATAGATGTGTCAACAGGGGCAACAAACTCGGGGGGGGGGGATTTCGATTTGTACGCATTAAGTTTTTGCAATTTAATTGTTTTTTATGTAGTGTCGAGAGGGCCTATCTGGATCATATACTAAAATTGCCGCCAAAATGATGTGATATATATGTACTGTGTTCCAAGTTCCAGCCTGTGACGACCCTGATAGACAAATAAGCGTGGTAAATGAAATAAAGAATGTTTTGAATGAAGAAGTGGCAGTTTCCATATATATCTAGAATGGGTCGGATGTACACAATACCTCTCTCTATTCTACTCTTCGCAACATCCCTCCAGGAACCTTATCTTACAAATCTTGTTGAATTTTTGCTAGGTCTTAAAAAATCTTTCTTTCACAAAAAAAATGCTCTTATCTGTTTTAAACAGAGGGTTTCTCATGCTTCACATGATAGTTGAGAGATGGTTTAAAGATTGTTGTATATGCATATACATGTAGATTGTTGTATATTTATATACATGTAGATTGTTGTATATGCATATACATGTAGATTGTTGTATATGCATATAAATGTAGATTGTTGTATATGCAAAATGCATGTAGATTGTATATGCATATACATGTAGATTGTTGTATATGAATATACATGTAAATTGTTGTATATAAATGTAGATTGTTATATATGCAATATGCATGTACATAATAAATATATATGAAAAAGATAGTTAAACGACCTGTGGCCGAATTTTTTTTTTTCACAAAAGATTATACGTCGCGTGGCGTCGTGGTTCGTTTCATTAGTTCTTATGAAATTTTGAAATTTCACAATTTGTCCTTAAATACCTATCTAAGGTCAAAAACTAATGTCATATGTTCAATGGAACGCCCGTTTCCGTTATAAAAAAATATAATGGATTAGTTCATATGAAACTTAACCCATTTACTTGCGACCTTGGGGTTTCAAAAACGTGGTCTGTCATCATGATCATAATTCATAGCGCATATAAAATAAATTTTTGCAGATTTTTAGTTTTCTACAAAGTTTTAAAATCTAGAAGTTTTTTAGTTTTTTAGTTTTTTTAGTTTTTTTAGTTTTTTTTAGTTCAGTATAGAAAAATACCGTTGTAAGATATTGATAAAACCAGGGATCTATTCTGAGGTCAGGATCAAGGACTGGAATGGGTCAACCATTCAAGACCAGAAATCCTAGGTACAGTCAACAAACATTTTTAATCGTGTAAACCTGAATATTTTAATAAATAAAGCTGTTGGAAGAAAGCTTTGAAATGTGTTGGACATCTATCATTCAACCTTAATCAGACAAAGGTTTTCAGGAATTCATTGTTAATTGGGCAATTATGTTTCATTTACAAGAAACAGATGAGCTCTACGCCTGTATCGATATATCTAGATTAAAAGAAAAAAATTATAGCCATTTTCTTACTCATCTTTGTGTGAATTTATTTTACGTTCCCTAAACTATTATTTTTTAATATTTAACAAAAATATCTTTTTATTTATAATTTGATTAAGAATACTTTTCTCTCGTGAGTCGTTAATAACACTATTTTAATGGATCTTTATGTAAACATACAGGATTACCTATAAAGGATGAGACTGTAAAGACGACCTGAAAAAGGCAAATATAATATAATGATTTTTCATAGAAAGAAACAAACTCTAGGAAATACAAATATAAGGAAACAGACGGTTTTCATTCAGTTAAGTCGTCTTTGAAGTCTTATCTTTTGCGGGTAAACCTGTATGTTTACAATCTCGTTGGAAATTTATTGTGTAAATCAATTTTAGGTTGCTGTATCCATTTTCTCTCTTTAATGTTGTACAATTCTCAAACTCTCCGTGTACAGGTACATTAAAACTTTGTACTTAGTACAATTAAGTGTACATGTATACGTGTAGTGATGGGCATCATTTTGAGGCATTTTAAAAGTGTTTCACAAAAATGTCAGTTATTGAATAAATTGCAAAATTGAATTTTACATAAGTTTGCGTTTTTATATTATGCGAATTTTTATCTCTGATTCAAAGATATTAAACAAAACGATTTTTCAAAACGAAAAACGATTTTCTAATCATTTTTAAAAATCGATTTGATTAATATTTTTGCGCAGAATAAAATTTTGCATAATGTAAAAAAAAGCAAAATTGTCTAGCTTTTGACTCAGGATTCACATCTCACATCTCAGGAACCAACAGTAGCACTGCAAACCTGTTATACCTGTATTGTATGTTTAGGAACCAATAGTAGCACTGGAACCTGTTATACCTGTATTGTATGTTTAGGAACCAATAGTAGCACTGGAACTTGCTATACTTGTATTGTATGCAATGGAACCACCAGTAGCACTGGAACCTGTTATACCTGTATTGTATGTTTAGGAACCAATAGTAGAACTAATGTTCTCAACTGGCGTTGCCCTGGGTTATACAAAAATCAAGTATTGTGGCGTATTTCTTTGGGCCTAACCGTAAGCTCCTCTACTCTCATCCCTTCTCATGATGAATCAAAACACAGGAAAAAGGCTTCAAGTTTTATTGTGGAACAGAGCTTCAGTCTAATAATAAAACTTTTTTAGGATCACAGAAAAAGCAATGACGAGCATAATATAAACCATTTCTTATCAAAACAAAGGAATTACACTCATCAGGCATTAAAAAACTGCAATCAAGCCAATAATCATAATATACAATACAAAAAACACAAAAGAATACTTTAATATTTTATAATCATAATTACCACAGTAGTCCGCTGATTTTAGCACGATAAATAACACGAATACATTCTATAATAAAACTAATTTATGAATCCAATTTTAATATATACTGCTAACTGTAAAAAAACACGAGTTCGCCGCGTCTGCGTAGTATGCAAATATTGTCGGTAAAATCAGGTTCTTTGTCTCAAACTCTTTCTAGAAACAATCATACAGAATAGGGATGAATAGTTCCTCCCTGTAAAAACAGGAATTACTTCATAGACTCCTCGTATGCAGCATGCGCTCGCGTAACAACTGCAAACCTGCTATACCTGTATTGAATGTTTAGGAACCAATAGTAGAACTGGAACTTGCTATACTTGTATTGTATGCAATGGAACCACCAGTAGCACTGGAACCTGCTATACCTGAATTGTATGTTAAGGAACCAATAGTAGCACTGGAAGTTGCTATACCTGTACTGTATGAATTAAGAAACCAATAGTAGCACTGGCACCTGTTATACCTGTATTGTATGTTTATGAACCAATATTAGCACTGGAACCTGTTAAACCTGTATTGTATGTTTAGGAACCAATAGTAGCACTGGAACCGGTTATACCTGTATTGTATGTTTAGGAACCAATAGTAGCACTGGGACCTGTTATACCTGTATTGTATGTTTAGGAACCATTAGTAGCACTGGAACCTGCTATACCTGTATTGTATGTTTAGGAACCAATAGTAGCATTGGAACCTGTTATACCTGTATTGTATGTTTAGGAACCAATAGTAGCACTGGAACCTGTTATACCTGTATTGTATGTTTAGGAACCAATAGTAGCACTGGAACCTGTTATACGAGTGAAGAATGCACATCTAGGAAATTCAACTTTTCTCAATAATTAATAAATCAATATTTTCAAAGACATATTTTTAAAATGAGGTTAGTTAGTTAGTTGACTACCTCTAGGACTTAAATCTCATTTATCAACGCAAATCAAGATGTGCACGCTCTCACACAAAAATCAAACAGTATTTTGCCAATATCTTCTACTAAACCCTCGCTAGAAACAAGCGTGTTGCAGTTTTAAAATGGTTCTGTCTAGGGCTTAATAAAGTATCTGTGAGTTTGTGAGGTAAAACCAAAGGTCAGGGCGTTGCAACACTTTAAAGTCGAGGTTGTCTAAACATTTGATGTCCAAGTTTCAGAGTTGTCTTTATCTTAAATAATATCAATACTTTTTAAAACATTTTTTGTTACTTACTGTAATAAATAGAATAATCATTCTTCTCATCTTGTCTTACTTGTATCTTGTTCAGACTCTAGACCATGCTTACTTGTATCTTGTCCAGACTCTAGACCATGTTTACTTGTATCTTGTTCAGACTCTAGACCATGTTTACTTGTATCTTGTCCAAACTCTAGACCATGTTTACTTGTATCTTGTCCAGACTCTAGACCATGTTTACTTGTATCTTGTCCAGACTCTAGACCATTTTTACTTGTATCTTGTCTAGACTCTAGACCATATTTACTTGTATCTTGTCCAGACTCTAGACCATATTTACTTGTATCTTGTTCAGACTCTAGACCATGTTTTGGGAAGTTTCGAAATATGATTTATATTTTTCATCTCATTGATTTTTTCCCAAGGGGGGGGGGATGATCTTTCAGTAAATACTCCCCGTTGACCTACAGTATAATAACCAAAAACTGTAGAGTAGTTTAACGACATTACTGCTGAATTGCATTTACAAAGCAAATAACTTTACTAATAGGTTTATGAAGCACTTATAAAGTATAATGGGTCTGTGTACACTGCACACTTGCTGTGCCTCGGGTTCATTGGACTATTTAATATTTAATTTTAACTGAAGACAGATACAAGTGCCTTAGAGTTCAAAAATGTTCATGATAGACATAAACATTAATATACAATATATTAAAGATTTAGTAGGGAGTCAAAATCATAGGCCATGACGTTGCAACACTTCAAAGCCATTCCTGTTTTGAAAATAAATGCAACTTTTCATAACCATCTGGATCACTGTGAGGTTGAATATATACAGAGGAGGAGTGGGAGAAGGTAACTGTGCTGCTGGGTTTGGTGTATGTTGTGTATTCTCTAGTACATGTAATGAAGAAACTTCACAGAATACAACATACTTCTCTAGTCCTAGTACTATACCGGCAGGTGAATATATGGTTTGGTGTATGTTGTGTATTCTCTAGTCCTAGTACTATACCAGCANCTTCGTTAACGATCGTTAACGACGACCCTTCGTTAACGATCGTTAACGACGACCCCTTCGTTAACGATCGTTAACGAAGAGAGGAAACCGACCTGAAGGGCATCTGTACTTAACATTGAGTAGTTTTTAAGAAAATATCAAGGATTTTTAACTCCCCCACAACTGTTAGACATCATGTAAGACGACATTCAATAAAGTTGCATGTAATTTTTTCCAAAAACAACCGTTTTGATAAAGTTCGTCGTTTCGTTAACGATCGTTAACGACAACCCTTCGTTAACGATCGTTAACGACGACCTTTCGTTAACGATCGTTAACGACGACCCTTCGTTAACGATCGTTAACATAATTGTCAATAAAAAATATTTCAAAAACGATCGTTTTTTCAAAAACGATCGTTTTTTTAAAAACAATCGTATAAAAAACAATCGCAAATCGTTTTAATAAAAACGATCGTTTTCAAAAACGATCGTTTTCAAAAACGATCGCTATTAGTTTTCTAAAAGTTCATAACGAGTGGGTCGTTTTTAAAAACGATCGTTTTATTTCTGAAAACGAAACGATCGTTTTTGAAAACAAAACAAAAAACGATCATTTAACGATCGTTTAACGATCGTTTACAAAAACGATTAACAACCCTACATGTAATGAAGAAACTTCACAGAATACAACCTACTTCTCTAGTCCTAGTACTATACCGGCAGGTAAATATATGGTTTGGTGTATGTTGTGTATTCTCTAGTACATGTAATAAAGAAACTTCACAGAATACAACATACTTCTCTAGTCCTAGTACTATACCGGCAGGTAAAGGAAAAACGGAATTGAGCCTTTGCCATAAACTCAAATGTTGACTTTTGATATTTTCAAGCTTAAATTAGTTGATCTAACAGAATTGAAAGATTGAAATATCTGTAATTTTGTTTGTGCAATTGTCATGGCTGCTAGAATAACATTTATTTACTGTAAGGTAAAGAGTATTAATAATTGTGAACTTCCTTTCAAAATGTCATTTTTAACAGTATACAGCTAAGACATCCTGTATCTACTTAATTCAACTGTGTCGCACTAGCTGCATCATAATTATCATAATAAATGATAATTAGGTTCAATTGTTGCCCGTCGTTGCCCGTTCTCGTTAGCCTATGTCACTCCCAGGATACCCAAGAGTGTCCACAAATAATTTCATGCCTTTCGGTCCAGCCGTTTGGCCTGCCAGAGGGAACATATATATTAATGTCTTGTTTTATTATATAGATTTTTATTATCATTTGACCTTTCCCAAAGCGTTAAATGTTTGAAACTGTACTGTAAGCCGTATGTGGATTTTGGTCTCGTGTGCTGCTTGATTTCCATGTATTTTTACCGTTTAAAATACATAAAAGTTTGTAAAATGAATAAAAGATTGTTTTTATGATAATGTTATTATTTTAGTTTGTAGTTTGATGATAAGACCATTGAATGATAACATTTGTCAGGTACATTTATACATGTTTAAACAGTACACACATGGTCTCCAAACAAATTGATGTTTCTTGCAATTTTGTTTTGAAGGTTCGATTGAATTTCCTAACTCTGAACCTGGAGGACCCGGATATTTCTGGATTCTGTAGAAACGACTATCTCCAGGTTAATAATAAAAGTGCTAGCAAAAGTTTAAAAATATTTATCGTAAATACTGCTCTTAGCTTATGTTATTCTAATCTTATTGTTAAAAGTTAAAAAATATTTGAAATTTCTCGTTTTTTAAGTTCTCTACGGCTTCACCTTGATTTAATTACCTTTAGTAATTTTAAATGTTTTGCCAATTTTGTGTGTAACTTATTCATTTATTTTGCAAGCAAATCTTTTTGCGCACAGCGTATTGTGATACGGTTAGTGGTAAAATTGCAATTAATATCTTCTACATATACTATGCTTGTCTGTTTGTTTGTATCCAATAAACGTATAAACGGCTGAACCAATCGGGTTCAAACTTGTTGTGGGACCTCCTTGACTCCAGGGAAGTTTTATAGATGCTCAGTATTTCAAGGAAAAATTATTTTCTTGAAATTTTGAAAATGAAAGAATATGATGAAATCTTTGAACTTTTCGGCTTTTTCTATACTGTACGAAGAAAAATGCTCACAGATAAGCCATAATTTAAAATTAAAATAGAAGATGGGCGCGTCCTAAAAGTCTAGTTTTTAATAAAAACCTTAAACTGAAGATTGTCTAGGTGACCGGAGGAGTATCCCAGAGTGGTAAGATCCCAACTATCTGTGGATCTAACAATGGGCAGCATGTTATCTATTCTTCAGTTGCTAACTTTCCCGCCAGATTATCAATAGTAGTCAATACACAGACTTCAACAGCTAGGTAACAGATACACAGACTTCAACAGCTACACACACATCAAAATCTGGGTAACAGACACACAGATATCAACAGCTAGGTAACAGATACACAGACTTCAACAGCTACCCACACATCAAAATCTGGGTAACAGACACACAGATATATTCAACAGCTAGGTAACAGATACACGGACACACAGATATCAACAGCTTGTTAATAGAAACACAGACTTCAACAACCAGGCAACAGATACACAGACTCAACAGCTAGGTAACAGCCACAGAGACATAAAAAGCCATATAACAGATAGAAAGACATCAGCATGAAGATTCCAGGCATAGTTAAAACCCAGTAAAAAGTCCTGGGTTCTAAAAAGCATTTAAAATATACAGCTCTCAATGCTCTGCAAAATTAAATTAAAAGTAAAATTTGCATTTGTTTTTGATGAAAATGAATTTAGGTCCTGGAGAATCCAGATTCTTCAATTTGAGTGTGATAGCACTGATCTAGCTCCAGAGGGTTGTCTTCAGTACTACTCAGGTTTATTTTCATTTTATATTTTTCTTGCTTAGCAATCGAATGATTGATAGTTTAATTTTTGTCCAGGTATTTCTGGAAATATCTCCAGTTTTAACTGGAAGACCACTCCTAATACAAACGATGTTAGTTACTCAAACCATTTGGCAAATCAGGTCAGTTTCACCAAGATGAATTTCATGGAAATTTTCAACAGATTATTTTAAAACTTTTTTTTGGAAAAAGTTTAAGATTTCTTCCCCCATGATATTTTGATTAGGATTACAGTGTTTGTGTGAGACGAGAGAGTGGATACTGTGGAATAGAATGGTCTGTACCTACAACCCCTAGCTCCCAGGTAGGTCAACCTACAGCCCCTAGCTCCCAGGTGGGTCAACCTACTGAAACCTAGCTCCCAGGTGGGTCAACCTACAGTACCTAGCTCCCAGTTGGGTCAACCTACAGCACCTACCTCCCAGGTAGGTTAACCTACAGCACCTAGCTCCCAGGTATAGGTCGGTCAACTTACAGCACCTAGCTCCCAGGTATTTCAACCTACAGCACCTAGCTACCAGGTGGTTCAACCTACAGCTCCTAGCTCCCAGGTAGGTCAACCTAGAGCAACTAGCTCCCAGGTATAGGTCAACCTACAGCACCTAGCTCCCAGGTAGGTCAACCTACAGCATCTAGCTCCCAGGTAAAGGTTTACCTACAGGGTGTCCCGAAAAACATGGGAATTCAGTGACGAATTCGATATCGTCTTTTTAAATAATTCCTTGATTTAGTATAGTGATACCAACTGAGAAAGCTGTAATCTGTAAGAATCTCGTCTGCTATGTTCACATTTTGTTTGTTTATGTTTTGACTGCATACGGTTGTACTTAGTAAAACAAGAAAATTGCAGTATACACAACCTACAGCACCTAGCTCCCAGGTAAAGGTCAACCTACAGCACCTAGCTCCCAGGTAGGCCAACCTACAGCACCTAGCTTCCAGGTGGAGCGACCTACAGCACCTAGCTCCCAGGTAGGTCGACCTACAGCACCTAGCTCCAAGATAGTTCAACCTACTTCCTGGTTTAGTACAGTCGTCGCGCATATATCAATACAATTAAGACGACTAAAAAAGTTTCTTTTTTATTGCTTGTAAACCTGCAATTCGAAAAAGGTTTGTAAACAGAACTTAGATAAAAAAGTCATCTTTATTGTATTGATATAATCGCCTACTACTGTATTTTCGAGTAGGCTATAACTACGGGTGTTCCAATAAACATTGAAATGAGTGAAGATTTAGATATCGTTTTTGTAAATCATTTTTTATGCTCTTGTGAAACCTACTAGTACCAGGAAGTATAATTAAAACTGTAATCCGTAGACGTTTCGTCTGCTAGAGTTATACATGTTTATGCTCTTGTGATACCTACTAGTACCAGGAAGTATAAGTAAAACTGTAATCCGTAGACGTTTCGTCTGCTAGAGTTATACATGTTTATGCTCTTGTGAAACCAACATGTACCAGGAAGTATAAGTAAAACTGTAATCCGTAGATGTTTCGTCTGCTAGAGTTATAAATGTTTATGTTTTGGTTTCAAACTATTGTACTTACAGTAAAATGAGAAATTAAAAACAAAGTTAAGTTGTTTCTCCTTACTCTTTTTCTTGCAGAAATGTTACAAACTCGTCATGCAACATTTTGCAGAATAACTGCAAACAGCCAGTTACCATCAACATAAAAAAAAATACTCTAGCAGACGAGATTATAACATGACCATTGAAATTATAGGTAATACAAAGCCAATTCTAAACAAAGACGATCACTTAATTCCAATGTTTATTGTGACATTTTGTACAGTTTGCACTCAACAAAATTTTGCACAAAAAACCCTTGATATTAAGGTTGGATATTTCTCATTAACGGGTTCAGCTCCTGCTACTACTCTCACTTCTACAGATGTACAGCTGGGGGATGCGGAGTGTCAGGTAAATAAATATTATTTCATTTAAAAATTTATTTAAACTTTTTCAAAAGGTTCCTTCAGAGAGCTGCCATTTAGTGGCTTGGCTTTTTAAGGAGTTTTTAACTGTTTCAATGAATGGAGACTAGAGAGTAATTCTATTTTGGAATATGCCATGTCCTCAATTTCATCTTGTTTCCTTGTTTAGAAATAAAAACAAAAACGTAATAGCGAATCTATAATTATTGCAAATGTAATACGTAGAGCTTTTAATTTTCCTGTGGATGTTAACATTTTTATCGTTTTAATGATTCGTCTTAAATAAAAAACCTTTTAAAGTATGTTTCTTTACCAAAAAGTAGAAGTTTTCTAAAAAATCTACTCGGAATAAAGTAAAAAAATTTAATGAAAAATCAATGAAAATTGCTAATTCACTCAACAATTTAATTGATAAACTTGTTAATCCCTGCTTTAGACTGACTATGTGTCCATACCACGTGGTACCGGTGGGACTGTTGCAGCTGCGCTGTCAAAAGACCGGTTTTGCGGCCAAGCGCTAGGTTACTGCAATGATGACACATGTGCTACCAGAGCAATAGGACCAGTTAGGAAAGACAAATATATTTTACTTAATTAAAGGGAATGTAGACGGAATTTTAAGTTAGCCTCTGTTATAGACTATTTAAAAGTTTGAATGTTCAAGAATAAATGAGATTTCCATGTTTGTAAAATTATTCTAATTAATTGGTTTCTATGCGAATTGACTACAGAAACTATAAATGAAATTGTCAAAATTTAACACGTTTAAACCTGAAATACAACATTAGATAAAGGTTCAAAGGTTTGAATTGTGTTTGATCCTCTTTAAATTTGTGGTAACTTGATATTGCAAGAGCATTCTCTTTAAGTATTTTTAAAAAACCTAAATCTAATTGATTTTGATTTTTAGATCTACGGAGACTCCATTTTTACTTGGTGTGGTCACGGATAGCTCTGAACCTAGTACAGATGTAGCAGGTCAAGGGTTTAATCTAAACTATAGACAGAACCCCTGCTCCTAGACCTAGTTCTAACCTGGAGCTACAAATTAAACTCATTTTATAGAATTATTGCAGTGCTTTGGATCAGTTTTATTTTCATCCTGATCATGCCTCCAGCTTTACGATTTCTTCTATTGAAGATAAATTTCAAAAATTTTGTTGTATAATAAGAACTGAGGCCGAATTCAAAGAATTTCAGCCTCGGCTCAAATATGGTTGGTCCACTTTAATTTGTATTTAATTTTTCAAGATTTAAGCCGGCACTCAATTGTTTTCGAGGGATTTGAGACTCGGCTTAAATTCATTAAATTCGGACACTGAGAGTTTTTTGTTGAGAATCTCCGGAGCAATTATAGATCTCCATCTTACTCAATTCTACAGATCAATTTATTTCTTCTTCGGTATCTCATTGTAGTCCTGTGAGATAACTATGGTTGTGGGGTATAATACTGTAATATTGTTTAGAAATATGGTGGTGTGGTAATATTGTGTAGAAATCATGGTGGTGGGGTATAGTACTGTAATATTGTTTAGAAATATCAAATATCTCATTTTGTGCCGAGTGCATTTATTTTATTTATTAGACTTTTTTATTGTATTATTTCGAAATAAATTTTTTGTTTATTCCAATTATATTTCATAATTGATATTTTTATGTTAATGTTAGTTACAGGGTGTCTCAATATGTTAATGTTATTTACAGGGTGTCTCAATAAAAATGGGAATTGAGTGACGAGCTTGAGATAGTCTTTGTTAAGAATTATCATTGTAACGTCAAATTTCCGATTGCTGCATCAGCTAAAAACGGTAGAAGGCAGTAAGATGTGTCTGTAATGTCTCTGTAATACAGATGTACAACCTTGAGCATCAAAACATTAACAGACAAATTTAAAAATCAAGCAAAAAACATCCTACAGATTTACAGTTCTTTCAGTAGGAAAGTCACTAAATAAAAAAACATCCTACAGATTTACAGTTCTTTCAGTAGGAAAGTCACTAAATATAAAAACATCCTACAGATTTACAGTTCTTTCAGTAGGAAAGTCTTAAGTTACTAAATAAAAAAACATCCTACAGATTACAGTTCTTTCAGTAGGAAAGTCACCAAATAAAAAAACATTCTACAGATTTACAGATTTATTCTTCACTAACTTCTAATGTTCATTGAGACACCCTGCAATGCGTATACAGTGATAACCAGAAATCTCTGGAATATGAAGACGACTTTTAGACTCAAGTTATGACTTTAAATAGTCCAATGGACATGAGACACAGGAATAGTGCGGTGTAAACACTCCCTTATCACTGAATAAATGATAAAACTATTTGTTTAGTAAAAACATGAAATACACTTAATAACTTTAAGGTCGTCTTCCTATTCCACAGTTTTCTGGTTCTTACTGTAGTTTATTGTATGTTGACTTATATAGTTATTTATATTGTATAGTTTGTATATGTGCTACGGTAATGGACTAAATTTATAGAATTAATAAATATTATATTTGGTTAAAAATTAGTTTAAAAGAGGGAAAATTGAATATGTAAAAAAGCCTCTATCTAAATAAGAAAATATCATTTATCAAAGGTTTTTCTCGTTTTTTTCTTATATTACTTAATCAATATTAATTTTAAACTGAAACCTGGAAGATGAATGAGCAGCGAACCTCAGAGGATCCGGCGGATCCCATAGCTGAACCTCTCAGCGGAAAATAACGGTAAAAAATATACTCCCATAAGTCCCCGAGAAGACTGGCAGAATTCATTTCATTATCAATGAATTTTTAATCTTTTTTATACAGAGAGCAGGGGCGTGCACACGGATCATTTTGGATTGTAAAGGTCGAAACCCTATTGAACCAAAACTAATGTACATGTATTTAATATAATTCTAATAAAAATACAACTTAAAGTATACAATGTCAGTTGTCTAAGTTTAAAGACTTTTTTATCTTTTATTCTTTAATTTGATAGTTCGAATATAAAACTTCCAAGATATTAAAATAGTCTAAAATTGAAGATCTTACTTAAATAGTTAAATGTTTTAACTTAAGTCTTGAATTCCAATGATATTCGAAATTCTAGAATTAGAACTTTATCAACATGTTTAATTTTAAATCCCGAGGGCCTTGATATCAAAGGGAAATAGAAGATTTCTTTCTTCCTTTCTTCATGGTTTTTTCTTTACCTAGTTAAACTGAAACCTGGAAGACGAATGAGCGGCGAACCTCAGAGGATCTGGCGGATCCCATAGCTGCACCTCTCAGCGGAAAATAACGGTAAAAAATATATTTCCATAAGTTCCCGAGGCGACTGGCAGATTTCCTTCATTATCAATGAATTTTTAATCTTTTTTATACAGAGAGCAGGGGCGTGAACACGGATCATTTTGGATTCTAAAGGTCGAAACCCTATTGAACCGGAACTAATGTACAAGCTATTTAAATAAAATTCTATTAAGATTACAACTTAAAGTATACAATGTCAGTTGTCTAAGTTTAATGACTTTCTTATCTTTTATTCTGTAATTAGATACCTCGGATATAAAACTTCCAAGATATTAAATTAGTCTAAAATCGAAGATCTTACCTAAATAGTTCAATGTTTAAATTCAATTTTAAATGATTTCCAATGATACTCGTAATTCCAGAATTAGAACTTTATCAACATGCTTAATTATAATCCCGACAGCCTTGACGGTAAAAAAATATATTTCCATAAGTCCCCGAGAAGACTGGCAGATGTCCTTCATTATCAATGAATTTTTAACCTTTTATATACAGAGAGCAGGAGCGTGCACACGGATCATTTTGGATTGTTAAGGTTGAAACCCTATTGAACCAAAACTAACGTACATGCGACTGGAATAAAATTCTAACAAAAGTAAAACTTTAAGTATACAATGTCAGTTGTCTAAGTTTAAAGATTTTCTTTTTATCCTTTATTCTTTAATTTGAAATTTCGGATATAAAACTTTAATATTGCAATCAAAAAACTAAACGTCATTTTTGTAAAAAAAATTACGTCCGTAAAGTTAACTAAAAACTAAAGAAATAAAAACTCCCAGTAAAATCGAGTCCCTATAAATAAATTGTCTAAATTAATAGATTTTTTATTGATATCGTTCAGAAATTGATCTTTAAATTAAGAGGACTTTGGTTTAAAATCTGAATCTTCCTTCGTACCCTGAATCTCCTCTCAAAATAAACTAATAATCTTTTTTTTCACTGATTCAGTGTGAGAGAACTGTAACGCCTCCTGAACCGACAAACCTCACCGCAGAGAAACGAGGATGTCTCAAGAAAATGGGACAACTACGCTACGTCGATATCTCTAATTCGTAGCACAATATAAAAGAGCACCATATCTGCTCTAGAGAAAAATGAAGAGATTAAACCCTAATCTCTTTTCAATGTCCTAGACAGGAGCGCAGAACCGTCAATGTTCTACGTGAGTCTAGTTCTTAAATATAATGTGTTTTCTTACAATTGAAACTAAATGATTCTCTAACAAGCTATTCACATTTAACATTTCTTGATTTTGGAGTCTGTCATCTTCACGTCGGTCGTGTAGATTCTAAACCAAACCATCAATGTTCCTCGCCAGTATGTATCTTAAATATATAGTTTTCTATCTTTACGTTGGCTAAATAGCATCAAGACGACATAGTTTAACTAATGTAATGCCATACCAACGTAGAACCTTCAATGTTCTTCGTTAGTACAATCGTTGTACTCTCCATATTGTCGACTTTATATCAATGTTTCATGAAAATTGTAAATTGTTTGCGCAAACTGATTTCTACACAAATTGCCCAAATTACATGAAAACGGTTCTTATATTAAAAATTTCTATTCAATCCGCATACCCTCTTATCGTCAATGACTTATTATATGCTTTTAATATGCTACTACTTCACTGGTGTACTCTCCAATTTATATGTTTTGCAGGATCCAAGTATCCTTGATTGGAAATTTTTAATTTACGAAATGTATGTATTTAATCCTTATACAAATCTCTCAAAAATGTAAACGAATTTGTCGTTATTATTGAATACATGAATGAATAAATATTTAGATCTAAAAAAAAATTTTCATTATTTTTATTTCTTGTAAAATAAAACTCTTTTAGATAAGTGCGATCCCAATTAATTTGAAAACTGGACCCAGCTCACTAATATCACTTAGATTTACTAATTTCTTCATTCAAAAACAAAATTTCCCGAAAATTTATTTTTCGCAATTTTTTTATGCTGAAACTTTTTACAAATCAATAATTGTGAATGTTTTAAAGAAATTATATAATGTTTTAATGATATCTTTATTAGTACTTTGAAAGTTTAAACATTCGGTGTTTTTGCTTAAAATTAAAAATTATTGAAGTTTAGCTTGAATGATTCGAAATAAATAAAAATCCCTTAAGTTGATGATGTTGCAATTTCCTATTTTTTTAAGTTGATAGAGATTTGCCAGTACTAAACTAAAGGGAAGAATGGAGGGCAACTATAGGAGATTTGCCAGTACTAAACTAAAGGGAAGAATGGAGGGCAACTATAGAAGATTTGCCAGTAATAAACTAAATGGAATAATGGAGGGCAACTAGAAAGAGGTGGCTTTAGAGATAGTATTTTGTCTTCAGCTTTTGTAATGCGATTATTGCGAATACCAGAATAATATTAAGCGAATGTTAGAATAATATTGAGAATATTAGAATAATATTGCGAATATTAGAATAATATTAGAATAATATTGCGAATACCAGAATAATATTGCGAATATTAGAATAATATTGCGAATATTAGAATAATATTGCGAATATTAGAATGCTATTGCGAATACCAGAATAATATTGCGAATATTAGAAAAATATTGCGAATGTTAGAATAATATTGCGAATATTAGAATAATATTGCGAATACCAGAATAATATTAAGCGAATATTAGAATAATGTTGCGAATACCAGAATAATATTAAGCGAATATTAAAATAAAATTGCGAATACCAGAATAATATTGCGAATACCAGAATAATATTGTGAATACCAGAATAATATTAAGCGAATATTAGAATAATGTTGCGAATACCAGAATAATATTAAGCGAATATTAGAATAACATTGCGAATACCAGAATAATATTGCGAATACCATAATGATATTGCGAATACCAGAATAATTTTGCGAATATTAGAATGATATTGCGAATACCAGAATAATATTAAACGAATATTAGAATAACATTGCGAATACCAGAATAATATTAAGCGAATATTAAAATAATATTGCGAATACCATAATGATATTGCGAATACCAGAATAATTTTGCGAGTACCAGAATAATATTGCGAATACCAGAATAATATCGGGAATACCAGAATAATATTGTGAATACCAGAATAATATTGCGAATACTAGAATAATATTGCGAATACCAGAATAATATTAAGCGAATACCAGAATAATATTGCGAATACCAGAATAATATTGCGAATACCAGAATAATATTGTTGATCGTAATATTTGATTGTCTGATCTTATTAGAAGTTCACGAAAATATTGAAATAAAACTAATTTTTAATTTTTATTAAGGAATTTATAAATAAATAATTGAACTTTCTAATGATAACACTCATATTAAACTATTAATTACACATCACAGTTATTGTAGAAAATTGTTTTTCTGACATCCACCCCTGGGCCTCAAACAGATTCGTACACTATCTTGCCACATAAAAAAGCCGTACCAAAGCTATAGCTTTAGTGTCCCGGCCTTTTCATGCCACACTTTCCATTTCAATTCTGTGGACATCAACTTTGTTCCTCTTCAAATGGCAAAAACAGGATTTGAACCAAATCAAAAATTCTTGTGCATTTGTTTTTTTCTGAAATGCTTTTCGGAGGAAAAACTCGCGGATTTTGTTGCTAAGGACAAACTTAACTAAGAACACCGTAAAGGTTGAGGAAACTAGAATTATGTTGATTGGTGCTAGACGCTGGTCAACGACACGTAAAAGAATAACGACCAGGACACTGAGGGTTGCTAGAACAAAGCTTATTATAACAGCCTTCATGTTTATCATGTTCTTGGAGGCATCTTTTCTCTCAGACCGTACACTGTTGAGCAACAAATAAGAAACTGCTTTACGTAAGTTATTTTTCATATTTGAATGGAATCTAAGCTTAATAAAAGTTTCTTATAGTTCCTGATTGCGTGGTTTTTTATGAGATAATATTTGCCGTAGAGATAGGGTCCAATCGTTGCTATGATACAGACAGTGCAGACTAGAGAACTGAAGATAAGGTGGGGGTTGATAGATTCAGAACCTTCTAGTCCAGTATAGAACTCTACTTGGGGAGACACAAATTCTAAAATAAATATATCATAACAAAATTGATCTATTAAATTTTAGCCAATAAAAGTTTTTCATAATTCCATGTTTATTGAGATTACATAAATTTTTTGAGAGTTATGATCTTGAGTTTTTTTATGACACAGATGAATCGACAAAAAAATCTTATTTACTGCCTACAATATATACAGCGAGAGAATATGAAGACGATATGTCAAAAAGCAAATAGTTTTACCAATAAATTGAACTGCTCATGTGAACTAAAGTATATCCATTGGTTACTGCATATTTGCTATTTTTTCTAGTCAATGTTCTATTTAAACCAATGACTTGCTTTTTACATCCATCTTCATATTCTACAGTTTCATGGGTCCCACTGAATAAATATTAACTGTTAAACCTTAGGTCTAAGTAAATGATACATGGTGGGGGTTGAAAAATGTTTATTGGTAAAAACTTGTTACGGAATATATAGGAGCGTTTTTACTTTCTGTGGGGGGATTTAGGGAGCTTCTCAACTGCTGGAATTGATGAGTCTTCAGAACAGGGAGCAGTCTCGAGCAGAACCGTAGAATGCTGCTTATTCTTAAAGAATCTGTTACATTCGTTTGTGAATTTTACAAAAAAGGAGTTTTAGTTTATGTAAACAACAAACAGAGTTAACATATACAGAAATAATTGATTCCAACCATGATCTGACATTCTTTGTTAAAAATATGCACTTTGAACTCAATTACATAACCTTTAGTGAAGACGACGTAAGCTGGGTATACTGTAGGTAGAGCAGTGAGAGTTAGGAGAAGGGTTTTTATTCTTTCAACAGATTCTTCAGGTTCAAACTCAATCATCTTATCAAACTGAAAATAAAGAGATTACAAGGTATAACACAGTTTATTTTTGTCTGATTAAGTATGACTTAGATTGAATGTTTAAATTTGTTTCTTTCTAAATGTGTTTATTTCCACTTACGCATTTCTTTCTTTTAAAAAGCAAAAGATAAACTTCCAGAAATAAATTTATAAATTCTGCAAGACTGAAAAGTAAGTTTGAAACATCAAAGGTTTACAATGGAAGTACACATAAACTCCCAGAAAGAAATGCATCAAAAATCGTGGAGACATGATATTCTATAAACTTGCAGTACGTTGTACATTATTAATGATTTAATGTTGTAAACTTAGACATCATGACATTATTCATTGAAACTGCGTTTCAACTGAATACTTAACATGATTACATAGAGTAATAAAACGAAGAGGCGAAGCTTAGCTCAGATGTACACAACTGACCTCCCTATTAATTAATTAATAGAGTGGTCGGTTGTATACATCACGATATGTTTACGTGTATACAACCGACCAATCTATTAATTAATTAATAAGGAGGTCGGTTGTGTACATCTGAGCTAAGCTTCACCTCTTCGTTTTATTACTCTATGCATGATTAGCCTAAATCATGCGACATACTTAAATTACGCTATAAAACATGTGCGGAGATAGCTTAACTGTATTATAACTATTCTCTTTCATCTTGTAAATACGTATCTTAAACTTTAACTGTGCGATAAATACGCAATACGCAATGTCTTAATCATGTGATATTGATAAAATTGTAGGAATTGTAACTACGTCAATTCCTGTTAACTTTGTGACAAAAGATATTAAAGAAAGTCAGTTCTATAGAGTAACTCCGTACTGTTTACTGCTTGAGAGTAAACCTGAAACCCTGAAGCTTGTATTAAGGTGATCCACCTTTAATTTAGGATCGATATAAAGCTTTTTGGTATAGCTAGGCTTGTGTCCTTGTGAGACATTTAGAGCATGTCGTCCCCTTCATTTAGGATCGGTATACATATAGCTCATTGATAGTTAAGCTTGTGTCCTTGTGTGGTATTTAGAGCCTGGGATTCAGTACTGGTTGAGTTTGATAACGGACTGACCCGGATAGATACGTTTCTAGAACTTGCAAGAAATTACTCCATAAACACTTTTCGAGTCAGAAAAACGACGGTATCTTCCACAGTTTTGATCAGATTAATGTTTTAAGGGTGCCGATAAATCGGGCATTGCAATTTTTTTACAGTCCCTTTCCGTTGTTGTTTCATATTACGTAGGACACCCTGTATACTACCTTGATGACCATGAGAAGCCTGCACACCGAGATGGTCATGGCGGTCATCATGGCGAGGTTGGCAAAGTAGAAGAAGATAGTTTCTACCAGACAGGCCAACCAGAACGGCATCTTTATGATGCAACTCAAAACGCTTCCGCTGCACTGGGAACAGAAATATCTTGGATTTCAAGAAATTAGCCATGTATTTAATTAGCCATGTATTTAATTGTTTTTAAGCTTTTTATTAAGAATTTTCTTGAAATCCTTAAGAAATACAAAATTTAATCAACTAATTTTTCTATTTTTACTCATGGATTTTAAATTAGAAATGTAACAAGGGCGCAAAGTTTTACCATAAATTTGGCAGTGTTCTTTCTCGTATGTCTAATTTAGAGTAACTCACTGAGTCATCTTAATTATCAAGTAGGACAATGTGTTCGTTTTCTGTAATCATTTGTAGGTTTTAGTCCAAGTTTATTAATCCCAAAAATATAAATGAAAAAGTATAAATGTAAAAGTATAAATGTAAAAGTATAAATGTAAAAGTATAAATGTAAAAGTATAAATGTAAAAGTATAAATGTCTGATTGCCAACGGTACCCTAAAAAGCAATGTCTGATCAAGTGTATGCACTATATATATGCATGTTTGTGTTTATTTAAACTGTTTATTTTCATTTTGGAATTCTCTTCAAATGTTACTTGCGCATTTCTTGTTTATAAAAAACAATGGAGAAATTCTCAGATATAAACACTTTTAGAGTCAGAAAAACGATGTTTTCTTCCACAATCTACATTTTTGATCAGATATAGGTTTTAAGAGAACCGGTTTAAAAAGGGTTATTGAAAATTATATTTACAGTCCCTTTAAGAAGATAAGAACTACCAAGGTGAAGACTATAGAGTTGAAGGTCTCGACGAGAAACCCGTTAAGCAGAATGATGATGTTGATCCTGATGTAGGAGAGTGACCTCCTGTAGGCCCTGAAGGTGCAGGTGGCCAGGTTGGAGACTACCAAGAGGACCACCATGTAGAAGAAAATCAAAATATTCAAGTTTTGAAATAAAAGAGGAGCTGGGTCAGCCTGTCTTACAGTTAGACTTTCATTTACAATCATGGTTTTAGGTTTTCTTAACTTTTTACAGTTTATTCTTCTCTCAATTTAGGTTTTCAGTTTATTCTCTATATTCTCTAGGTTTACAGTTTATTCTCTAGGTTTACAGTTTATTCTATAGGTTTACAGTATATTCTCTAGGTTTTCAGTTTATTCTCTAGGTTTACAGTTTATTCTCTAGGTTTACAGTATATTCTCTTGGTTTACAGTTTATTCTCTAGGTTTACAGTATATTCTTTAAGTTTGCAGTATATTCTCTAGGTTTACAGTATATTTTCTAGGTTACAGTTTATTCTCTTGGTTTACAGTTTATTCTCTAGGTTTACAGTTTATTATCTAGGTTTACAATCTATTCTCTAGGTTTACAGTTTATTCTCTAGGTTTACAGTATATTTTCTAGGTTACAGTTTATTCTCTTGGTTTACAGTTTATTCTCTAGGTTTACAGTTTATTATCTAGGTTTACAATCTATTCTCTAGGTTTACAGTTTATTCTCTTGGTTTACAGTATATTCTCTAGGTTTACAGTTTATTCTCTAGGTTTACAGTTTATTATCTAGGTTTACAGTCTATTCTCTAGGTTAACAGTTTTTTCTCTAGGTTTACAGTATATTCTCTGAGTTTACAGTATATTCTCTAGGTTTACAGTTTATTCTCTAGGTTTACAGTATATTCTCTAGGTTTACAGTTTATTCTCTAGGTTTACAGTTTATTATCTAGGTTTACAGTCTATTCTCTAGGTTTGCAGTATATTCTCTAGGTTTACAGTATATTCTCTAGGTTTACAGTTTATTCTCTAGGTTTACAGTTTATTCTCTAGCTTTACAGTATATTCTTTAGGTTTACAGTTTATTCTCTAGGTTTACAGTTTATTATCTAGGTTTACAGTCTATTCTCTAGGTTTACAGTATATTCTCTAGGTTTACAGTATATTCTCGAGGTTTACAGTATATTCTACTCTCAAGGTAGGTTTAACCATGAATGATATATTCTGAGTCTGAGAGAAAAATTGACCGAGGGGCCCAGCTCCTCTCCTAGCTCTGTAACCAGGGGCCCAGCTCCTCTCCTAGCTCTGTAACCAGGGGAACTGCGGCTTCTTTTTTGAAATACGTATTAATCTCCAGCAAAACTAATTATCAGATTCATTTTATGCTTTAAATTCATTCTATGTACATTGTACAAGAAGCTGTAGTTGTAAGTTCAAGTGATCCTTCATTTAAAGAATTTCACTTTTCCCTTCAAACCTTTATTTAATCAATAATGTGAAAGAAATAATAGCTTCAGGAGCTTCAAAGTGTTTAATTCTGGCAACTTCCTCCAATTTTTCTGTTTTAGAATTCCTCACTTCATTTCAGGGGATATATAATTAACCTGTCCATTTAAGAAAATAGATGTAAGACTATTTTCTTGTTGTGAATATATATTCTAGAGAATAAACTTACTTATTTTTCTTGTACGTCATTATATGTGATGTCTTTTTCAGAAAAGTATTTAGAAAATATGAAATATTCTCTATGGTTTTAATTCATGAAACAAAGAGATAGAACGTAAAAATATTCAATTTTGATAATTAAAAACTATAAAAAATATTTAACGATAAAAAGACGTAAAAATATTCAATTTTGATTATTAAAAACTATTTTGTTGTGTTGGAAGAAGTTTGCAATGATTCTCTGAAAACCTTTTAAATTTCCAGTTTAATGACGACTTTAAATGAAGTGTCTATAAGGAGAAAATTGTTAAAAACGACTTATACTGAAGAACGTAGCGTCCATACAAATTCAGAAAGATGCAATATACGAGTGGATCGTAAAATAATTAATTTAATTTCAAACAAATCAGTCAGAAATTACAACCTAAAGTCATCGATTATTTTTGGACGCATTCGTATATAGTTAGTATTTCATAATATTTGTTATTTGTTTTATATGCAATGCACTTCAAACAATTTTGTTTCCGCTAGGTGTCTCTGCCACGTGTAATCATTCAAAGAATAGAGAGCAGAGACATCTGGCGGCCAACTATTTCGGCATTTTAAGTGCATTGTATGCAAAAAGAATAAAAAATATTATGAAATATCAACTTTATATGAATGTGTCTAAAAATAATCGATGACTATAGGTTGTAATATCTGAATGATTTGTTTGAAATTAAATAGATTTTTTTACGATCCGAGTCGTATACTGCAACTTTCTGAATTTGTATGGATGATACGTTCTTCAGTACAAGTAGTTTTTAACTATTTTCTCCTTATAGACGCAACCGATAGAAGAAGATTAGAAGCGATCAAAAACGATTATTTTAGCCATGAGCCTATACCCCCTTTCATTTTTCGCGAACACTCCCTTTAATCATGAATTTAATCTTTGTCGTTTAACACATTCTTTAAATGGTCTGTTCAGTCATTGGAAAGTAAAAAAAGGGAACAATAAACAAAGGCACGGTCGTTAACGATCGTTTACAATCGTTTATAATCGTCAAATCGGCGAATAAATCTTATAAAACTACTATTTATTTTTTATTTTAAAAAACGACCCTTTTCAAAGGTAATCGTTCCGTTTTTCAGAAAAGTGAAACCTTGAAAGAATTTGCGACTAATCCAGATAAAAAGAATAAGTTGACTGTAAACTGTAAACTGTAAACTGTAAACTGTAAACCAGATGGATTGCTCTTAGAATATTAAAACGCAATTTTAGGAAATTGTAATTTCTAATTTTTATAAATTATTTCTTACTTTAAATATAGACTCAGAGCGATAAACATTCTTATACAGGGTGTCCCAAAAAACCTGGGAATTCAGTGACGAATTCGATATCATCTTGGTTATGATTTAGCATTGTAATACCTAATTCCAAAAGCCATATTATTATGTCTGCTAGAACATAGCAGACGAAACTCTTACAGATTTATCATCACTATACTAAATCAAGGAATTATTTAAAAAGACGATATCGAATTCGTCACTGAATTCCCATGTCCGGGACACCCTGTAGTTTCATAATGTTAGAAACAAATAGCAATGATAAATTTTGTCTTATTGTTTCAAAGATCAAAGATGACCTTCAGTTCGTCTTGCTATTGTCATGTTTAGTTGGACACCCTGTATCTACTTCATTCAAATTTTATTAAAGCTAATAAGTTTAAACTTTTAGCAAGCCATGAACTTTATGCCAAGAAATTTATGCCAGTCAAAGAATCTCATGCTTTATGGGAAACAATGTAATTCTCTAGAATATTACATTGAAAATATAAAACCTTGGTTAACCTCGTTTTCTTTCAAATAATCAAGTTGAAACTTTTTAAAGGAAAGTTTTGCATCATTTTGTACAATTTATTGATTAAATTACAAAGCAAGAAATATTTATTGTTAACATATATTCTAATTTACTCAAAACTTCCACATTTTGTTCTTTTCCCTTTCATTCTTCTGTTCTGAAACCAAACCTTGACCTGGAAAATTCAAAATATTAATTTTAAATTTTTAAATTATTAGTTTCAGTCTCATATCACTATATTTAATATATATGCATGTTTGTATCCAATATAAACTTTGAAACGGCTTAACCGATCGGAAATTATTTTTATTTTAGATTTTATTTTAAAAAGATTTTGATGAGTCCTAATATCGATGTGAACATCTGTTTGGTAATCCTAATCTGTTTTCTGTATGGTAATCCCAATCTGCTTTCTGTTTGATTATTTTTATACATACAGATTTTTTTCACAATAACCCTGAAACAGAAGCCCAAAAGAGTTATACACAGGAAGCGTAGAATCACAAGACAGAGGGAGAGCATGCGCGTAACTGTTTTGGGCTTCTGCCTTAGGTTTATTCTAATATAGAACCCCTAAATCTTGAAAAGACGTCATTTAGTGTTCTATCTGTTATTGTTAATTAATCTATGGATTAGGTTTAATTCTAACCTGTCTTTCAGAAAGATCTAGCGCTACTGCAAGTTCATATCTCCTTAGTCTAAATATTTATTCAACGATTGGATCCTTTAACTTCAACCGTAGCTTTAGCACTTAGCAATCTTACATATGCATGAACAATGAATATTCAAAATAAAAAATGAAAATTGTAATCTTTACTTTTACAGCATGCAGGATACGGTATACCATGTTCAGTGTGCAGTGTTCAGTGTACAGTGTACGGTGTACGTGTACAGTGTACAGTGTACAGTGTACAGTGTTCTGTGTACATTGAACGGTGTACGGTGTACAGTGTACAGTGTACAGTGTACGGTGTACAGTGTACAGTGTACAGTGTACGGTGTACGGTGTACGGTGTACGGTGTACGGTGTACGGTGTACGGTGACCGGTGTACAGTGTACAGTGTATGGTGTACAGTGTACAGTGTACGATGTACAGTTTACAGAGTAAGTGTACGGTGTACAGTTTACAGAGTAAGTGTACGGTGTACGGTGTACAGTGTACAGGTATGACCGTATGTATACCTGGTTAGGTAGTTTGAACTCCTGTATTCTTCTTCTAGATGCTGAATCTGATCCTGAAATTATGAACTTAAAGGACTTATCTAGATATGTCTTATCACAAAGAAAAGATATCTACAGTGATAACCATAAACATTCTGGAATAGGAAGACGACTTTTAGGCCCAAGTTATGACTTTAAATAGTCCAATGAACATGCAATACAGCCGTTGTAGATTATAAACAGACCAAGTTCCCTTAATAGGTGATTTATTAAGTGTCAATGGTAAAACTATTTGCTTAGTAACAACCTTAATTATTGCCTTATTGTCGTCTTCCTTTTCTCACCGTAGAAAAAAGAGGAAACAAAGCCTTCAGTTTATTAGCCTAATAGGGAGTTCAAAGTATTACAAGGATAATAAGAGGTGCAATTACTTCCACTCTATTCATATTTCTACTCATGTAGTCTTTAGAGACGGGTTCCTACTATTTTTTTACAGCAAGGGTTACCCACAGAGAGTGAGACTGTATATAGAGACGATTTGAATGGGTTGAATTTCCTCTCTTGCCATGAGTAAGATCTTTACATGGCAATTTAAATGAAAGCATAATATGTTCAGTTTACGGGAGAATTGAAAAAAAGAAAATAGTCAAAATTAATTCCGTACAGTCGTTTTGAAAGTCTCATCATTTTGCTGGCAACCCTGTATATTGTTCAGTTATTCTTATTATTTGAGAACAAAAGAAACCTGGCTGAATGCTGTTCTTTCTTTCCTCTGAAGATCCTCCAGTAAACAGGAATCTATCAAAACATGACAAAGATTAAAAAAAATTGGGTCATGCTAGGATTTTGTTGAGATTTGCTCCATATAATTGATTTTATCCTATTTACTTGAAATGTTTTGTTATCATTATTGAAATTAGGTGGATAGAATAATCAAAACAGCCAAGAGCTATTTTCCACCTAATTGCTCTATACTTGTACTGTTAATATAATCATCAATTTGTAATTGTAAACTCGTTCTGTACACAGATACATGTATTTTAGCAATAAACTTTATCTATCTGTCTATCTATCTACCCTGTTGCTGATAATATATACATTTTTTAGCGAGAGTTATCAAAAATCAGAAAACTCTATTCCATAGAATTGATCGTTCTTTCATATTTTAGTTTGGATTGAATTTATTTCGAAGAAAAAAGATTAAAAGATCATTATACGGACGCCAACGTATTCTGAAAAACATTATCGTTAAAATTATCCATTACGTTGTGCTTTAAATTGACATGATTCGGTATAACTAAAAGTCAATAATTTGATTAAATAATTTCTGTTAAGATAATTTACATTTAACTATTATGTTTTTTATGCTTTAATATTTGTAACTACAAAGGATTAGATATTACAAATAAGCAATCATGATTTTCTGAGCTGTATAGGACCCGCATAACCAAGGAAGGTTGTTTTGATTGTTTGGCCCAAATTTGACATATAATATATATTACCATTAATTGATTAAAAAACTGTTGATTTGAATTAAAGAATTTATCATTTCTAATAATCCATCAGTTACAACGTTGCATTACAGAATATACTTTTAATATTTTTTAACAAAATCTACGTCGCCTTGGATTTTTGATACAGTTTGATGCATTTTTTTTTCAACTTAGTTAGAGAATAAAAATTCTAGAGTTAAGTATCACAAAGTCATGGAATTTTCAAAATGTGGCCTGACTTTATTGTGCCTTCAATATTTCCCGAGATTTGAAAAATTTCGTTCACATCTGAACGAAATTCTTCATTTCTCCTTCTTCTGTAATATTGAAAGCACAAACTAGTCCTGGAAATATTGAAAGCACAAACTAGTCCTGGAAATATTGAAAGCACAAACTAGTCCTGGAAATATTGAAAGCACAAACTAGTACTGGAAATATTGAAAGCACAAACTAGTACTGGAAATATTGAAAGCACAAACTAGTTCTGGAAATGCCAGGACTAGGAAAATGTCCAGAATCATACATGTTAAAGTAGGTCGACGATTGTATGTCACAAATAAATTCAAAGATCAATTTTCTACTGCCATGTTTCGTGGGACACCTGGTATATACTTTTTATTTTACCTGACAGTAATATTGAAGATTCTTCTGAAGGTCGTCTTTGCTGAAAATCTTCTGGGCTGGATCTGGATTTTAAGAAAAATAAGATTAATAAGATGCGAAAATTTTAAAAATGAAAATATGATGATATATGCCATTTATACATCTTAATCTTTCTGAAAAATTTACTTACATGTAAAAACTCAAATTAAGAAATTTTAAATTCTAAAATTTGACTTGGTTTTCACTCGAATTTCTTCTCGAATAGATTTGTAGTTAGGACAGAGGAATGAAAAAATCGAAAATATTAACCTGATTATACTTGACGAAGCTTTTGTAGATTTTTGAGACTTATTTATGGACGATGACATTCTCTCCAAGTTCTCAATTTCGTTGTTTTTGCCGAAGTTGTCGACATACTCGATATACTCTTTACGTTTTATTTTCTCCAACTTTGACTCATTGAATTCCATAGTTTGCTCCATATTGCTTAATATATGAATGTGCTCCATTTTTTCCCTGCGCTGCTTGGGCTGCTCCCGCTCCAAATTTTGAGGAAACCCTTGAACCCAGAATGGAGCTTGAGAGTTATATTGTTGGACTGAAGCCGAGGAGTACAAGAATGGAGGTTGAAAACTGGAGGCATGAAAATCCGGGGGAAAATATTTTGGAATCTGTTGAACTTCAAAAAAACTTGTATTCTCATTTTGATGACTCTCGTGCATTTCCCTAAAAGTAGACTTATAATAAAATCTATATTTAGTGACGTGGGGGAAGGGGGTGGTGGAAGGGGGATTTAGAGATTGTAAGCCCCGCTCTTAATTTTGAAATTATATTAACCCCTAACAAATTTTAAAAACCACGCCGGTCTATATTGTATGTCAAAACAGACTGCCTAAAACCTATACATGTAATCTAAATCGTATGAATCAAGTAATAGAAAAATTTCCTTAAAAAGGAACGAAAAACATCTATAAAATTGTATCTTCGAAAACTATTTCTTTACTTTACAATAAACAATGTAAAAAATACACTTAAAATAAAATTTTTTGATAATGATAAGTAAGGATTTGTACTGCAGTAAATGTGACGTGTTCTTAATTGTGCGTCATTGAAAAATATTTCCTTGGATTATACTTTGCGCTAGGAAAATTAGAATGAGGTGGCTATGCGCTAGGAAAATGAGAATGGGGGGGGGGGACTTTGCGCTGGAAAAATGAGAATGGGGGGGGAGGGCACTTTTGCGAATATTTTCAGTTTTGCCAATCAGGTTTTTTGTTAACGCTACTTTTTCATCAACTATTTTTTAAAATATTAAATCAAAGCTTAGTTTAAAAGTACACATCGTACTTGCTATTGTAGGATAAAGGGAACAAATTAAACAAAAACTAGCATCATTTTTTTAATTTGATTTACATATGGTGAAACAAATCTCGTTTTAAAATTGATGGGTTTTACGTTTTGTTTTCTTTAGGTTTCCCTGCTTTGACAAACCTGGGTGTATACTCCTCCATCTTAGTTTTCTTTATTTCTAGATTCAAGAAGATTCAGTAAACATGAGATTTAGAAAATATGAGATTTAGGACGGACTTTTATCTAGCTTGATGAAATTTGCTGAAAAAAGATATCTTGGAAATTAATTGTCTGATATTTTAAAATTGCTCTTAAAGAATTCGACCCTTTACAGAGGAATAAAATGTTGCTTTTATTTTTCATGTCTTATGAATCTCCCTAACCGTGTAAATCTGGAAGTTCACTTGTCTTCCCCTGATGATTATACCAGACTACTCTCCTACTCCTGGGTAGACCTGGAGCTAAGGGTTGAGAAGGGGACCTGGAGCAGTCCTAATCTCTGATTGGATAACCTTCAGCTCTCTGCTTCTAGCTCCCAGAGCTCCTATTGGAGCGAAACCTCGCCCCCATTCCACAAATAATAATGTTTTCCAAGGAAAGGAAAATATTAACATAAATTTTGATAAACCCAATTTCGGTCAGCAATGTAAAACAATAAAAACAAAATAAAATTTTTTTTAAAAATTTTCTGTTGTTTTATTATTTTTCAAATTATTTTATATTTTATTAATTTTATTAATTTTCTGAACATTTTAAATAAAATTTATTCTTTTCTGTTTTATCCTGAATTAGAACACGTAGGAGATTATAATGTCATTTGGAATATTTAATAAAATATTGGATAGTCGATTCACAACGATACTGTCATGACAGTTGGTTACAGGTTGAGATTCACAACGATACTGTCCTGACAGTTGGATACAGGTTGGGATTCACAACGATACTATCCTGACAGTTGGTTAAAGGTTGAGATTCACAACGATACTATCCTGACAGTTGGATACAGGTTGAAATTCACAACGATACTGTCCTGACAGTTGGATAAAGGTTTTTCCATGTTTTTTTTTAAAAAAATATGGCAGCCTTCAGACAATGGCTAAACGAATTTTGAGCTTCTGCAACAAAAGCACTGGAAGAAAATGTACAAACATGTTTATTTCTTGAAAGAATAGAGACAAGTTCTAAATTATTCTTTTGTTTAAAAAAGGTTGAACACTTACAAATGCACTTCTTTGTAGTGTCACTTAAAGGAATGCCAATACTTCACAGTTGAATACATTTAATACAATGAAGGGTTGGTCAACGAGGTTATAGTGTAAAGAGTGATGATGTACTCTAATCCTTTATTAATTGTATAGGCCATAAACTATACCGAAAGCGTACTGCATATTTGTTTATTATAAGTTGATTCTGGCATAACCTATAGTATATCAATATTAGTAAACAGTTGTAAGTGTACAGTACAGCTAACTGAGCACATAGGTAGAGAACTATCATCCACCCTGGGGTAATTACATTTAGAATTTACAAAATACAATTTTAATTTTTTTGTGTTTTCAATTTTTGATGTAAAATTTTTTATACCTCATCTTTTTACAGTGAGCTGAAATCCCTTGAAGTTTTTTTTTATAAAAAAGTAGATTTTAAAGCGGAGAGATTTCCAAGTCACTTTATCAAAACAAAAATTAAGATTTTAACTGTTTTTTGAAAACAAGGTTCAGCCAACAAAAATCATTGTCAAATTGTTAAAAGTAGAATTTTAGAAATATTTGCAAACAGCAAGAATATCTGCAAGAATATTTTACATCCTTGTTTTAGAAAATAGCATTATATTTGCGAATACTTTTTGCACATTATCAATGATTTATGTGACAAGTCTCACAACCGATATTTTATCAAATTCAAATTTTAAAAAAGTTTTCTGTCAGAACTTAACCTGTAAATATTTACGTGGTTTGTAAAAAAACTAGCAAAAGAACAAACTGAGCAAACCTTTTCCATTTACAAAATAATTTTGGTCTATTTTACATAACTTTAAAATACACCTTTTGATAGTTTTTACGCAAAAAATGGAAATATCTCTAATTGTTGTTTTAAATATTATGAAATCAATTTGGGAACCGCGTAGCCAAGAAAGCTCTCAGAAAGGAATTGAGTCTTTGCCACAAACTCTGATTTTCTAATCCCTATACCTTAGATATTTCAAACTATGAATTCTATTAGATAAAATAATATAAGTTCGAAATATCAAAGGTTTACACAATCAGGTTGCAAAGATATAGGGATTAAAAAATTTGAGTGTGTGGCGAAGACTCAATTTGTTTTAGAAATAATGTTCTAGAACTAAAAAAGTTTTAAAATTCGTTTTCAACTTTATGTTCAAGGACATTTTTGTTTCAGTGCGTTTTTATCCAATAACGTGTCTTCTGAAATAGAATCCTCTATAGCAGGTGAGAATAAGTGTTTTATCACGGAAATTAAATTCCAGTTTGAAGATAGACTTTATATGTGAATTAATAATGAATCAATTAATTGGAAAAATGGGATTTTTTGGGACTTTATTTTGCGGACTTTAATTTAGGTGATAAAATTACCCGAGAATTTTTTTCCTTTGTTATTTTTCCTCGGAAATATTTGTATCGGGACCACGTTGACTTACCGGTTCTGTCAATATTCCAGAAAGCCGTGACTTTCTATCACAAATTCTTAAATAATATTTTGTTGGCATATGTATTTTGAATAAAAAAGTAAGAATAAACAAATCCGTAAGGTAAAAGGTTGTTAAATTATAGACCAAAACACGTTTGATTTCAAATAGAAGAAACCGAATGCTGCTCACCCTGGTTAGTCCATATTAATTTATTAGTTTAATTCTTTAACACAGTGTTAGGTAATTTCCCAAAGGCATGTTCCCATGGGCGACTTCCCAAGTGACAATTTCCCAACTTCCCATATCAATTTAGGAAAACAATATTCCGAAAATCTAAAACTTTATTTTCAATGACATGTTTTCTTGGGACTTTTTCACCCAAAGTTTTTATTTCCATGTTTTTTTCAAGAATATTGTCCACAATGAATTTGTTTCATAGATTCATAATAACAAGACTATGCATCATTTACCCTTTTCTGACAAATTTCATTTCTCACTTTTACTTAATAAATGTCACAAAGGATTTTGAAGTTTGCAATTGTTTAAAAGATGTTTTCTTGTTCTTATTATATCCTACCTCCCCTTCCCCCCCGCTTCTTTCCAATCCCTTTCTTTTTTCTCCATCTCTTTGCACTCATCTTTCTCATCCACAATTTCAATCCCTTTCTTTTCTTTTTTGTCCTTCAATTTCTTTTATACCCTGGCATTGTATTTTTTCTGTTGATTGTTTTGGTAACATATATTTTAACTATGTGTAAGTTGTAACAAAATGTCCCTAAATTTGGATACACGATACATACATTACCCACCCCTGTGTTAACACCTTCCCCCTTCCTTCATCCAACTTGTGAATGATTGCTCGCACTCCCGGCCTCCCCAAAGGAGTTCTGTGAACTTTATTATATAGTTTCCGTTTGGATTTAATGAACGCAAAAAAGGGGTTTCATAAAAATTCAAGGTTTTAGGGGGTTCAGTTAATGTCACCAAATTCACACATTCTGGATTATAACGATACGTGATCCGTTGTTGCTCTTTTTTAAATTGTTTTCTAGAGAAATTGATTAGTACCACAAACTCCTTTTTTCAACCTTTTTTCAACCTTAAAGGAAAACCTTAAAGGAAAAATGAAAGGGGGTATAGGCTGAAAGCTTATCACTTTATATCTCTCGATCGCGACCCATGAAAGTCATATCTGATATCTCGAGAAATTGATATACAACTTTGTCAAACTAATACGAAAATTAATATATATACAATTTTGTATACAAGTAGTAGATTTAAAAAGATCAAATTCAACAAATAAGCAACCAATCTGAAAACGATGATATCCCAGAGAAAGCTAATTGTAAATTAGGTTTACTTTTATATTTGTTATTTCTATTTTGAATAGATTTCATTCTTAATATTATTTATACGTCCGTATTACTTGACCAGAAATTCCACCAATGGCATTGCAGTAAAGTGGTCACGTGATACAGACGAGTTACGTAATCAGTATACTGCTCTGCCATTGGTGATAGTTCTGGTCACGTGATTTAAGTTATAGATTTTATCAATTTTACATATATGAATTTTCGTATAATTTTAACACAGCTTTATATCAATTTCTCGAGACAGGAACATCAGAGAAAACGTTCATGGGTCGCGATCAAGAGCTAAAGTGAATAGCTTTCACCCTATACCCCCTTTAATTTTTCCTTTACAGTCCCTTTAAGGTAAAAATTCTTGATATTTCAAACTATGGCCATTTGATCTTGAAGAATTCTCAGCTTGAAAAATCAAAGGTCTACGTCAAAAAATATGTAAAAATCTGATTTTTTTGTTCTTTCGTTGATATCTAGATATCTAGATATTTAGATAGATATATTAATTAATTTATATTTGACTTTAATATTTGGGTGTTAAAACTATAGAAGTAAGACAAGGTTTAAAAACATCTGATAAAACATGTCACAAACCTAGAGAATCAAGAAGAATATTCTAAGGAAAGTCAAAACATTTCAAAATTATTTTATTCAAAATACAAAAATTCGCGGATTTTTCAAAGAATTTCATGAATTTTTAAATTCAATGGAAGTCAAATTTTGTTGGAGGCTAATTTTTGAAATTCTGATTATTCATAAACCTTCTCTATAGGGTCCATGTGAGGTCCCACAACAAATTTGGGACGGATCGATTCAGCCGTTTTGACGTTTATTAGATACAAACAAACAAACGAACAGACAGACACCTAGACAAGAAAAGTATATATTTAAATAAAAAGTTCATCTTAAATTTCTTACTTTTCAACTATATTGCCGGGGCCCTAGATTCTTTCTATTTTTTATTGTGCTAGAAATTTTTTAGCTCAAATACTACTTGAAATCTCTCAAAACAAAAACAAAAACTTTAGGGAGTCGGAATAGGGTTAAGTTGGTTTACGCCATGAGGTTGAAAAGATAAAGGGATTAGTTTGTGCTTTGTTGCTTTGAATCAAAGTCCAGGAAGACAATCCTTTAGAAAATATTTCTTGAATAAAGAGTGTGAAGGTTAGAGGGTGAAGAGAGGTGTGTGAGATATATTTAAATAATTAATCTTTTGAGAATCTGTCCCAGCCAAGTAGTTAGATGAAAACTGTTTTCAACATTTAAATATTTTTCTTCAAATCTAGTTCAGAAGTTGTATTTAATAGGTCGTTTATAGGGGTAAATCGTGGAATGTCATTTAAACGTGATCAGTCTCATTTAAAGGGATATGTCGTGGTAAATCATTTAAAAGCATCTTACGAATAGGTTGTGGTATGTCATTTAAAG